AAATCTTTTTGAAATCCAAATTAAATCTCTTTGAAATCTAAACGAAATCTTTTTGAAATCCGAATGAAATCTGTTTGAGTTGCAGGTGAAATCATCGAGAATAACGAATGGAAAACGGCCGTTTACTTTGATGTACGGTAGTCGTGGTGGTCGTAAACGGCTGTATATGTTAAGATACGGCGATTCTCGTTGTCGTAAACTGTCGTTTCGTTCAAAATACGACAGTGTCACGGCACTGTTTTTAACGTTTATGGTGGTTGGGTTTCACCGTTTACGGTAGGTGGGTTTCACCGTTTACGTCACGGTGGGTTACGGCCGTAATACGGGCATACCAAACAGGTTATTTACGGCCCGTATACGGTCATAACTCTGACGGTTACGGCCGTTTACGGCCACTGTAATGTTCGTCCTGGGTATAGTTCTTGATCAGTTTCTTGTGGCTAAAACTTCTTTCACTAGTTGCAGTTGGTATTGGTAATGTTAATATGTAATTATATACGCTTGATAATCTTGGATATAAGTGTCCGGATTGCTGTAATAACTGTACAATATGGAATATCTAAAAAAAAATGAGTGGCAGTAATTGAACGATCAGTACCAGTCTTTTTACAGTTTTCTTCCCTTCTCGTTATTTTTCAATGAGCCTGGTCTAATTCTGAAAAGTAAATAATTTTAGCAGCACAAAAAAAAATTATAGTGCTCTTCGTCCAGTGCTGTGTTGAACAAAGTAGTAGCACAACAGTCGGATAATGTTGGTGATCATGTTCCGTCACTCTCTTTAATGTTCTTTTCTTTTTCTTCCAGATTTCTTCTTGTAAATAAATATAGGACAGACAGAAATGCAACAGCTTGAATGGATCGTCATCTTCAAATTGGAATATTCACATAATTTATTTAAATAAAGTCAATCGTTGATACATATTAGAGATTTGAAAAAGGATCTATCTATTAGCTCATTTAAAAAAATATTGTCGTTTCGCAAAGATTATATCTTCATTATCAGGATAGTTGTGTAGGAAAAAGAAGAATTTAAAGATTTTATACATATTTGTTGTTGTGAATGCACTATGACGCATGGCGTTGGACATAAGTTGAATGTTAACTTTTTGATGTTATTGCTAGTAGAGAGAGGAAGAGAGATAATGCTGCTAACCAGTTCCATTATAGTTTCTCCCTCTTTATTTTCTTTTTTTCTTTTTTTTCTCCCTCTTTCTCTCGCTCTCTCTCCACTAGTAATAACATCAACAAGGTAACGTTCAACTTATGTCCAAAACCACGCCCTGCAATACAACATAGAATCTTTAAATATTTCTTTTCTCGTGCACAACTATCTTGATAATGAAGATATAATATAATGTTCGAAACGGCAATACTTTTTAAAAATGAGTTAAAAAATAGATTGTTTTTCAAGTAAAATGAATCAATAAATGCTATATCCATATATACTAGTACATTTTCTCTCTCCTTCTTCCTCTCATGCAATTAAATAAATTATGATATACGCTGTTGTTAAATCTCTCATAATATAAAAGTTTCAAAATTTTTGCCCATTCATGAAAACAAATAGATTAGAGATAATTTACAAAAGAAAAGGAACGCAAGAAAATGATGGTCGAATAAAACTAATGTATTTTTTTCAACTACTTCTCGTTTTTATCGTCAAGGAAACCTAGATCTTATGCTAATTCGGTAATCTTTTAATTAATCAAAATATATATATTTCAATTATTGGGGGAGGGGGGGGGTAACCCCCGTCACCCCCAGTCGGGGCACCCCTGAGGACAGGGTAGAGTAAAGATAATGCAGCGAATGTTTAAAAAACTAAAATTTCTGATTGTATTAATAGACTATTTTAGTAACACAACTTAGGAGACACCCATGATGTTTATGTGATTTGAATAATAAACAATGACTTTTTCAATATAATATCAATTGTTTGAAAACAATGAGAACAATAGGTCATCTTTCATTGCTTTCACGCTTTATCAAATATAGCAAACATACAGTAAAACTTCTATTAGTGAGCACCTCTCTATAGTGAAAAACCTCCTCATTATAAACATTTTCGAAAAGTCTAAAAGATCGATTTTTGCTAGAAGTGTACGTCTCTATACTGAACACATTGTTATATTGAACACTTTTTCTCGATCCAAATGATGTTCAGTATAAAGAGTATTTGCTGTATTTATATTTGCTTATTGTTGAAAACTAATTAAAAATACAGAAATAGAACAAATATTCGTATTAACGTCTTCCAGAATCTGGAAACCTAGACATCTACTGGAGTATGGATACAAAATTTATATTGCTCGCTAGGGTAGGGTTAGAGTACAAAAAAAGCTTACCCTGCAGGATTCTACCTATGAGTTCTTCTAGTTGACCTAAAGTACTAGAACAGTTCTGTTGAACTGAACTAAACTGTTCGAATATTATCAATTTAATATAAAAGATGATGATAGTAATTAATTTTATCACTTTAAATTGAATTAATCATAAAATAAAACTAATTAGTCTATTCGCAATCACATATCAATCTCGTTTTAAAGTCACATTATATTATCTTCATTTCGATGCCTATTGCAAATGTGCCATCAATAAATAAATCACTCTCTTTTCTTATTTTTATTTCAAAATGAGAAAAAACATAACAATATAAATGGTAAAGAACTGAATCTTTTTCTATTAGAAATAACCATTACATGAGCACTGTCCATTTTTATAAAAATGATGTATTCGATTTGCATCACGAACAATTATTTCACATTGACGAATAGTAGCGATTAATTTTGTTGCTCGATCTGTAATGAAAAAGAAAGAAATATTGCATTGTTTACTTACAACAATCACCACAAACTCGAAGATTTTTCGTTATTTGTATTTGTGATGCATTAGGATGTACAACAAAATTCCATGCAATTGCAAGTCTTTCACTGTGACCACAAAGTACTGTTGCAATAGTTTCATCTTGACTTAATGGACGTGGTATCTAACTTGAATCATGTTGATGACCATGTTCAACAAGTTCGGCAGAGATTTTCTCAGCTTCAGCATGAATTTCTTTGGATCGAGGATGATTAACACCATGAGCTCGAAATTGCTAAAAGAAACATATAAAATTCTATAATATTAATTTTTATCTAAACTTACATAGACTTGTCCATCGACAACAGTCCATGAAAGACCACTTTTCTTCTTTGCACCTGATTTAGTCAATTGAATTCTAATATCTGATGCTTTATCAATATCACCTATGGATCCATAAACATTTGCAAGAAGAGTTGCAGCTGAGACTAATGAATCATCTGACTGAGGAAAAACTTTATTCATTCGATCATAAATTTGTTGTGCTAAATTAGCATTCATTCGATTTCTTGCACCTGATAGTAATGCCACTAAAATAATGAAATACAATTCATTTAAAAGGATAGTAATGTATAAAAGCACAGGTCAACAGGCGAAGGATTTCTACAGAAAAAGAAATAATTAAAAAATTGTTATAAAACATTTAGTAAAAGATTCAAATGATATAAAATCATTTATGTTATCAAATACTCACTAAATGACGTCAGTTTTTATCGTTAGCTCAAATAGATTCATTAAATATTGCACAGAAATGAATTGCTGGAGAAGATATTGAAGATATTTGTACAATATTTGCGATTATCAACGGACGACACCTGTTGACTCAATTTATCCGATTTTTATTAGAATGACTCGACTGGAGATGACAAAAATGGCATATTTCGATGCAACAAAAGGAATTCAGTCGATGAACATATTTTTTCAAATAAATTTGACTAGTTTTATTTAGTTCAATTTCACAGACGGCTATCGGTTGGCATGAAACGAAAGGATAATACAAGAATCGAATCAGTTACAATATCATTTTACAAATCCTATAGTCGTTCTTTGAACAAAATATTCTCAAACCTAAAATTTTATTTTATTTGAAATGATTTCTAAACAAATTATCACATTTGATTGTTTTTCAATAGAAACTCAGGAGCGTGTTGATTGAACTTTTTTTTGTAGACTTCTATTCTTTCCTTTTTATGTTAACAGTTTACATAAGATTCTGTATAAAACAAAAGAATTTATCTATTCATCCTCAATACTTTAAGAAAAGATAAGATGTTTATACTCAGCGATACTAACTATACATAGGTAATGATGGTGGATGAGAACGTTCATATTCTTCTTGTAAATTTTGTGCTTCTTGAAAAAGTGATGCACGACTAAGACAATCAATCTAGTAAAAATAAATCCAATGAAGTTTATTGAAATAAAAAGTCTATCTTTGATATACCATTGTAGTATAAATTGAAACTGTTTTTATTTGAATGTTTTCAAATATTGAACGAGCTTCTTGAACAAGTCCAGAATGTGAACATGCATTTAAAATGCAAGTATGAGTTATTGCATCAATTAAATCTAATGATATTTGACGATAGATGTCGATTGCTTGAATACCCATTCCATTTAAACCATAAGCATTAACTATTTAAATTACTTCATAAAATAAATAATAAAAATAAATAAAACACACTGACTGATGCATATTGATATTGATCTGGTTGAGATATTTTGTCGAAAATTTCTTTTACTTTATCGATAGATCCACTTTTACCCTAAAATAAAAATAGTTTCTTTTTTGTTTTCGATAAATATATATATATTAAATTTTTTTCTTCAGACTTACCCACATATCAATTAATACAGTTTGAATTTGATTATCATTAAGAAGATCATTTGGAATTTGTTCAATGATCGATTGAGATAATTTATAATCACCAATTAGTGATAATGCTTTAATAACATGAAGATAAATGATTGAATGATTTTTATCTTTCATTTGATAAAATAAATTCAATGTTTTTAATGGATTATTTTCTTTATTATATCCATTCATCATAACTGCATACATTCCAACACCATTCTTTATTGATGCATCGAAAAATGATTGAGCATATCTTAAATCATTACATTTCACTAATGCATCTAATATAGAAGTTAAAAGACGAACATTTGAATAAAATGATTTCGGAATAGTTTTGGAAACTTTTTTTGTTAAATTTAATCCTTCATCCGATCCCAATTGAGCACAAGAATTAAATAGAAGAATAAAAATAACATAATTAGGATCCTTTATTTTATGAAAAAGATGAATTGCTTTAGTTGCTTGATTATTTTCAATATAACCTTCAAGAAAAATAAAGTCTGATTAAAATAAAATTATAATAGATTTTACCTTTCATCATTGCTCCATAGATAGTCACAGTCTTCTTACTTGATGTATTGAATAAGAATTCAGCTTGATTCACATCTCCACATTGCACTTTAGTAAGAAAGATAATGAGAGATAATTGATCATAAAATTTTGAATTTATTAAAAATGTTATGAAGAATTTATATAATCATATTTTATGAAGAGAAGCGTTTCCTCAGTATTTCTTTTTCCTACTCAATTACTTAAAAAAATTGATCTTATCCTTTTCTAACTTGTAACATGGTGCAAATATCATGATTTTTTGATTAAAGTCACAATATTATAAAGAAATGTGAATTTTTTATTGATAAAAACTAAAAGTACTACTAATGATATTATATTCATCATTATTAAAGTCTTCCATTGAGTTTTAAATTTTCAATTGTATATTTCTTACAAGGAAAGATCCCTAAGTGTTGACCTTCAAAAGTCTATGGTGATTACAAATGAACTATTCATATCTCAAATATGAAAAAACAAATAATGGCCAAGACTTAATTCTTCAAAGTATTTTAGTTAAAATACTATGAACCATAGGCAGAGTCCATTGAGTAGAACTTTTGAACAAGGGTCTCCCGAAGGTCTTTCACTATATGTTAAGATCTAACACATTTTATTCAAAAAGTTATCTTTATATGATTTATAAAAAAATTAGAAAATCTTTTTATTGAATATTTAAATCTGATTATAAAGATATGCTTGTCCTGTACTCAGAAAAAGAAATTTTGTCTTTTTATTGAGATCGATATTGGTATCTATTGCAGGGTCACTCTAGTCGTAAACTAATTCTTTAAGAAAATTTATCAACGAGGAATACTGTTTGAATTTAAAACAAGATTTTAGTACCATTTGAAAAATACAATTGATCTCAAATTTTATTAAAATAATATTATTTCTCTTTCAAGAAACACTGTTTAATGCTAGACAAAACTTTGGAAAATGTGTAGAGAGCGAGTAATACAGCAGATTAAGATACTGCTCCTATGAAATGAGTTAGAAGTGATGATTTTGTTTCTAATGAAGATCAGAAATATATTTTAATAAAAATGTACCATCAACAATAAAATGTGATTGAAACAAAACATTCAATACTATTGACTATATCAAATAAAATAAAAGCCATTCTACTTTATTACACAATAACAGTCTTGATTAAAAGAAAAACACAAGTCGTTTAAGACTTCCTCGGAAGAATCGATATCGAGTTTTTATTATCGATATATTCCTCGAAATATCTCTTCTTTTACAATATATATTTTCCTCTGAAAATATTTCAAACATGTTTTTGTATAGTTTTTCCACTTTCAAAAGGTTGTATATTCCATTGACGTGAGTATCTTTTGCATTCACTATTAAATGCTTATTAATAGTTAAGATAGGCGGCTCATTCTCAAACAGGATACAATTCTTTTTTAACCACTAAGTATTCAAAGCTATCTTCTTTATATATCGCTATTTACATTTTTCTTCCCCAATTTGATATACTTCCATAACTATTAAATTCCTCTATAGCTATTTAATCTATTACTTCATCTTAGTCTATAGGAATTTTGTTTTTCTATGACTATTGAAAGTTTTTCTTCAAAGAAAAAAAAAGGATTATTTAATATAATAATTTAAATACCGTGTTCATGTATTTAGTGTTTTCATCTTATGGTTAACTCTGAAAAAATGATTTCTGAGCTATATTATTGATTGAACTATTTATTACTGAAGCTCTCATTGACCGCTTAACTATGGAAGATTATTCTCTACATACTTTATGCTAATTATTTGTGATGAGTAGGATTTTTGTGTAGGGGGTTAAAAAATGTCGAATGTTATGATTTTTTTCTCGATCGGTAGAAGAAAAAATGAAAAGAAGATGTCCGATAATATGAAATCGATTAAATTGCCTATTTAGTTATCTCGATAAAAATGGTTTAAATCTGGGTTCAATGACAAATAAAAGTCATTAGCAGATAACAAAAAAGGACAATCAAAAATTTGTACTTCTTTATCCGAGAAACCAATTATGGTTTGGACCCAAGGTGATATTCAACAATGGACTGATAAGTTAAGAGAAGAAAAACGTTCGGATCAAGAATATTTCGATTGGGATAGAGATTATCTTCCAAAAATGATGGCTATCATTGTACGAGCGGTAGAACTATATTGTGGATATCATATGAGAAATATTCAATTGATAGTATTAGCAATAGTTTTAGAGTCACATAGTAGAGAAAAAGGTCGATTAGATAATATATCAACAGACGAAGAAAAATCATTAATTGTGACTATTTTAGCAACTGCACAAGCATTGATAAGTAAAAGAGTTGATATTGTAACGAGTTCGGAAATTTTAGCCGTGGGAGATGCAAAGACAGGAGTAGCAAAAAGAAAATAGTGAGACTGGTTATTTTCAAAGAGATATTTTATTGATGAAATTTTTTGTAAAAAACATAAGAGACCGCACAGGAAACATTCTGCTTGTAGATGAAGTTGACAATATTGGTTATTGATAATGCTGAAAAAACATTGTATATTTCTCATGGTATTACTGATATGAGACATCTAAGAGATTTATTTATTCAAATCTGAGTAGCAGTCAATCATAAAATCAAACAATTTTATAGCGAAGAAAATGTAAATAAAATTCATCATTATATTCAGTTAATGATTGAAAATAAAGATTTAAAAATTCCGAATACTTTACTTTAAAGGAATTTGTTGATCGAAATTTAAAAACTTGGATTCCCCATGTATATTGTGCAAAATATATAAAAAATAATGATGATTATATAATAGGTGACGTTGAATCAAATAAGGACAGAGAAATTTTAATTATCGATAAGGATACAGTATTAAGCAATTAAATAAACGTTGGACTAATGGATTACATCAATTTTTACAATTGAAACATTTCGAAAAATTAAATGAGGAAAGTTTAAAAGCAGTTTGTATGTCGAATATGAACTTTTTCAAATTTTATGAGCATTTAAACGGGATGACTGAAACGATAGGTGATCAAGAAGAAAGAGAAGTATTGAATCTTGAATATGGAGTGGATTGTTTTGAATTACCACGTTTTAAAAAATATAGATTTCAATATGAAAAGAGTAAAGAATGTGTTTGTGCAAGCAAAGATGATTGGTGTGAACAGATTATAGCGGATATTAACGAAAAAATGGATGCCAAACGTCTAGTTAGTCATGAGGAAAAAGATGAGATAGAAAAAAAAATGAAGAAAGAATCAGACAATCTATTAGTTGAAGTGCAAAAAGTACTAAAAAAAAATTAACTGTAAAACTAAATAATAGAACAAATAATAAGAATGAATTATTGGAAAAGAAAAAGAAGTAAGAAAAAGATATAAAAGATGTTGATGAAACATCAAAGAATAATGATAAAAATAAGTTACTCGGAACATATAAATCATTAGAGAACTGTGAACAAAATATTAACATAAAAAGACAACAACTTGATCAGCGAGGTCAATATATTAATTCATTAGAAGAAAGTATTCATTTTCGTCAGACGCAACAAAGAAAGTTAGAAAGAGGTATTCAAAATTATGAAAAAATATTAGAATCAGACGATAACAGAGATAAGCGATGAGCTATCCTCATTACCTGCGAAAATATTGCCAACATAGAAAAAAATAGCTGCACGAGTTCGATAAGAATTTCAAATGAAACAAAATTTTAATATCTATACGTATGATGGGGCTTATAGAAAATTTGAAAAAAAGTAAAGAATTAAATCCAGGAGATATTATTATTGCAACAAATATTGCTGGAAGAGGAATTGATTTGAGTATTGATAAATTACTTGAAGCTAATGGAGGATTACATGTTATTTTATCTTATATGCCAGGAAATTTACTTATTCAGCCGCAAGTATTAGGTAGGACAGCTAGAGTTAGAAAACGGAGTACAGATGTTTACATTGTACATGACTCACGTAAGCTAATGTTTATGTTAGATATGGCAATTGATTTTCTGCTTAATGAATGAGATGAAAAAGAAAAGGAACGATTACAGAAAATTGTCGGTAAATCTTTTCCTAAAATCAAACAGTAGAAAATGCTTTATTTGAAGAATTTAATCTCTTTAAAGAAGAAATTAAATTTAGAATAGATAAAAACATTCTAAAATCACAATTAAAGAATGAAGTTCTCCAAGAATTAGCTCTTTTAGACTCAGCTAAGCATGAAAAACAAAACATATTTTTACTCTAAGATATAGTCAGTTTGATCTCAATGCAAAAAAAATATTTAGAATTACAACTAAATAGTTTGCAGAACCATTGGGCATTTTGATTGAATAAGAGAGCATGGTGAGTTAGTTAAGTTAAGTAAATTATTTATGGATTATAAAGTAGTATGTCGAAGCACAAGACTGTTATGATGAAATTATTGAAAAACATCTAGATTTTTCAGATATTGCTCATTATTATAAAGCGTTCTGTATCGTTCATTTAGAAGGACGTGATTAAAGAAGGGAAACTTTACTAGAATCGAAAAAAAGTACTGTTATGCCACATAGCCAAATATTACTCTCCTTAAATAAAATAATTCAGCAAAAGAGTCAAAGATTAAATGTTAATTACTGTAAGCAACAGAATGAAGGTGAAGCACAAATGTTATAATATCATATTAATGCTATTTTGGAAGCGATTGATAATGAAATCGATTCAGAAAACTTTTGTAATGGAAAAATAACAGGAGATATTCCTACGGAAGTTTACAAAGAACTATTGAAAACTGATTATGACATAATAAAGGATAATTGAATCAGTAAATCTGAAAAAGGACAATTATTAACTAATGAAAATTGTCGAAAGTTAGATATTAATGAAGATGACTATAGGGTATTGAGACCTGAACTACAAAGTCTAGGAATTATCTCTACTCCTGAGCTATATAAAATGTTTGATGATTCCAACAATGACCCTCAGTATATAATTATTACATTCTAATACATTTAATTATTATCAAGAAATATTGAATGACTTAGGAGAAGTTTTAATTCAATCTTAAAAAAGGATTGGAATTGTAAGCACAGAATCATAAAAGAAGATTTCTTTAAAGCTAATGTGTTTCATTGGGAGATGTTTCTCGAGGTCACTCATAATATTATTAAGCAAAGAGAAATGATTAAAATAAGCGACAATGTTAAAGATTTCCTAGTTGGTAAATTAGATTGTCGTGTGTTTTGTTCATTAGGAAATGATATTAAAAGTTAATTATTAGGAAAAAAATCAATTGTTTTACAGGTCGTAAATGGAATAAATAAGAATATGTTTTTTGAAATCATATTCAAAAACTTCAATTTCAGAGAGACAAAATCTGAATTGATTCGGACTCTACTGAATGATCTATTCGAAGAAAACGATCGAGCCGTTGAAGCAGTATTCGAATGTTGTTTTCATAATTAAGCCCATAGAGTGACAACATATTCTATTTTTATTTCAAACAAGTTGTCAGAAGCTTAAATAAATCTTTTGCTTTTGTTATTTGTGAGACAAGAAATATGTACAACTTACATATTTCGATCACCGACTTTGATTTGATTCGTATGAAATACGAGCCAACAATAACTACTAGTAAGTTTTGTTTAAATCATGTAATTTTGAACACTTTTCAAATACAATAAAAATTAAGTCATTTTTTGATTCCTGTTCGTGTATTCATAAGTAACTGAATGTCTTACGAGTGGGCAGACGAGTTAAAAATTGACTTAAGAATTCCACTAGGAAGCAAGTAACATAATGCATAGCTAATTGATGTCACTCAAGAACAATTCTGAATGTACTATTGTAATATATTTGAATGTATTCTTATCTAAGAATTTCTAGTCAAGATTTTATAGTTACTTGACATCAATTATTACTTGTTTCTATAAGATATTCTTGTAGTAGATAAAAAAAAATGATCCAACTCATAGTTTTTAAACTGATTTATCAATTATGCACATAGTACCACTATGAACATAGATTTTACAATGGTTTATATTATATTTTTTTTCCAAAAGAAAACACTTTTTCGAAGTATTATAACTATAAAACGAAGTAAAAATGAGGAAATACGTTTCAGAATACTCTTCAAGTTTGAAATTCTAAAATATACGATTCTTCATTGTGATATTGATTTATATTCATAGTTCGTTTTATTTACAGTTAGAACCTAATAACGTGAAATTCTACGGAAATTGAAATAAATCTTCTTTGAGGAAGAAAAAGCTCCAGGTAGTAAAGTATATGAGACACCATTTTATCCGTCATGTGTAATTAGATTTTCAATGCCTATTATTTAGTTTGATTTTATCGACAAAAATATTCGTGCAGAAGTTCTACTTTTCAAAAATAGTCACCTATTTTTGTCTTTACTTTCCCAATCGCATACAATAGGTAATGCAATGTAGTCTACTACTAAAAATAGAATACATTTTAGTAAGTAAAACAATAAGAATATATTTAGTGTATCCAAAAGTTGCGAGAGTGAGATGTGAGTTCGATTCTACTCTTCATTAATAATCACATCAGAGTATGCGAGTTGTAGAACTGTAAAATTTTTCTTACTTTAATTATCTTTACGTTTTGAAAGAGAACACTTGTTGATTAATTATTCAAAGTAAAATTGGATCTTAGCTCTGGTATATATCTAAAAATGGAAATTCATGGCACAGATGAATAGATACATCTTCGACTAATGCATTTGTCGACAGTTTGTATGTCAATAGGCTGTCTTTTCAAACAATGATATGCAGTTCTTTTAAAAATTACTGTTTGACCTAAATATTTTTAATTGTTGAGCAAGAGTTTTTTAAACTATGCGAGAAAAAGGAAAAAAGCTGCCATGCAATTATGGACATAAAAGATTGATTTTATTAAACTGTTCATAAAAACAAACAATCAAATTTTTATTCTTATTATTAATGACAGGCAACACAATTTTTAAACCAATCATAATAGGATTCATTCAATGATACTACTTTAGTAGTATCATTATGATCACCATTACATTCTTCTCAAAGTGGTATTTCATGCTGTAGAGGACTACTTTGATTACCATTCATCATTAAATCATATTCGTGTTCAAATGAGTATTGTTGTTTTATTGGTTGAGTTTTTAAATGTCTCATCGGTAGAAGAGATACAATCGATGTTGTTGTCGTTGTTGATGTTCGAGCACCACTGCTATATTGTAATGATTCTTTATGAACATTATGAGCTGAAGGACTTGTTTCTATCGCAAAACTTCGTCTATTCTTCGTGTCAGTTGTATTTGTTCCATTTTCATTTTTACAATTATTTGATATTAATTTTTTCATTTGTTTTTGTTCGTATTTTCTTGTATTTTTTCTCTTTGATTTTTTAACTTTTTTTAAAATCGAACAATAAATACGTGTGAATTCCGAACGAAATTTTGTACCATAGATAATAAACATAATAAATGTCGTGGCTGCGTTAAATGTTGCACATAGATTAGCAATGGAATGAAATTTTCGTAAACGGAATGGAGGTTTTTCATTAATGAACATTTTTGCACTTATTAACCACATGACAGATACTGTAGCTGATGGTGAACGAAATACAAGCAGCATCAATGTTGTTGCTAACAACATTATTGTTACACCTAAAAAAAATTTATTTAGTTTTTTTTGTTTTGAAGCGTCATTTTGAATCCGTTTTTTTAATTCGTATAAAAATAAACAATTCATATCTCATGATGGAAATATTGAGAAATTGAATTGTGCAAGTTCCTTTGCATTCGTCTGTTTTACTGTTGCGAAAAAAAATAGATCTTCGAGAATATCAAGAAATTCTAGATAAAAATAAATGTAGGGAACAGGAAACTAATAATCTATTTTCGTCGACAGGAAACAAAGTTTTTCTTTCTAAGAAATGACTAGAGTCACTTGTAATAAATTTACCACGAAAACAAAGTACATATTTCTTACCGTAATTTCTATAGATTGCTCTCATTATGAGAACATCTTAACCTTTCATTGAATAACAAAAACAAGAAATCAACTATAGATAAATTATATATCGGCATCATTCAAAAACTATACTTTTTTTGAAGAAATAAAAACTACACAAAAAAAAATGACGGAAGTTCTCTTAAATTACTTGTTTTGTTTACACTTTTGTTTTACTTTACTTTACCTTGCTTAGTAGGTAATGGAGCATTATATTCAGCTGAGCGTCTTTCAAGTAAACGAATTGAATTGAGCAATTTTCTATTAAGTATTGCAATAGTTATTAATGGAATAATATAAACACCAAGTGCATTAATTAAAACATATGCCCATCGGAATACTGAATTACTTCCTAATTCGCTAAGTTTATAGCGATACATTCTTTTAGTACGATAAGGAGGAAGTATATCTGATAAAGATCTATCTTCATTTACTTCATATTCAAACAGCAGTGGAACAGCATAGAAAATGCCAACAATATAAATTATAAAAGTAACACGTCGTGCACTTTTTATTGTACAATATGATGGACCAACAAATGGACGACAAATCACTATAAATAAAAAAAATTAACAATAACATCAACGAGCGAATATAAATGAATTAATTTTAAAGAAAAGGTTGACGTACTTATCCATCGATCAATTGTAAATGCTACACAAAGCCAGACACTCAAAGCGCGAGCTGTTGTACTAATCGCACCTAAATAAATAATAAAAATAGTCAAAATTTATTGTGTTTTAAAATTAAAATACCAGTAATAATAAGAAATTTCGTATAAGCATATGTTCGAGGCAATTCAAAATCGGGTACTTCAACAGGATATGCATCTAATATACAGCCAGGTATAAGACAGAGACAAGCAATAAAATCACTCAAGCAAAGACCAGCTAGATAAACATAAGTTGATAGAGGCATTGTTCGCCGAATAAGAATTGAAAAACTAAGCGCATTACTGATGGTACCAAGAAGACAAATGAACAAACTACATACACCATTAACATAATGATCGAAGCTACCACGTGTAAATGATTTACGAATTGATTCATATAATGCTGCGTCTTCAATAACTAGATCATCAATGGTAATATTTGATGATGGCCTATACATAATGTGTATTTCTTTATTTTTTATAATTACATGATTTGAAATATTTCTTTATATTATATTATCTGTAAATATAAGAATATTAATGAGACAATTTCTTTATAGAAAAATATTGAAGTAGAATGCCATCTGGATAAAATCATCCGAAAGACAAGAGAGAAAAATGAATTGAAACATCAATATTATTTTTTACAAGATAAAACGAAGAATGAAGTAAATACTAACAAGTTGACTTGAATGATAGATAGATAGCTACTCTTACACGGTGAAGACCCAGTAAATTTATACCATGATGAATTAGCTCAGCTAATAACAGACTATATTATGCTTTTGAAAAACGTGAAAGTTTTTACGACGATTTTGTATCCTTCTCTGCTATAACTCTTGTCTATATAATATTGCAGTAATACGAATAGGTCTACTCTACAGTTACTGTCGAAGAATCAAATTACATAATGAAAAAGATGACAGAATATGTAGATACAGAAAAAAACTGCAAGGATAAAGAGATAAAGAATACAACATATTTCTCAATGGTTATTGTGAAACAGATTTTGTTCTTCTTTTTTTCTTTTTCTAATAATAGTTGTATTTGTATATATTTATATGTATACGCAATAGAATACCCAACAGTCAGAAAAATATATCAGTATTGTTAGAGGAGATAATGAGTGACGAAGCCATTTTGTTTTTACATTTTCTTACCTTTATAGGAATTTTTAACAACGTCGTTTGTTTCTTTTCTCTTAAAATTTTCTTTCTATTCAACTGCATCCCACTTCAACAGACATACAAATGAGCATCGATAAGCATTAGGGACATGCAGTAATTAACTACGATCTCAATAGGGGTCTATATTGTATAGACCAGTCGTTGTGTAACCTGACACGTCACGTATCGACAACAGAATCTGTACTCATCTCTTTCTCTCTTCACAAGCCCTATCTTTATATTCAAGAAAACATCACTATACATAAATAATCAGTAAAAATATAAATATATATATATATATATATGACAAGAATTAATAATTTGTGTTTTGGTCTACACAACAAGAATCCAAACGTTTTTAATAACTGTATTCTTTAGTATCGAATAAATTTGCGTGTCTTTTTACCGTGATCTATTGTGAAACTTTAAGAAAGTATACTCATCATTTATCATCAATATACTTCTCTATTTATACTTCTTGGTTGGTAATGGCATGAGTGCGAATACAATTTGATTAAAAGAGAGTCTACTTTTATATTATTATTGAAATTAAATCTAACCATATACCTGTAGATTTAATATAATGGGACATAATGAAAAATAGAAAAATAAATCAACTTTAATTGATAATCGCTACACATGAAATAATATCTTTGAACGTGAGATCCGGCAGTTGTCGTATCTTGTCATCATAACTGATTATCAAGGTAGTTTCTGTATATATCTCTATATATAAAGAATCTCCTAATCCTTCTTTTTTTTTATGGAATTGAAAAAGTACTTTAAGCAGATTTTCATAATCCTTTCCTTTTTTTAGTTCTATCTGTTACTCAATAAAGCCTTTATTGTTTTTTTACTTCATCCATCATTTTGTATGCACTATAATTAATCAGGTTATTCTCAAAGTACAAAATATTCCTTTTAATAAAAAGTCGTCACTCGTCTTTAGACTTTTATTATATTTGTGCGTGACTGACAAAAACAATCAATGATAGGCTACATTAATAGGATTCTCATGAAATCAAAAACTGTCTGCATTATCATATAATAGATAAAAGAGAAGCATGTCTGTCAATGCCTATTTTTCTTCTTTTACAAGTATCTTGAAGAAAAATAATAGTGCTTCGCTTCTACTGTAAAATATGATAGAAACCAGAGAGGTCCACAGGATGATCTTTTGTGCCCTGCTGAGCTGGCATACGGAGAATATCTTTGAACCGAATCCGAGTATTTCCTGAATGGATTCGTTCCAAAAAGCTTTCCAAAAAAAGACAGAATACTTCTGAAGCAGAACATGACAGCATCTACCCAGCCCGTTTATGAATTCTACTGAAAAACTACCTGGCAGAAGGCTAAAATCCTGAAAAACCATAACCCCCCCCCCAGAATTGAACGCCATCCTATAATAGAAAGGCACCCAGAATAGAACGCCACCTACGAAAATTGGATTCGCTCGACATAATAGAACGCCATGGCATTGAAATTTGTACATATTGAGTGTATTATCTTACATATAGCCGAAATATGCATTTTTTCATTCAACCACGATAGAAAACAGTAAAATCAACGAATAGGGCTCATTCTAGTGTTTGAAATGAATAAAACCAGCAGAAAAAATGTCAAAACAAATAGCATAGCTATATATAGAATTCTCCAAAAAATCTATAACAGAAGGCCACCCCCAATAGAACGCCACCAAAAAAGGAGCGATTCAAAAAATCCTAATAGAAAGTCATGGCTTCCAAATCTGGGGGAGGGGGTTACGAAACTGAACTAATTTTGGTAAAATCAATAGTGATTCGCCCAGAAGAACGTTACAATCACTCATACTATTTTTCATGTAGATCTTACCGTATTCTATCAATTAGACACCTTTTGAGCTCGATTTAACATTCCCGACCCATAGAAATCAGGTTCAAATTCCTAGATTTTTTGCTAAATCCTGTCGTGATTGCGCAATAGCAACTTCCCGAGATAGCCATGGTGGTTTCTAAACAGATTTTCACCCGCTCTATCGACTGGAATCCACTGCAACTATGTTAAAACAATTTTCCTGGCCGATCGCGACGGGATTTAGCAAAATTGGTTGAGTTTTGTATGGTCTTTGTGGCTTTCAGTTTTTTAGGAAGATTTTGAGTACGATTGGTATCTGGGCTGAATAGAGCTCAGCGAGTTCTATTTGGAAAGTAGTTTGTCCTTGTTCGATAGTCCTTTGGAGTAATCCACTCTGAAAATATTCGAATTTTCCATTTTTACTTAAGATATCCTACGTCTTTTATGGTCACTATTTATAATTATCTTGATTCTACCGTGTTCATACGGTGGTCAATATAAATCGGAAGTTCTGCTTACCAGTTGCTGTCGCTCTCTGGAGCGTATTTTTTTTATTTATGATACTTCGAAACTAAAAGTATTTCTTCAAAACTGAAAGTCAAACAACTGACTTTTTACCCTGCAGGGCAGGGTAACCGTGCTCTGTGGGCATCTCTGATAGAAACATACAATTATGTAAATATGATTAGCACACAATAACTTAGAATATTCATATTATGATTATATACTTGCGTAGTTTATATATCAAAGCAAGAGTATTAAATTACTGTAAGTTCATAGGTTTATATCTTTTTAATGCGATGCGAAGCAGAAGCATTTATGTAATCCGTCGCGAGCTTACTTTTTTTTCTATTACTTTATCGACGTAGGCATTACACTTTATCATTTTATATCATGATAGTTTCGAGAAGTAAAAGTCATAAAAAAGTCATTAAAACTTGAGATCGAAGTATCAAGATCGAACTTTTTATTTTGAATCTTCAATCTGAAGTTTTGTTCACTCAGGAATGTTGTTCCGAAATAACAAAAATGAAAGAAATTTGTGGCTAGATAATTAAAAGGACGTTATCAACATATGACGACGAATATTCTATTGGATTACATCTAAATCTAAGTTATTGGATCATAGAAATATTGAAAAATTCAATACGAATGCATTTTAAAATAGAGAATATTGTCAAAGCCATCTAGCATGGTTGATATAATTGGTATGTAAAAACATGAATTTTATGTTTCTTTAAAGGTTATATAGTTACATAGTATTCAATGGGTACTAATTAATTATATGAATTTCTTATTGTGTATATAGATCGTTATACAGATTTTAAATAATATTATGTTATGAATCTTTCTATTAAATCATTCGATATATTTTAGATTTTACAACTGGTGATACAAAATTTGATTTAATTATTTTTTAACATTCATAATGTATACATAGTCATGTTTCATTGAATAATGTGTTGTTGATATTTTATTTTATTTTTTTCATTTTAGGTTGCCTTGTCTTTGTTTTTAAATTAAAAAAATCTTTACATTTGATATATATATATATGTATCAGGCCTTCTAATGGGATGGAATAATCCCATCCCATCCCGTCCCATGGGACAACTTGTATTTTAGATATCCCATGGGATGAAATGGGATGAAGGTCCGATCCCATGGGAAATGCGATTATTTTTTTAAAGAAAAAATCATTATTCATTTGTGTCACACTTGACAATAGGTGAAGAGTGTGAATATTATCATTCTTTTTCTGTACTGGTCATTAACCCAACTCCGAGCTCCATTCGAATAATTGAATAAAGAATACGATAAAACATAAAAACAGAAATAAACATGGATGTCATAATACCATTACACTGGGTAATGAGAATCCAAAGTCATAGTACCCTCAAGCTTATACCATACGAAGTGCATCAATATCTACATCCCACTCGGTTATGGATAAATGCTCCCAAAATATTCCGATACTACCACTCGAATAATGACTTCATTACCCTAGCGATATAACTATATGTTAAAAGTTGAGGAATTTGAGTTGTTTTGGTGTAATGATGTTTAGGGTAGGCACTTTGTTATTCCAAAGGTCATTACACCAAAACGACTCAAATTCCTCAACTTTTAATATATAGTTATATCGTTAGGGTAATGAAGTCATTCCCGCGTAGGTCACTACACTGGAAGAAATGGGTAAGAGTTCTTCGGTTGATTAGGATCGAAATGTATCTCAGTTCCGGCTACAAAAGTCGTTACCCGGTGTAACGGGATTATGCCCTCACTCCTCATTAGAAGCCCTGATATAGACATTATTATGTACATGTGATTAATACGTATTCTCTGGTTAATATCATATAGTTTATGTTATAATTTTTAAAAATTTATTTTAATTTATCCAATGATTTGTTACTGGTATAATAATATACTTAAAATTTTTCTAGGATTTCTTATAAAATGAAAAACAAATTTCTTACTCTCTTATAATTTAGATATTTGCTGTAGATATGTTTCTTTATTGACATATTTTTTTTAAAGTTTATTTTAGGTTACATGGAACTTTATTTCAAGGAAAAAAAATCGTTTTTATACACGAAGATACAATATAAATATTTTTAATAATTTAGTAATATGAATATTGTAATATTCCTAATCATCTTTTAAAGGCTGTTTTTACTTAGATTAGAAAATCGTTGCATTGCTTTTTAAGTAATATGTGCATTAATAGCATCGCAGATGAATGAATCCGATACTGAATCCGACGAGCCGACAAAGTCCCATGGGATTCCGGGTTGAGGAACTACTAATGGGTCCTTACTGTTGGAATCCAGTGAACATCCGACCAAATCTAACAACCGAATTCCCTAATCGACTCTCCCCCAACGACTCCCCGGGGAGTCCCCGTAAAATAACGAAATCCCTGGGGAGTCCCTGTCGTGAGTCCCCGGGGACTTTTTATTTGGGGGACTCCCCGGGGATTTCGCTGGGGAGAATTGATGAAATTTTTTAGAATAAAAAAAAAACTTTTCAATTTTTTTAATTTAAAAAAAATTAAGAAGAATTTATTAGTAATTAGATATTTGATCGATTTTGATCAGATAACTCCCCAGGGAGTCCCCACAAAAGAACGAAATCCCTAGGGACTCCCTGTCGTGAGTCCCCGGGGATTTGTCAGGGGACTCCCTGGGGATTCTTCTAGGGAGAGTTGACTAGGGGAGGGATTCATGAGTGGCTCCTCAACCAGGATTTACTTAGAATCCTGGAGGAACCGATCAAAATCCGATCAAATCCGGTTAGATCCAGCTATCGAATTGTTCGTTCTGGGTAACTGTTTGATCCACATTATGAAATAAAAATAAAATAACTTCTCCTTCATTTGTAAGTTTATTCGACATAACATTATACTATATGGAACTAAAACATCGAAAGGAAAAAAGAATAGATCAACATAATTTAGAAACATCAAGTTTTTTACTCATCCATTTCAGACATGGAAGCTATTTATTTTGAAAATAATTGTGATTCTTCTAAGAAAATTGTCTAGTCCAGCAGCAGCTATTCTAAATATTTCATTTTATCAAATAATTTTTTTAATCATAAAATCTAATTTAACTTTTAATGCTTCGCATCGCATTATGTGCACGAGTGTAGCTCAGATACCATCTAGTTGTTCTCGTTATAATTAGAAGAGAAAATGATATTTTGTGTCAATTTTTGTAGAGACATATTCAGCAAAACAAAAGGAAATGTTCTATGGATTCTGCTTTAATTTATTCTATTCATATAGTTTCCCACAATATATTATATCAGAATACTTTATTGAAAATAATTAGCTGAAAATTGGCGACATCTATTTTTATATTAGATAATAAGTAAAATAAAAATAAAATTTCAAATAAAAATAGAAAATTATGATATTTTCATTTTTACTGTAATTAGTTTTATTAGATTTTCTATTATTGCACCATCACAACACAACACACCTATCTTGTGTGAATCATGCTTTTATCCAACAAGTTGTCTACCTCACAAAAAATAAAATCCCACGCACACACAAACAATCCGTTCTTTCGTGTGTTCATTGTGTGTATACCCATAGTTGTCTTCAATCTTTCTTTTGATCAATCTGTTCTGATTTTTTTTCATCGCCTACATACATAACAAGGAAAAAATTCTACTCATGACGAGTATCGCCAATCCCAAGTTAACAACATCTATGCTGTCTACAAATACAAATAGCACCAAGAATACATCATCATCATCGATCAAAAAAGAAGTCAACAATAATAATACATCACGATCATCAAATGGAAATACTTCTAAATCGCCTATCAATAATAAAAAAGAACCTGCTCAAAGTTCACAAGTAAAACGTAAAAGTCGAGTTCTATCTAGTAGCGACGAATCAGATGATGACAACCAATCATTGGTAAGTAAAAAAATATAAAAACGAAAACTTTTCATCCCGCCAATCTTTTTTCATTGTTCACTTACTCATTCACGTTGAATGCTTTCGTTTTTCAATTGCCACGTATACTAATATGTCTATTCAGCTCACATTCGATTATGCTTTTGAATTTTTATTTCAAGCTGTTATCAGAGATATTGTGCGTATGGCCTGAACGAGAGAAAAAATAACACATAATTGTGAACATTTTTCTATACACATTTTTTTGTTTTTAGGCAAAAAAAGCTGCCGCCTTAAATGGGCAAATTACATCAACATCTGTTGCAGTTAGGCATGAGCAAAAAAAAGACTCCAGCCCAACAAAAAAAGATACTCCCGAAACACCTACAATTAAAAAGGAACCTGTTACCCCAGCTGTTAAAAAAGAAACAACTCCTGTAGTTAAAAAAGAGTCAACAACGCCTGTTACTGTTAAACAAGAGCCTAAATCGGAATCGGCGCACTCAAAGCGTAAAAGCACACATGTTGATACCGACGACGATGATATACCGTTGGTAAGTTATGATTTGAGATGTGTTTTTTTTGTGTGTTAATTGTTTTTACTACTTATTAAATAGGCGAAAAAAGCTAAAAATCAAGCTCAACGCAAATCAGTTCCAGTTGTTGTAAAAAAAGAGAAAATATCAGATGCTAGATCATCATCAACAGGAAAATCATCATCAACAGGAAAATCACCATCAGCATCGTCTTCATCTAATAGAAAATCATCGACAAATGCTAAACAAGAAAAAAGCACAGCTAAAAAAGAATTAAAACCAACAATAAGTTCATCGCCAACAAAAGAATCAACTGGAAAACGAAAGAAAAAAGAAGAAGACGAAGATGTTTGGCGATGGTAAAACTCATAGCTATATGCTTATTTTATCTTCATTAATTCCATTTGTTGTTTTTTGTTTCAGGTGGGAAGAAGAAAAATATACTGATGGTCGTAAGTGGACAACACTCGAACATAAGGGTCCACTATTTCCACCTCCATATGAATCTTTACCACCACGTGTAAAATTCTTATATAATGGTTCGTTTTCTTTTCTAGTGTTTTTATCCTAATAAATTTCGTTTTTTCTCTTAGGTACGGAAGTTAAATTAAAAGATCCAGCAGAAGAAATAATGACATTCTACTCGCGTATGTTAGACCATGATTATACATCGAAAGAAGTTTTCAATACTAATTTTATGGCTGATTGGCGTAAATCGATGACACAAGCTGAACGTGAATTAATTAAAGATATTCGTAAATGTGATTTTACTCAAGTGGCTAACTATTTTAAAGAACAAACTGAACAAAGAAAAGCAATGAGTAAAGAAGAGAAAAAGAACCTTAAAGATGAAAATGAAAAATTACGAAAAGAATATGGCTATTGTATGTGGGATAAACATCGGCAACCAGTTGGAAATTATAAAATTGAACCTCCTGGTTTATTTCGTGGCCGTGGTGAACATCCTAAAATGGGTTGCGTGAAAAAACGTATTCGACCAGAAGATGTCATTATTAATATTGGTCGAGAAGCACATATACCAAAGCCACCTGAAGGACATCATTGGAAAGAAGTTAGACATGATAATAAAGTATCATGGCTTGTGATGTGGACAGAAAATATTCGAGGAAACAATAAGTATATTATGTTAAATGCTTCATCCCGTGTTAAGGTACGTATTTAAAAATTGAACATTTCGATTATATTTATATCTATGACAAGGCAAAAACATAAACGAACGATTCTAATGTTCATCTATCGTAGTTTGGGTTTTTTCTTAGTATAGACATCATGATAAACAAAATTATATAGAAGATTTTCAAGTACAGTTCTGCATTAACATGACTTGTTATAAGAAACAAAAGAAGAATATCTGTACTTCTTAACTAACATATAGTATTAGGTACTACTATCTAATGATAGACTCAATAGTTTGATATCGTTTCTAGAGCTTATACTAGCGACAACTTGTAACAGAAAGTCAGTCTTTTGAAAAATTCTGCGAATCGATTACTAAAACACACATTTTAACCACAAGCAGACTAATTAGTCACCAACACTTTTATATGTCACATTGTACTCGATATGTTATCTGATGTGTAAGACGAGAAAAATATCAATGACTTGTCTCGATCTAATTAATACGTAATGGTACTATAAGTTGGAACTTTGTATCGTCTAAACAAGTGTAAAACAACACAGCTACTCAGTCATAGACTCTAGTATCATACCTGTATACACAGACGTATTAGTATTGTGCAAACATTTGATTTTTTTTAATGAAAGCAAATTTTAAAAGGACCTATTTACTCTCTTGGACGGGTGGTTTATAACTGCAGGCGTCCAAATAATTATTTTTGAGAGCACACAAAACATACTAAATGTAAAAATTACTATAGAATCTAGGTTGGATAAAACGCAGTTGGTAGTATTATTGAATATTCATGAATTATCAGCGAAACAGAATAGACGAAATATTTTGCTAGTTTTCTTATGTTGAATTTTTAAAACTTGTGCTTTATAAAATGATTTTGTTTAGGGTGAACGTGATTGGCAGAAATATGAAAAGGCACGAAAACTGCATAGAGTTATTGATAAAATACGTGAAAACTATCAGATTGATTGGAAAAGTAAAGAAATGCGTATACGTCAACGTGCAGTTGCATTGTATTTTATCGACAAAGTAAGTTGAAAATATTCAATTATTAATTTCAAGAAAAAAACAATATTCATATTTCTATTTAAGCTTGCACTTCGTGTTGGTAATGAAAAAGATGAAGACGAAGCTGATACTGTTGGTTGTTGTTCATTACGTGTTGAGCATATTAAATTATACGATAGAATCGAAAGTATAGGCGAAAATATAGTCGAATTTGATTTTCTTGGTAAAGATAGTATTAGGTAAAGATAAACAAAATATTATATTTACTTGAAATAATCTTTAAATTATTTACTATTTAGATACACTAATAAAGTCAGTGTCGAATCACGTGTATATAAAAATTTAAAACTATTTATGGAAAATAAAGAAGACAATGATGAATTATTCGATCGTTTGACGGTAATAGATTTTAAAAAATTAAACATTGTTCATCATTTTGTTTTTGTTGACTGTAATTTATTTCAATAGACATCAGGTCTCAATCAATATTTAAGTGAATTAATGGATGGACTTACTGCTAAAGTCTTTCGAACATATAATGCTTCAAAAACACTTCAAGATCAATTAGATTTACTTACGAATTCAAAAGCAAATGTTCCAGAAAAAGTTCTTGCTTACAATCGTGCTAATCGCCAAGTTGCATTACTTTGTAATCATCAACGTTCAATACCAAAAACGTTCGAAAAAAGCATGGAAACACTTAAAGCTAAAGTAATAAAAGAATGATTAATTTTGATTAAAGAACTTAGCATTTTCGTTATTTTTCTTGTTTAAGATTGATGCAAAAAAAGCTGAAGTTACTGAGCAAAAAGCAGAACTTAAACGAACAAAACTTGAATGTAAGAATTCTAAAAGCCAAGCATCTCAAAAGAAATTGGAACAAATTGAAAAGAAATTTCAACGTTCTGACGACGCTTTGAAAAAACTTGAATTACAAGCACTTGATAGAGAAGAAAATAAAGATATTGCACTAGGAACATCGAAACTTAATTATCTTGATCCACGTATTAGTGTTGCATGGTAAGAAAGGAAAAGTTTTTTATGTTTCTTTTTTTTATAAATATTATATATTCAGGTGTAAAAAATGGAATGTACCAATCGAAAAAATTTATTCCAAAACTCAACGTGATAAATTCCGTTGGGCTATCGATATGGCAACCGCTGATTATCACTTTCACAATTATAAAGGTGAAATTGTTTTGCGTAATGTCGACGAATCAAATAATAATGGCGATGAGGAAGATGATGATGAAGAACAAAATTCAGATGATGAGTGATTTTCTTTTGTTTGTTGTTTTTCTTTTCCATACTTCTCGTTCAATTATGCGTGCAAAAAACAAGATCTTTACTCGCATTTCTTTTGTCTACTACATTTGTCCATGTATTGCTTTTCGTTTTTTTTCGTGTCCTTCTCTTTCATTCACTCTCCGCTTATAATGTTTTCTTTCTTTTTCTGTCTTGTTCTCATTAAAATGTTATTCGTATTGACCAATAAAGACAAAGAGTCTTAAGAAGAATACTTTGGGTATTATGAATAGTTGCAGTTTAGTTACTTTCATAAGCAGTACTTAAACTAACGATTTGCTAATAATCAAGACTAATTGTGAACATTTCTTCAGGCAATCAGAGTGCATTAAATACTATTAGTAAATAAATCCGAATCGTCTGTTTAATTTCAGCAAGTTGTTTCGAATCAAAAGAATCATTAATCAATTTTACATATAATTTAAAACATAGATGTATGAACAAAAAATGTATAACAAAATACATACATCAAAATAAGAACATCAACACAAGTGACATGTATAAATGCAAAAAATAAATGAGTGAGATTTATGAATAGACAACTTTTCAATTGTCTGTCATACTTAACCTGACTTTTCTTTTATAACTAATGATGTGTAATATTTAAATACTAGTAGAGTTGAAACTATAAAGAATTCCTTTTAATTTAGATACAAAAGTAGAAAAAATAACCCTTCACTTTTATGAATTTCACTACGGAAAATGAAGAGTGATAAATAGGGGTGGTACGTTTACGTTAATTTAAAACTAACATTAACTAACTCGCATTAAATTAAATGGTCCACCTCTAGTGATAAATGTCAACTTTATTATACAATGGAGACGAAAACGATTTGAAAATGTATTGTCTTAGGCAATTATTTTTTCGAAATGCACGAAAATAATAGTTTGTTTATAGAATATTGAGATTTGAACATATTTTCTCTATGACGAGACTTTAATTTTATTATTTAAGGAACAATTGAAGACATTATCTTCCCAGATGTCAATCATGAGCAAAGCAAAATCTCATATTTATCGCATAAGATTGCCTAGAAATCTGTTGATTTGTTGCAAACATGATGATTTTTTATCAAAATCTTCTTGTAACGAAGCATCAATCTACTTGATTGTTTTCTAAAGTTTTATGTAGGTGATGATCATTAAAACGTTATTTCTGTTTTCTGAAATAGTGAATTTAGACACACATTTCTCTTTCATCATTATATGAAGGTTTGACCGAGTAATCATTCTCAATTATTTATATCCTAAACTAACACATTGTCCAGTGTTTTTAAATATCTAATATAAACCGTACCAAGCTGAAAAATAGAGAATCATCGAAAAAAAAAATACTAATTACTCATGAAGTATATGCATAAAAATCGTTTTTTACTTCGAAGAGATAGAATCAAAGTAAACTAGATTTAAATTGACTTCAATTAAAGTCAGCCATAGTTTACTACAAAAGTATGAAGGGAATGCATTTTTTCAATCTTCTTTACATTTTAAAAATTCTTTCTGATTTTGCTTTTTTTTTAATCAAAGCAAATGGAAGGACATGACATTTGTGCGACTAATTGCAAGGATAGATTTACATGTTTAGTGGAATATTCTCTCCAAGGAAATGACTTACTTTCATGATTCTAATAGAACTACTATTATGATCAATTCCTATGTTAATACAAATTTTACGATGAATAATTCGTGACTAAGATATGCCAGTAAATAAATCAAGCGTTTGCTGATTTAGTTAATGCTTATTCTATTTAATGAGTGAGTTGAATCTAAAAAGAGACGAAAATTTATTATCAAAAATGATATGTATATTTATATAAACTTGAAACTTATCATCCATCGAGTTATTTTTTTCGTATGATCGAGGTTAATTAATTACTAAGTATTGTTTTAATTTATGATAGTTAAACAATTGCACGTGTCTTTTATGAAAGTAGTTATAGTTATATCATAATAAGAGTCGACGGCGAAGACTGGAAGTTTTCCTTGGCATAAAATTTTACTTTTCTTCTATGAGGAACTAATATTTTTGTTTTATAAATAAATATTCTATTCGGCGACCTGTATAAATAAATTATTTGTTGAGAAATAATGCTACGCATATTTTGATATAAGTATAAATGTATGTTCATAGTTATTTTTGTTTGGTAGTATTCATAACATCAGGTCTTATTACAACTTGACTCATCGACTCTTGTCTAATGACATACAGTGAGTATGTTCAATAAAGATTTATTATTAATTAAGTATGTTAAAGATGGAAAATGGTTCAGAAGTAAAATGCATTAATGAAAATTTATTTTTACCATCTAATGAATTGCGTAGGTTTCTGTTTCATTTAAAGTTCAATTTATGAATTGAGGATAGTTAGCAAATACTTCGTCTTCAGTTGTTGCATTCAGAATAAAGTAATGTTGAATAGAAAATAGTTGTGGATAATTTTTGTCATCAACTTTATTATGTTATTTCTTGAATTGAAAACAGAGAGAAAGTAATTAATGGCAGAGCAGTTAATATGTAACTATATTAAAATTAGATATTGTCGTTGAACAATAAAAACAACAAAAATATGATAACAAAAACTGGCATATAATTTATCGCAGTTTTCCTACAAACATAAACTGTTTTTCCAAAATAGGCGGATTTGATCTGTTTTTATTTCAATTTTTCTTTAGTACTGCTTTACATTATCTTCTTGGAACCGTAGCTAGTATCTTCTCTATTTGCATCGAGATAATATTTTTGTTTTTTGATTAGCTGTCTTAACTTCATATTTTATTCATTTATCCTGTATAATTTATTCCTTTTTCTATATCTATAATAATACTATTTCATTGCCTTGGTGAATATACGCATTCTGGCGTGAAGCATGGCTAAACACATGTTATTTGCATACTAGTGTTGCTATCGGAGACTCGATACAGATTTTCTGCTCGAGTACAGCCTTGATGCATCTAATTCTATTTGAATATTGTCTGTGTTATATGAACTAGATAATTATACTTCAAAGGTAACTATCATTATCTTTCACCAGGCATATATATGTATTGCATGAGAAAAAGCAAAATGTACAACTATGTAAAAGTATTATTTTGGTCAGATAGAATATAGATTCTTATTTTCTTTGTAACTGATTTTGAGTAATCATTTTAAAAAGAGAGATTTGAAATTCGTCTTGTGATTTAAGTGTTTTAGATCAATACCGATTCTCAAGGTTTTGATTCAATTAAAATACAATGAAACGCGTTGGTGTTATATTTGCTCTTTTCTGATTGTGACTCTATACTAATTTTACAACCATTGGACAAACAAACGTGCATCAAAAATTTTAACCTGATTAACTCGAACATATTATCACTATAAAATTCATCAGGTCGATATAAACATTTGAGGCATCTTTTTATTTTTAGGACAAAATGTAATTTTTAATTGGCTACTACACGTATAAATCACTTACATGTTTCATTCTTTGTTTGCATTAAATAACAATTCTCTACGCATATAAAGGACAAAAGTTTTTTAATGGACCGATGAAGTTATTCGATGCTGTAACTCCTATTAGATGTTCATGCTAGCGCTTAATACTTAAGTTTAGCATACTCAAGAATATTAAATATTTCATTTACATCATATTCAATTATTATTCATATTTAAAAGATAAGTTCATGATAAGTATATCTGCTTTCAGGATAACTGTTAAACATATGACAATTTTCTACTTATGCTTAAACATGAACTCATTAACAGTATTTTAAACATGATGAAACATTGTTATCTCGTATTGCGATCATTAACGTAATTATAGAGTATTTTAATAGGGTTCACGATGAATTAAAATTGTTTCAAGCAATCTTAGAAGATGTTTTCTTTATTATTTTTGTTATGAATGGATGTGAAATCGCCGAAAGAAAACACGTCGAAAAAGGAATGTCGAAAAATAAATATCGAAGAAAAAAATATCGGAAAAAAGCGATTCTGAAGAATATTTCAAAAGCATTGAACTTCAAGATTTTCTGGTTGAAACAGATAATTACGTTACCCTTTCAAGTTAAAACAATTATTATTCCAATCAGTATGAACCTTGCCTTTGTAATTCTTAGTTTTACAGATCCAATATATCTGCGAAGATGTTTGTTTATTGAATTTGTAAAAGAAACTATTCCGAATCAATTGTCAATAACTTTTGTTGGAATCACGAAAAGATATAGAATTTGTATTAGTGGGCATTATACAGTCGAAAGAATTAAGTGATGAAACTGCAAAAAATGTGTACTGCAATATCTAAAAGCAAGCGAAATATGTAGAAGGCCGCATAACAATACTGTGATTGTTTTTTGTTCTTTTGTAGCGCCGATATGTGCTACATTCTAGGATGTTCGCTCACAAAATTACTTATTGAGGAAAATTATTTAGCTAATCGTTGAAATTCTACTGAGAAATAGAAAATAAAATAAAATAAAATAAAACAAAATCAATATTGTTTTATAACGATATCTCACAATTTTCGACATTGTATATGTTCGACATTTATTTTTCGATATCTCGTTTTCGACATTTTTGCTTTCGACGTTTTCAATACGTACCTTTGCTATGCACTGATTGAAAGCAGAATGAAGTGTACACAATGCAACAAAATCAACTCAACTTTGTATATAAGAAAAAGCACATTCACATGTTTGAAGAGTGCTAACAAAAAATAGATAAATTTTCTTGAAGAGTATTATTCATAATTAAATACAATAAAAATAACGATAATGAAAATTCAAGTTGAAATACAAAAATTAACTTGCAGAAAATTATATAAATAGACATGCCTCTGAATTAATGATTTTGAATAGTGTTGATTGTTTTATGTTATGAATCGTCATCTGAATCATCATTGATCCATAATGGTGGTGAAAATTCTTGAACCGTTTGCCACACAATAGCTATAATCATGATAATGCAATTTAAAATAGATATATGTATATCAATGAAAAACTCATTTTCGAAAATCTAATTGCTGTTGATTTTGTGCGGTTTTTGCAAAAAAAGACTATTTATTATTAAAAATGAAACAACACTAATGGAACTTTATTGATACGAAATATATATGGCTCATATAAACTTAGAGAAGAAGAAATTTGTTGTTATTCTTCGATTTTTCATCGAACTATTGTTGTGAAAATCGAACTAATTATTTCTAAGTACAACAAATAAAACAACCTAAATTTCTATTTCAAAAGACTTACATATCCATTGCTCCTTCGTATAATCTAGGTCTTGATGTTCATCGATCATAGGATCTATAGTTGGTTCTTGCATTGGATCGTGCAAATTTTCCAAAAATGGATGAGCTCAATCAAAAAATATGATATCTAGTACAGTTAACGTGTAATCTTATTATTATAATTTACCTAATGCTTCTTCGACAGTAGGTCGTTGACGAGGATCAAATGATAGAAGTCGTTCAAGTAAATCAATACCTACAATCGAATGGAATGTAGCTCATTGCTGCCTCTCTTGTTCATTTTTATAGTTTCAACGTACCTTTTGGTGAAACACCTGATATTGGTACTGGCGTTTTTGAACCATATTTATAACCGAACAATTCATGAAAATCTTTTCGCTGTTTAGGTTCCATTTTAAGAATAAAACTAGCTGCCTCTAAATATTTTTTCAATACAATATGATTTACATTTTATAACATCTGTCTAATCTGATCGATAATAATTGACAAAACAAAATAGTCTTAGTTCAAGTTGATCAAGAATTCCTTTTTTCAATCATCTAAATGCCGTAGTCAATATTTCACTTTGACGGTTTTCACTGACCTGTGGAACATATTTCATTTAATGTTGCTTCATCCGGTGTACCTAGAATGTCGATTATTTTATTTAGCTGTTCAATAATATCGTTTCCAGGGAAAAGTGGTTTGTGTAAGATAAGTTCTGCCATGATACAGCCCACAGGCCATATATCAACCTTTTTATCGTATTTTTGCTCATTGAGAAATACTTCTGGTGCGCGCCACCATCTAACAAAAACAAATTTTCGCAGTAGTCATGAAAATAATATACTAATAAATAGTTTCCATGCCTGCTTGAAATATAGGCAGTTGGAAGAGCAGTCGACTCAACACGTGCTAGTCCAAAATCAAGAATCTATATAAAACAAGAAAGATGACAATCAATATAGAACCACTTGAAAATGAAGAAAAACGAGTGAGAAAATGCAAGTGGATGCAGAATTAGATGTCGATTATGTGTCAAATATGTCACTGTGGACATTAAAAAGGTGTTCGCGATTTTTTAACATAGTTTCATGTTTGAAACATTTCAAATAAGAAAAACGAAGAGAATATATCTATATAAACTTTAGTACGAAAGATTAAGAAAATAGATCATTCAGATTTCATAAACTTTTAGTTCTTGATTCGGTTTTTATTTAAAGATAGAACGAAATCACAATTATCAGCTATACTTCTAAATACATAGACAAAATAGATATTTTTCTCAAGGAGTTCATTGCTTTTGTCGATTCTTTCTCGATACATCCTAGTAAATATCATGCAAAAAGCCTATTTGTTGTGAATAAAATTTAAAAATATAAATAATAGAGAATGATTCAATGAGATATATCAATCGATACATATTCGTGAGAAATATTTAAAAACAAAATGAGTTCTTCACTAATCGAATAGTCAATGTTCTTCTACAGCATTACTTTACATATTAACAAATATATTCGTCGAAGAACCAACTAACCCTAGTCGAACTTTTTCTTGACGTTAATGAATTTCTTGAGCATATTGAGACCTGTGCTTGACAAGCACAGGGGAAAAATTTGACCACAGAATATTCATAGAACAATAGCAGATCGTCGTGTATAGGTTAAGGATATCGTGAAAATGGACTTATTATTTACAAAGTTATGAAAACTCAAGAAACAAGAAAAGTATTATATTTATCGAAAATATATAAAAATAAATGCGGAAACATCGGATTTGCATCCGATTGTTATGTGTACTTCAAAAAGCGAAAATGTGCATCCATTTTTTTCTATAAGGCATAGATCTCATCAAGATACATCCCTTCTCGCTAAATTACAAGGAGAAAATACAGGCATGCTAAGTTAGCATGGACCACACTGTATGCAACTCTATCCAGTGATCACTGACTCTACTCTCAGCATGATATAATATCTTTAGAGATCACAGAAATTGAGCTCAGATTCGTGTTCAGCTTCGAAAACTGGATAAAAACAGTTATTTTTGAATGGTTTTGTGTTTGTATCTAGCAGGATTACGATCGTAAGCAACCTCATGAATTTACAAGAGATAAATGATAGATACAGGCATCAGTATTTTCATAATAAATCATCAATAGTAATAGCTATCGAGTTCGGGTTTTTACCTTTCGATAGTCTTTTTGACTAGCTGCAAAACCAGGCATTTGAGAAACCCCCAAACTGCTGGTCATCTGAAACATATCTAGGCAATTTCGTTTCTAGATGCAGTTTTTGTGTATTTTGAGATCTTTTTCAGTCAATGTTTCGTTAAAAAACTACGATTTTTTTCAAACTAATATCAGATTCAAAATCAGCGTTAAAAACTGAGTCGATTTATATACGTTGTGGATAATTCTGAGAAAAAAAGGTTTTTTGAAAAATCCCTGTACTCTCCCTCAGGGATTGTCCGGTCAATAATGACAATTTTTTCGATAACTCAACCATTTCTTGACGGATCCTTCTCATCTTCGAACTCGACTGAGACATTGATGAGGCTGAACTGTGTAGAAAATTTCATCATGATCTAACTCTCCTTTCGAGAGTTATCGTGTAAACGGACGGCCGGACGGACACACTGACCGATTCTAGAGTGTACTCACTTTTTGAGCACACAAAAAAGACATTAGATACGTATCCAACTAATTTTTCATCTAGTGTCATTGATCTCTAAACAATTTTGAATCGCTACTACACTAAGAGAAATAGAGTTCAGATTTGAAGAATATCTTCGATATGATCAACTGTCATAGTTCTCATTTGAATGTCATAGCGTGGAAAGAATCGAAAGTAAGCCAAGTGTTCGATCGACATTTTTAGAATAGAACTCCTCATTAATAGAATTCTTTCTTTAGCATCAACATATGATAAGGTCACGAGAGAAGCAACACAATCTTGAGAGTACACTAGTTTCATCATGAAAAACTTACCGTAGCATTGGAATTTTTATCAATTCCAATATTCGATGGTTTTAAATCCTATTGTAATAGATTTAACGAAAAGCAATTCTTTATCTAACAAAATGTCTTGATTGCTCTTACGCGATGAATAATGCCAGCTGAATGAATAAACTAGATAAATAAAAAACATTCAGGAATACTGTAAGGCTACGGCAAAATTTAAAATACTTTCAAACCACGAAGAATCGAATAGATCATATGTTTAACGTATGATTCTGTAGGAGGTAGCTTTTTTATCATTCGATTTAAATCATAGCCAGCATCATTAAATACCAAATATCTTTTCACCAAGAGAAGAAAAACAGCTAAAAACCTTCACCAAACAAAAAAAAATTTTTAAACTTACAACGTTTTAAATTCGTTGACATTTTTTTCAGGTGTAAATACATTATATAATTGTATAACCTAAAAAATCGACAATCAAAGAAAACTTCTAGAGAATAAAACACAATCATTGCTACAAACTTGTGAATCAGGATGGTTTAGATGTATCAGTAGTTTGAGCTCACGATACGTTCGTTTTGCGTGTATATGTGTTTGAAAAGGCTGAAGAAGTTTCTTTATTGCTACAGATTTGCCGGTTAACTAAAATGCAATTAATGTTTTTGTTTAGTGTTTTGAAATTCAAGTTCATCATAATCATAATCATAATCATAATATGTACATACGGTATCTGTGGCACGACTAAACAACAATCGAATGATTATGAAAAGAAATTAGAATAAATTGTCCAGCTTACCCAACAGCGCCATAAGTTCCGTATCCAATATGAACTAAATTTTGATATCGTGTAGGTAACGTAAATATACAATTACCACAACTAGCTGTATACCAGCCATCCTGTTCACTATCATTAGATGTCATGCTTGTTTTCACAATACTGTAGCAGCAGTAATATGTTAAGTTATATTTTTATATTTCACAAAAAAATATACAATCAAAAGAGTAATCATTTGATTGGTTTTTGAGAGAACACGAAGAGGAAGTAAAAGAACAGAATGAAAAACTATACAGTGAAATGAAAAACGACGTGCAGGACAAAGAGAAAAAATAACAACCGAGAAAAATGAGTCATTATCATACTGAAACAGCAATAGCTGTGTAAGTAGGGGCGTAACCAGAGGGGGGCCAGGGGGGGGGGGGGGGGGGGCGCGCCCGGGCTTTGCCCAACGACTTATCCCCCCCTACAATTTTTTTCTGGTTACGCCCCTATGTGTAAGTGTACAATAACAAACTCGAGTATCAAAACAAAGTATCAAGGCATTGAACTTTCACAATGATATATGGGACGAAAAAATATTTTATACTGATTTTTGAACTCGATCGCCACTGTTTATTTTTCTTGATGTAGGTTATCAAAAGATATTACTATTCTGTGTGATAGGGAGCGATAGACTTTTGAAGATTGAAATATTGTTTCGTTTCTTGTTTAGTCTGCATGCTAACTATGAAGATGCCCTTCAAATGAGTAATTAATTGATTGCCTTGAGAAATGAGAAAAAATTTGAAAACATACAGTAGACCAATCGGATTATTGGTATGTTTTGTTTTCGTAGTCTTCCTTCTTGTCATTCGTATTACACATTCGCGATCGTTAGAAGATAGATTATATGCAATAAAAGGAACAGCATCGTCATCATATTCGCGTACATCATTATTTTCTTCAAATAATGCAAATGTAAATTTAGATCAAGATAATAATTTAAAGGATGTGACCAATGAAACAACCTTTAATAATGAACTTCTTCATCTTAACTCACAACGTTTAACTGTTAGTTATTCAATATCAAATGGAAGTAAAAATTGATCTTATCAACAACAGCGATTCATAGAAAGATACTTGCAGAACTATGCATGACAACATTTATCTAATGCAAGCGAAGTTTTTAGGATTTTGCACAGAGATCGAAAAGTTCAATATTCTCAAGAATAAAACGAGATGAATCAAATGTGAAATGCATTTGTAAAGCTCGTATTTCCGGGATTCTAATCAGATAGACACTTTGACATTAACATCGCATACAAAAATATTAGATAAGGCTGCCAAGCTGCATGCTAGCCTCACTTTGCACGAGAGTTAGCCACAAGCTCACTAGATGTATCTTTAAAATCAAACTCAATAAAATGCCATTCTCATACACTCAGTGTTCGATAACTCTTCTCTTGTAAAGAATTGTTTAAAAACAACTCTACGGTTATTCAGATGATCAAACTCTATCAGACAGTGCAGAAATCAAAATAAAATAAAATACGGTCGATTTTAGAATTAGCTAAAGCTTACTTATAATTTCGTTCTAACTGTGGTTCAGTACAGAAATAAGTCAGGGCAATAATTGATTTTGAATTTCATAAGTGCCTAGCTTACGATTTGGATTTCAATTCGGCATAATACATAATGCAATAGGTGTCAAGCAAATTAATCATTGCTTAGTGAACAGCTCTCAACGCTTTCTATTGAAAACAGTTTATTGATTAATTCAAAATAACAACTTTTATTTTGATAAACAGATATCAGTATTTGTGCATGTCTATATGGAAAGAGAAAAGAGAAAAGAGAAAAAGCACCATGAATTGCGAAAGAAGTATTTTCTTTACAGTCAAAGTATTGAGATACACAAAAATGAATTCACATTAATTATCGACGACGATCACAACACACACAAAAAATAACACTTACAAATCCGAGATACACTCGGAGAAAAAGAAAACTTTGATCAACAAAGCATTTGCGAGTAATAAACATCATATACACACTATCATACGAAACAGAATAACAAATTTCTGTTTGTAATACAGCCAAGACGTTGTCACTTCCCTTGTGAAGACGAGCTGGAATCGTCAGAAATGCATAGCTCACATCTTTTCTCCAGTTTGCCTTCCAACGTGGTAAGTTTTTTCTTCAATTTATCAAAAACATCTCCCAGTGCTTGAACACTCTCGAACAATTGATTATCTGATTGACCAAGATCTTCAATCGTCTGATTGCGTTCAAGTATTGTTTCTCGAGATCATTGATTTCAATATTCATCGATTCGCTGTTCTTATCGGCATCCGTGGTTTTAATATTTCAAATCTCAGGGCGTGACGGTACGGCTGGAAACGACCGAAAAACACGGAAAATAGCTTGAAGGTGGAAGCAGTATTCCGACCGGAAATTTCCGAACGTTTTCCCGGTAGATTCCGGTCAACTTCCAGTGCTGTCCGGCAGGAAGCGACAGTAAATCATCGGGAAAAACTGCGAAAAATTTCCGCCCGGAATACGGCTTCCAGTTTCCAGCGATTTCCCGTGGTTTCCTTTGGAATACGGTAATTTTCCGCATCTTGTCGGCCGGCTCCTACAATGCCTTGAAGGTGTGGGTGTGGATGGGTGTGAGGACTCGCGTGTCCGCCTTTTCTGACACCCACATTTGGGGTGATGTGATGTGTTTGCGTTGGTATAAGACAGTGTCTCAAATCGTCTGCCTTGTTGTTTAAAACTAGTTGCTGCAAACTTCGTCTTGAAGGGTTCATTGTAAATCTGTTTAAGAGTGTAACATACATAGTTAGATGTTGCAGAGAAGATAACCGGGGAGGAAGTGGAGTTAACTCGAATCTTCAATATCAACTCCCTAAATCGAGTTTTTGTTGAAAGTTTGGAGTCTAAAAGCTTCGCTATACTAAACTGAAACTAACAAAATATGAATTTCTCGTCAAGAGGTGTGTCAAAAACAAATTTCAGACCCGTAGCATGTTTTAGCCAGGAGATATGGACTGCCAAATATTCGTTAAAAAGCGATTTTCCCCTTCATTGGTGGGATAATTCATAAAATGGAAATCTAAATATATTCCTAAATTATAAATGGACTGCCAGTTTGACGATCTTTTTCTTTTGATTTGTGATGATTTTCAAAATGTTACGATTTTTTTTGTTTTATTTTCGAATTGTGAATAGCTATTCAGATATCGATTTATATTCGAAGTCGAACTAGGCATCTCATGCAAAAGAAGGCTTTGTGGTCGCTGGAGGTCAATGCAAATGGAATTCTCTTATACAACTGTCGCATCCGAGTGGACTCTTCTTCGATATGTTCGGTACTCTCTATGTCGCAGACGAGAAAAACAATCGTGTACTACGTTGGACTCGAGGAGCGAAACAAGGCATTCAAATTGTGGATGGAAATCCTCTAGGATCAGAAGTAAATCAGCCATGTGGTCCCAAAGGTTTGTCTTTCGATCGACATAATACTCTCCATGTGGTCGATTGGTATATTAATCGTGTTCAACGACTTTCTATCGAATACACACGTGAATAGTTTTTTTGTTTCTTTTTTTCCTTTGAAATGAATGAAAAATAAATTTTCTTTCTTTGTTTTTTATTATTCTTTCTCTCTTGTTGGAAAGAAAAAAAAGTCAAAAAAGATATATACGTATATATATATATATATAGGATTACATCATGTTCTTTTTGCTCAAATATTAAGCTTTTAAAATCTGGAAAAGGTTATAATGCAAAACCTTTCACAATAAAAAAAACACCCAAGACCTATCTTGACGGTGACTGTATCGAGTGTAAGCTCATCATGCCGAAGCAATAGATTCATCGTGCAAATTCCATGCAACTATCATGAAATTCTATAATGTGCAGTCAAATTCGTGTGCTGTGGACACCAAGATTTTTCAGTGAAACTCAAACAGTGATAGCAAGAAGCAGAATAGTAAGTTCTAATCTAACTTCTTGTTTAATGAAATCAATGATAGTGTTTTTATAAAACCTATTTTAATCCTATTATAAAAATGAACATTTATTGTGTGATATGTTATTCCCATCAGATAGAACAATTAACTGTAATTTATTATTCAAGAACAAAATCACAAGCAAAACTAGAATTAGACACGTTCATAATAAACGGATGTAACTGAATCAATAATAAAATAACGACTCGATGATAATGTTAGACAATAAGAACGCTGCAATTTATACTTCACAAGTCGAATAAGCACTGTTGTAAACGATCGTATATATTTGTATCGTATACGGACAAAAACTGGTCGTTTACAATTGTCATCTATGCCACGAGAAACGTTACGGACCTCTGTGAATGACTGTAACTTCACTATGTAATGGCTGTTTCCAAGCCGTCTTTACTGCAAACGACCGTATTCCAGGCCCATGATTTATAAACGTATTTTCGTTACATTTTTGCCGTATTCACATCTTATACGATCTCCGCTTGGATTCCTACTTGCCCGTAGTATAGTCACGACGGTGTAAGATCGTAATACTGAACCGTGTAAATCGCTAAAATACGCACACTTGCTATTGTATAGGAAGCGTACATATGTTGGTTTACAGGTGCATACCAAGTCCGTAACCGTCATGTTGGGTTACTCCATGGTATGAGAACAATTTTTGATACTATGAATGATGAGTATTCACACTACTTAAACATTTGGCAAAAGCTTGCAAACACTTGAAATTGTCTTTTAAAGAAATAGTTTCATTTAGTTAAGATAGTCTTATGTAGCTTGGTGACACAATACTGAATACTTCAATATCGAATGATTTTAAATATCTTTTTCTAAATTAGTACTTAGCTGAATACTGCTAGTTGGTTCGATGAGCTTAACTTAGTTTATTTTATCAGATCTTAAAATGTCCTTCAATTCATAGATAATATATCCGGAGAGAATAGAACAACAACAACAAGAACAAGAAAAGAAGAAAGAGCAATACAATAGCAGTAATAATACAGTAGAAAGCAGACGGGAAAAAGAGAGGGAGAGAGAGAAACAGAAGATCAACGGCATGCAGAATGTGAATCACCACTAATAAATACAATATGGTTTTTAACTTGGTCCAAGTGTTTTGATTAATTTATTATTAATATTAGAACGAAACACATTGATTAATAGTCAATTACGTTATTGTTCATAGAATCCTTACATGAGAAGTTATTCTAAAGTGCCGACAGCGTATCTTATGTTTATATCTTGTCTGTCATAGAAAACATAATTTCTAACTGAAATCAAACTATTTTGTCAAGTACAAACGTACGATTAAAATATTGAAACACTGTATACACAGTTTTCTAAATTTATTCATAGGGTTACTTCCATTAGTTTAACAAGAAATGAGCATTTATTTAAATATTTATATATGCGAACTCGGAAAAGTTGACAATCATTTCCAACTACTCTAATATTGAAATTGTCCATTAAAAAAAATGAATATATATGTTATAATTTTTCAATCATTTCTTAAATATTTCTAAGTACAATCACATCTAGTTTTAAAATTGAATACTCCTAGCTGTAACTATAGTCTATGTGAATACAGAAAAATTCAATAAATCTATTAAAACAGAACATTATTATCAGGCTGTCATTTTGTTTTGTTTTTTAAGTATGAATAAAACCAGTAGATAAACATTATTCATATACCATAGAGTTGATGGTTTCTTCTTATAACAAAAGGGAAAGATTTATTATTATATTTCTATCTCGATTTCTTATTCAATAGAAATAAAAATAAAAATAATGAAATGATTTTTTACATTTGCATGATTCATGGTTCATGTGTTAGTTGATGCATACAAAAAAAAATATTTTGTAATCATATTCTATTCTTCGCTTGATTCTCCTTCTTCATCTTATTTTCACTATCATTATTATCCTATTTTTATCGCATATAATATGCAAAAAGTGAGTATGTCATGGAAGTAATTATAGAAGACTGACGTGCTTTTTCTCTCTCTTTCTCTTCCTCGTTGGTGGTACTCGTTGTCTTCCATACTAGATAAATGAGTGAGGGCAAACAACAGAGCAAAAAAAATAAGATTTTTTTCTTTATATTGTCGAATTCAACACAATTATGTATCATCAATTGTCTTCTACCTCAAGATTAGCCCAATATGAATCATTCACACAATCAACACAAACCGAAATATTCAATGTAAATTCGAAAGATGTGATTACTACAAACCAGAAATCACGAATTCAACGATGGATATTTGGAATGATGATTGGTTCAGCACCATTTTTTGCTGTTATTATGTGTTGGATGTTTGTGTCAGTATGTATTAATAATTTAGTTAGATATTATCAAAGGCGAAAAAGAAAACATCGACATGATGCAAGAGCAAATGGAATTAAAAATATTGTATCTAGGATAAATGTTTAATATCGTATTCATGATGATTCTATCACAAATTGTTGTTGACAAGCACATTTTATTTTTGAATAAATGATGAAACAAAAAACGATCAAAACTTCTTGATTAAGATCAACAACATATAAAAATAAATGAGGAAACATCGGATTCGCATCCGACTGTTACGTGTACTGCAAAAAATGAGTCGATTTTTTGTATGTTTTGAATAATTCTGAGAAAAAAACGTTTTTTTGAAAAAATCCCTGTACTCCCCCTCAGGGATGGTCTGGTCAATAATGACAATTTTTTCGATAGCTCAGTCATTTCCTGACGGATCCTTTTTATCTTCGAACTCGACTGAGATATTGGTGAGATCATTCTGTGTACAAAATTTCAAGGCAATTGGATGAGGCTTTCAAGAGTTATCGTGTTAACGGCCAGACACACTGACCGAATCTAGTGTACTCACTTTTTTGAATACACAAAAAGACAGAAACCATAACATGTGAAACCTATGATAATATTGAAACTTGCTACATAGTAATCAATGTTTTCATTTCTTAGTTTCTATCAGAGACAGGTGCATATATTCAAAGAGACATCCCCCGAGTAATAATGTCAATTAATATAACAAAGTGTGCTATAACAGTCGTTTTTGCTATTCTCCACTCTACAAAATTATTTATGAGCATTTCTAAAGGAGTGAGACACGCGTCAAGAATCATTGCGACGTTACTTATCATTGATTGTTTCATAATTATTTGTTAGTTTTAAGCTAAGAAATATTTTTTGTATATAGCGAAATTTTTTTTAAAACTATTGTTGCTGATTTATATGATTTATGATGTTTCGAGATCTTTTATCTTGAATATCATAATGAAAAGTCAATCATTTGAATAGGAAAAAAAGAGTCCAATATTCTTGTCATGGTCTTGTTTTACGTAAAACGTGAATGATAGAATATTTCACAGAGCAGCGATAATAAGTCATACCCAGTTGAATTTCATTACAAAAATTCTTTTATTTTTCACCGCAGTTATTGATGCCCTAAATATAGAAATACTCTTAGAACTAATACTTTCCATTAAAAATAATATTTTATGATTTCTTATTTTTTTTGGTGTCATTGTATTTTCATTGATCAACTGCAAGAATCTCTTGTTAACGAAAGACTGTGCATAAAAATTTATTGTTTCTTCGTCGTGTTTACGCACCTGTGCATACATATTGAAATATTGTTGATATTATGCATAACAATGCAAAGATACTCTCAAGATTGTCTATTTCTTTCAAGCAGAAAAACTACTCTATGAGTTAGGTAAAAGTAATTAAATATGTGAATAGTCTTGTTTCCCTCTAGTCTATTTCAAGTTTCATATTCAGAAAGTGTACTGATTCATTGCATTGATAAGATGTCTTTGCATTTATTTTAATATATTTACTGAATTTATCGATTATTGTTGATTGACTTTAGTTGTAAGAGTTTTGATGATAATATTTTTTTCGTCTTCAGTGAATCTTCAGAAGTCTTTCAGTTTTTTATTTTTCACAGCATGCCACACACTCAAGAATATTAATTAAGAAAAACCATGAGATGTCAGAAATAAGTATTTCGCTTGTTTTATATATATATATTTCTATTGAAACGTTTTTCTCATTTCGAATTTCAGTCGTTATAAGTGATAGACTATTGAAGATTAGAGTAACTCTACTCGATTATGCTTGTTAGTCAATTGAAATGCCCGCGTCTAATTTACTTCAACGGACACTGACTGATGATGAATTGTGTCAGCTTCGACTTTGAACTTGATGAGTCTATAGCAAAGGCGGATATTTTGTTTCTATAGACTTATCTTTGTAGAGCACTAACTTTCAGATAAATGTCATAAAAATGCATTACAGTAGAGTTTCATCATTATTTTCTTTAATTCTACGCGTTGATATGAAAAATGTTAGTTGAAAAACGTTTTTCTTCATATCTTCAGTCTCATAAAAATCAGGAGACATCAACATTCGAATGAATGAGTTCATCTTTCTGTTGAAAAGAAGATAACCTATTTGATTCAATGTTGTTTTTGAAAACTATTTCAAATGAATTTTATGTTATATGAAACAAAACAAACATTAGTAAGCAATATCTCAAGGTTATAATATTCATAACAAAAGAAATAGATTCTATTCATGTAACTCATGGAGTATCTATAAGAAAATGTTCATATCATTTGTATCCTACGTTACGTATGAATAAATAAATTTTCATGCAATCAAATATGGAAAAGATAATTTCCTATCATTAATTATAATTTGAATCGTAGGAAATCTGATGGTCTAAAATAACTTCATTTCTCTGCATGAGTAGAATTATTGCATTAAAAGTGAAACTCTTCAAAAGAGAAAAGAAACGGTGTGCCGTAGAAAGAACGAAAAGAAAAATATCGAAAACTTGCACTAAGATGTTTTTATTCTTGAAATCATAATAGCATCATCGCATAAATCATAGATAAATAAGAGTTATAAAGAAAAATACACGTATCCAATATTTACTAGTTGTTGTTGTTTTATTTAGTTTGAAAATACATTTATCTGATACAAGGATAGGTTTTCCTTTTTACGACTGAATAAATGAAAAAACTGGAGTTGGCGGATGATTCTCACCAGATAAAAATGAGCAAGCTGTAGTCATCATGATAGAATTTTAATCCTTGTATACTATTTTACTCCTATTTTAGCTAGCTTTCATAAGATATTATTTATCAATAGTATCAATGGTTAACAGTGTCAAACCAATGGAATAATCAGATTAACAACAATGAACAATAAACTATTAGAACCTTCATTTAGTAGAGACGTCGCTTTTTTCTGTTTTCTGTTTTCGACATCTCTCCTTTTCGATATTTTTCTCTTCGACATTTATCCATTCGACATTTTTCCCTTTCGATATTTTTCTTTCGGTATTTTTCCCTTTCGACATTTTTCCTTTCGGCCTTTCTACGGCCAACCAAAGAAACGAACGGCAGAGAACTTCGAAGCTATCTCAATTTACATGCTTGTTTTCGTTTTGCTTTTCAGAAAAAGCTATTTCTATTTGATTACCTAAAACATAAATTAAAATTATGATTGAAAAACTCAATCGATAAGAATTATATTATGAGAACACTTTCATTGTATTTAATATACTTTTCGATAAATAACTGCAAGAATAAACATAAACATACAGAATAATAGAAAACTTCGAGAAATTTCACAATGCATGAGTATATCTCTATAACGGTGCTTTTATAGTGACGATATATTAAAAAATCGAATGCAACTATATTTTTAGGAGTACATATATAAATATATATAGTAGAGCCAAAAACAAAAGAAAATTTATTTTTTTTGTTATCTTCACCAGTCATGAGAAACAGCAACAGAAGACACCAAGCAAGAGAAAAACACACGCACACACACAGAATAATTGCCGTGCCTCTATAGATAGATACTGTTACAATAGCACAACATGTCTTGTTTTCTCAAATATCTCATTGATTTGGCGGGGCTTTCTGATGACATGAAAAACTCGATGGAATGCAAGTAAATAAATGACAAACAAAAACAAAAAAAAGAGAAAACGAAAAACCGAAAAAAAACCGAGAAGTATTAATCGACAAGTAGCACCCTGCATGAGAGAGCGAAAACAAGAGAATCAATCATCAGACTAAATATTTTGTAGCTAGAGAGGTTGAAAACACAAGAAACAAAAAGGAGAGGATGCAAAAAAATAATAATAATTGTACATATATAATTAAATCTATCTCGATGATGAATCTATTCGACGAGCACTACCATTTGACGAATAAAGATTAAGCCATGCATCGAGTGACTGTTGACACACCTGAGGACGTTTTCCTAAATCACAGGAAAAAAAAGACATTCATCATATTTATTCTGCATTTATAAGAGCAAAAACTAAATCGACTTACCAACTTTTTGTTTAGCTACTAATAAACCATTACTTGTAAAACCACAATCAAGCCATTGATGAAGAATGGCTTGTTCATGTCCAATCTAAATACAACGAAACATTTTTATCATATATAGTTATTTTTCTAATAGAAACAATATACTTCAGATGATGTGAGAAAATGAACAGGTAAGAGATTTCCATCACAATCCATCAACGGATGATAGAATATTTGTGTATCACTGGTATCATTCGGTAGTTGTTGTTGTTGCTGCTGCTGCTGCTGTGGCTGTGGCTGTGACTGTGGCTGTGGCTGTTTACTTATAAATGATGGTGATGACGATGACGATGGCGATGGTCTTTGCTGGATATCAACATCATGATTATGAAATAATGGTGATGATGAACGTGATGATGATGATGCTATAGTAATACGCTCTTGCATAGGTACAAGAGCAGAAAAATGATTTCGTGTAAAGCCAAGGCATATAGGGGATTTTGAACAAAAATGAATATCCCAAAGTAATGGTAAATAGACACCTTGAAAACGAGCAAGACCAATAAAATATTCACCACGATATGACTTAACATTTGTTACACCATAAACAATAATTGGCCGACGTAGTATATGTGACAATGCAAATATATGTGCATGTCCTAAACTTTCACCAGGTTGATTTGCAAATGTTAATACATCATTCCAATCACTCCGTAATTGATGTTCATCTTGTCTGTATTCTTGTTTTTCAGCAACTAATCGTTCATATTCACTCCAGCGTTCAAAAAATCTATTTGAACAAAAAAGAGAAGCACATCAATTATGACAAAAACAAAGCAGAAAATTTTTATTGTCCATACTTATTTGAGCTATTCTCTAAACATTCAGCCATTGCTCGACGTAATGTATTCTCTGTGTCCCATACTCCAAGGCAAACTTGTAAAACGCTATCTAATAAACAATCACCATTTTTTCGATTCCATAAAGCGTATAGACGAGAATGAAATCGATTTGTTACTTCAGTATTCCAATTAATTATTCTATTATCAATTTCAAGTTCTTAAAATAATAAAGAAAAAATAAACAATTAATTATTATGTATATTCTATCTATCAATAAAGCATTGAAGGATGAGTTCGAAATGAATTAGACTAATTGAAAATGTACTCTTTCAATCATTTGCTATTCATACAAAGTATTCACTAACATATGGGCACGTTTCGGGCAAAACAAGATATATCCACCTTTGATTCTTTATCAGGGTTATATGTCTGATTAACTATTTTTAGCATTGACATATAGAAAAAGATTGGATCTTTCTCAGCTGGCTATCAACGGAAAAGTAATTAGCAATAATACTCGAAACAGCATGAGCAACAAATCTGAATATTTCAGTATGAATTCTATCATAAAATAAAAATTGCATCCAGATTGAAATTTTCAAGAACGATTTTTATTTTGATGGTGATAGATTTATTTTAAAAAGCAAAAATATAATCATAAAAAGATTTAAGTAAAAATGATGACCTTAGGCTTTGTCTACACTGTATAATACTTATTTTTTTTAAGAGTATAGCTTCCATTAGAAATTCTTTTAACTTCTAGTATATAGAGTGCAATTCGAAATCGTCTTTTTATCTGACATGCCGCTAGCAAATTCTCTTCATATATATAAAAAACAAAAGGATTATCTCAAGTTCGCCGATTTGTGTTGACAAATGAGTTTTCTGAAACAAATATTCTGGAGAAAAACGTCGACTTTTCGAAAATTTTGATGATAATTTGTATAAAAATTTCGAACGTGATAAATTAAAAAAAGATACAAATTTTATTTTTTTTTTGATTTCAGAGTGTGCTCATATGATTCAGAAATTGGACCAAACATATATATGTTACACTATATATGATGCATCTAACATAGAGTCGTGTAGAGAAAGTAATTCTGTATATTTTAACATTCTAATAGAGACTTTGGAACTAAATCTTGGTTAAAAAAGTATCTCTATCATAAAGAATTTGCAAAAAATTGGCGTCAATAATATTTTCAACATATGGAAAAATTTTCTATCTTTTAGTATACGAGTGAAGATGATCATTATATGCAAATTATTGGGAAATTGCATTTACACGTAGTTTGATGTAATATGAATAACCGATTAAATATTCAAAAATGAATATGACACCAATAGTAAATATAACAATATATTTTTCATTAAAACAATTTCTCACCTTGTTGAACTTGTTGATCTAATATATCATCAAATATTTGTTGTTGTGTTCGATGAGAAAAGTCAAGAATTTCTAAAATTGAAACAAAAATAAAGATTTCATAAATCAATCATGCCCATCATTTGTTTTTGTCTTCTCAAACCTGCTGGTAAAGTAGCTGTAAACCATTCTGTTAAAACGTAACATTGAAAATCGGTTACTTTTCTTAACTTTAAATAACTATGAAAAAACTGTTGAATCATTCGGTTTATTCGGTTACATATATTAGCTGGTACACGTCTTTGATGCGGCAATTTTTTCTGTTGCCTCATTAGCTGTTGAAATGCTGTTTCAAATTTACAAAATTGTTCTATTTGTCCAGTTATATTTGCTAAATTTTTTAATGTACGCCCAACAAGATCAATCGACGACAAATACGAACAATTTAGATATTGAGTATCTTCAATCGTTATTTGTCGTGTTGGGTCCCCACCACAAATTAAATATTCAAAAACAATTGTTAATGAACCACGATCAAGTAATGTTTGACAAGCTTTTAACCATAAACGATCTGATGTTGCTGACGATAAATTTCTTTTATTCGCCATTGAACGTTTTTCAATACCTAGACGATTTTGTTTGCTTTCTTTATTTGATATTCTTTCAACATTAATATTTTCCATAGATTTATTTATTGCATTCATACGTTGTTCTTCATCCGTTCCAAGAAGAGTTGATGAACAAGTTGGTGTTGATACTATTGGACTAGGATTATTCGTATTATGATGACGAAAATATCCACATGATATACATTTTTTTGTTGCTGGATAATCTAAAAAGAAAACGAATGAATAAATATTGTTTTGTTGTCTTTATAACCTTCATCTTTCAAAATTCAATATATCTGTATTCGTACAAGGACATTATACAGTTTGATAAGGTTAGGATGAAATTTTTTTTTTGAAATTTTCCTTCATTGAATAAATAATATTTTTCTATTTAGTATTTTTCGCAACTTACTGTCAGTTGTACATCGAGTACAAGTCCATTTTCGTAATCGTTGTGAAACAAAACGTGTATCAGCAATTGATGGTGCTGGCGATATTCGTTCATTAGTATTTGTATCAGTTGATGGTTGAACAGGCGAAAGACGTGATGTTCCAATAAAACGATATGAACCACATTGTGTGCAACGTACAGCTCTTGGATAATTGAGAAATGTACATTGATCACATGGCCATTTTTCAACTGAATTAATATAAGTCACTGGTATTTGCTGTTGTGCTTGTTCTTGTTGTGTATTAGATTCTGTCGATGCATTTAATTGATAAATATCGGCTGACGCCGTATTCAGTGTTGTTGTTTTTGATTGTCGACACATGGTACACTTTTGTGCAACAGCAAAATTAGAATATGTACATACTGGACATGACCATTTATCATCAATCAATGTTGTTGTTGCCATTGTATCTAAAGTATTTGTTTCAACATTTTCATGGCGTTTTTCAATAGCGTCAAATGTTGAGTCATCATCTTCATCATCAATCGGATTGCTCATCTAATATGAAATAGAAACAAAATATAGAAATAAATAAATGAAACTTTTGTTTTTCAAGTTTATTTACTATTGATATGTCTATTGTTATTGTTCCAAAATGAACATTGATGCCAATAAAAACAATTGCTCATCGAAATTTCAAATAGTCAAATGGAAAAATATTCATATAGCATAATTATATAGGAACAAATATCTAAAACGATGAACAAATCTTTTTGTTTTCTTAAATACAATTTTGACCAATGACAACGGCAGCAGAAAAGTCACCTGCTTTCTTTCGTGCCTCGCTCGTTCTTGCTGCTACGTCTTCCTTCCTTCCTGTTGGTTCCTCTAGCTTTCTTTCTGTTTGTCTGCTTGGTTACTACGAAAGAATAATATAAGCCAATCGCATTTGTCAACCAATCCTCTACATATTTATGACAGCAATTTTCTTTGTTTTACCGTTATTTTTCATGAAGAACTCTTGAAAATAAATTTCAAAAAAGCGAATGATATTTGTCTTGATGTTAGTGCCTTATTATTATTATTGTTTTTTTTCGATTCTTTTCTTTTATAACAGATCAAAACAAAAACACACACATGAACAAAAACAAACGTAACAAGTTCGAATGATGATGGTGATGTGAATTTGTTTGATGTCATTAAAACATTGATGTTTTTTCAGTTTGTATTCTGTTGTATTTAGTTTAATCAAATAAACCGAAACCCTAAAAATAGTAAAAAGAAAAATAAATTTTTAAAAATAAATTTTCATTTTAAAATACATACCATATCATCTCCTTCCTCGTCGGATTCTTCTTTCTTCTTCTCTTCCTTCTTGGGTTCTTCTTTAGCTGCTGCTTTCTTGGCATCGGCTGCTGCGGGTGCTGCACCAGCACTTCCACTAGCTACTGCAGGACCGGCAGCAGGTAAACTTGATAGTTTCTTGGTACCTTCAGCAATAATTTCGTCGACATTTTTTCCTTTGCATGCATTGATTACTTTTTGTGCTTTTGTATTGTCACAATCGATACCAACACTGCCAAGAATTTTTGATACAGTTGCTACATCTGGATTTGAATTGCCAGCAAGAACTGCAAGAACGTAGGCCGCTGCGTAACGCATGTCGAGGAGATCTTAGCGTAACTTTTTAAAGCGTCTAAAAAAAATCGATAAAAAAGTAACTAGCTAAAAAGATAATTCTTGTTGAATATTTCGAAATAACAAACAACTAATAATAATAGTAATAAACCAACAGAAGTATTTATCAAGCCTCGACGAAAGAGGATTTGTTACTGCAGTGCATAGTTGCATTATAAAAATAAACATGAATTAAATGTTATGATTAGCCGATGAAATCGACCAATAGAATATTAATCTAGAACATAAGAGAACAAAAAGAAGTTTGTTTATTATTATTTTTTTGCTTCTTTTACCATCTTTCTCTTCTTCTCTTGGACGATATTTGATGTCATACGTCATCTTTATTTCTAATTATTCATTCCGATGATAAAAATTCAACAATCGCCGAAATTTATCGAATTGTGAATCATTACTATTTATTATATTTCATTTTTTTTAATAATCTTTCAAGCTGGCCTATCCATCTGATGTCGACATGCCGAGTAAATTGAATTAGTAAAAAATGGAAGTGAACACACGTTATAAAAACGTTTTTTCTTTTTCTACTAGGTGCTGGGAGTGACGATGATTTGCTCGAATGGTATCCATCACAAGTGAAAGGACCAGTTGACGACGAAGTTCAAGAAGGTAAGAGTAATTTTTGGTAAAATGACTTCCTTGTTAAGGTCATATTTTAGCCGATTTGATATCCACAATTGAATTTAATGAGAATGGAGAATTATTAGCTGTTGGAGACAAAGGCGGAAGAATTGTTGTATTCCAACGTGAACAACAGGTGAATAAGATTTGGAAAATCAAATTTATAGATTTCAACGGTTATTTTTTACAGACTAAAGCATCACCACGACGTAATGAATACAATGTCTATATAACATTTCACTCACATGAACCAGAATTTGATTATTTGAAAAGTTTGGAAATTGAAGAGAAAATTAACCAGATTCGTTGGCTCAAAAGAAAAAATTCTGCCCAATTTCTCTTGTCAACCAATGGTAAGTATTTGTAAGATAGAAAACTGAAAACACAATTATCTAGTTTCGAACCGGCGAGAATCATAGGAAATCACAACTAGTCGCGTCGAATTTTCCTGTTACTCTACTATGTACTTAAACTTTCAAACATTTATGATTATGCTACCGACAGTTTAAACAATGCTCTTGTTGTAGAGGAAAAAAACGAATACTATGTTGTTTTGTGTTTGTTTAGATAAAACGGTTAAACTATGGAAAATATCCGAGAAAACTAAACGCGCAGAAGGTTTTAATTTGCGTGATGAAAGTGGAACAGTTCGTTCGACAAATAGCATAACAAGTTTACGTATACCAGTGATCAAACCAATGGAATTAATGGTTGAAGCAACACCAAAGCGTGTATTCAGCAATGCACATACCTATCATATCAATTCAATATCGTTAAATAGCGATCAAGAAACGTTCTTATCTGCTGATGATTTGCGTATTAATTTATGGCATGCTGAAGTAACAAATCAAAGTTTTAGTAAGTATTATTAATTATCAAGTGAAAAGAACATACGCATCTACCGTTGGTTGTAGCAAAAAAAAGTAATGTTTACTAAGATAAGATTAAGTCATTTCAATTCTATTTGATCACTCGTGCATAAAAAGTATCATTTAGAGTAAGCGTTTAATTTTCAGAAGAAAGTAGTTGGATTATTCTTTTTTCTATCGTAAAGTATCAAGGTTTTTTTAGAAATCTCATGTTCTCTTTAAAGTACTTTAATCTCATGGTATAATTGTTTTCTGTATGCATGTTTTCGATATACATGATTACCATTTATATATGGGCTGATCATAGTTTATTTAAACATAATTCTTTTAAGTTGAAATATAATGTAAATGAAAGAAGAATAAATTGTTCTCCGAAAATTCAAAATGTTGATATTTTGAAAGTCTTTCTGGGAAAAAAATAGCAGGGAAAAATTTTTTTTTCTATTAACGTGCTAATGACAAGGGTACACCACGTATAGGAATGAATTGTAATTTTAAATAGAAGTATTTTTTAAACTAAATTGAATTGATTTATCTGCGCTTGATGTCATCTTTCTTTCATTCTTTTGAATGCGTTAAAGGAAAAGAATCATGCACTCGAGGATACTTATATCTGAATAAGCTATTTGATTGAATCGTTAAGCTTTGACAAAATGCTTGCATATGACATTCCAAATCGTTGTCTTAATGAGCAATGGTGGTTTCTTTTTAGGTGTCATTATCACAAAGTCTGTAGAGAAATTTATTTTTGAAAAATAAAGAAAGCAGATTCAAATCTTATTATAATTCATAGAAAATAGATTTAAATAGTATATCTCTGTCTATACACGGTATGCCTAGGAGGTACTGTGCCTAAGCCACGACCGTTTTCTACGAAACCTTGCTCAATCGATCTCACCGATTTGGCTGATATTTTTACAGTAGATACCTACTTTCAAGCTAGGAATAAACCTTAAATTTCAGCTCAAACCAATGAGCCCTTCTCGAGATATATGACTTGAAAGTATGGGTACTCGATCAAAATCAGGCGTTTTTTTATTGCAGTACTTTTCAATATATTTTCATTTTCTCTCAAGTTACAAGAGCTACCACTGAGATTTTTTTTCACCAAAGATACTATCGATTACGGGCTATCTTTTGATAGTCATAAAAGTATCACATCCAGAAATAAATTCTGATTCATACCATATTTTATTTTCAGCAAGCATGCCCGCGGATTTTGGGCAACTTAGTCGGGTCAGTGAGTTCGAATCCATTGAAAGTAGTCTCATTTGATAGAGCACGTCAAAATGCATCGAATGATGTTCTCAAAAGTTTGGCGGATTAAACTTTGGCTTAGAAAAAGTCTTAACATTTTCATCAAAAATTTCCATCGGTAAAAAATTGACGTATCCGATATTTTTATTATTTCGTCACTAACAACTAGCATTTTCGGAAAACTAGCATTGTAGTTTGATAGTACTTAAAATTTTCTACAAATTCATATACAAACATCTTGAGTATTTCTTGAACAAACCCCATTTTCTGCCTTATGACCTGCATTGAATTTAATTCCCAATCTCTATAGGAGGAAATCCTCTATTCAAGACAACCTGAAATAGACCCAACGCCGGTCATAGACCGAATGTTCTCTCCGATCACTCGAATATCGTGTTACCTTTATTGACCTCGAAATACGAAAAATAATATGCAGCTTTTTTATATAAATAATAGTTACTTAAAGGCAAAAATATTTCGCGGTAGTGCGAGATTCGGTTTTATAGCAGATTTTAAACATGCTTCTCGTGGTTCTATCTCATTCTGTTATATCTACATATTGCTAATTTTTTCATATTCTGTGAAGAAATCGATAAATTTTATTTCTGAGTATGATTTTCCGATTGAAGATATTCAACAATTGATATATTGCATCATGCTGATTGAATTTGTCTGAAATATTTCAGTATGCTTTTTGCATCCCTGTGCCGAAAAATTAGCCTTAGTCGATATTTTTAATTCATCACAATTCTGTTTCTAGTGTGTAAAATGGCAGAATTTCACGATCTATTACGCTATGATTTTGATTTTGAAGTAACTTGTGTTTTCTATTCAAATAGGACTGAGAAATTCAAAAAAAAACAGACAACACTTCTATATAGAATAATTTGAGGAGAAAAATATTTTCATTGTGTAGGAATGCTTTTTAACAGAAGGATGTAGCGCAAGATGTTTGTATATGAATTTGTAGAAAATTTTAAGTGCTATCAAACTATGAAGCTAGTTTCCCGAAAACAGTAGTTGCTAGTGATAAAATAATAAAAATATCGGATATGTCAATTTTTTACCGATGGAAATTTTTGATGAAAATGTTAAGACTTTTTCTAAGCCAAAGTTTAATCCGCCAAACTTTTAAGAACATCATTCGATGAAAATAGGTATCTACTGTAAAAATATCAGCCAAATCGGTGAGGTCGAGTGAGCAATGGTGGTTGTGGCTTAGGTGCAATGCCTTCTAGACTATACAATTGCGGATTGTGAAATTCCTTGGGTAAACAAGTTTCAGTTGCTTTCGAATTTCATAAAGAAAATTGTTTTCTTTCATTTGACGGCATTCTTCTAAAGATTGCCTTGATCTTGCCGAAGTTTATGATTACATGTCTGAGCATTGAAAAATCGTTACCCATACCAATAGCTTTAAAATATTCTCTCGAAAGTGAAAATTTTGGTTAGGTAAGATCGAGAACGAGATGAATTCGTATGAAAATAAGTGAAATCACTTCTTGTAGAAATACTGATTACGATCTAAAGAAACATTTTTTTCAAAAGAAATTTTTTCTAGCAAATTGAATGTTATTAGAATCACATATTTATTTAACTCTATAATGGCCTTCATGCGTTTAAACACATTGAGTAATGTAAAAAAATTTTCATTTAATTCAGAAGAAGTTATACTATGACGTAAACCTCCTATAGAGCTGTTGTGTTTTTTAATTTTGAAATTTTTTCAAAAGAAATTTCTTATTGATAGTTGACAAAGAAAACTATTACATTTAAAATCCTAAACGTTTTTTAGTTTCATACTTAAAACTTAATTAAACTTTCAGAAACTTTTCTTTCGATATTCTAATTCAATTACTAAAAATTAACATGTTCAACAAAAAACATCGTTAGTGTGTTTAACTGTAACGTAGATTTATTCGATTAAGTTATCCGTCAAAATACATCAATCCAGTTTCGAGTAGACTAATTTAAGTTTATTTTGTCTCACTATAATTATAAATGGATTCTCTTTATAAATCAAAAAGACAAAATCACATATATCATCATAATTTTGATAGAACAATCAGGTTACGTCTATTGTTCCGTGTGATAAAAGAATAATTAAATGACAAGGATCATGATGAGTTGTGAAAAAAAAATAAAAAATTGTATATCCTTCATACACGGTAGTTATAAGAAATGATTCCATTTTATCGTGACATAATTTCAGAAGACAAAATTTTCTCAACGAAAAGATAGTATAATAAATATTAATTTTGGCTTCTTTTTAATTTATCTTTTTTTCTGCTTCTATCATTTAGACATCGTGGATATAAAACCGCCGAATATGGAAGATCTTACTGAAGTAATAACGGGTGCAGAATTTCATCCACGTGAATGCAATCTTTTCGTATACAGCAGTTCAAGAGGTATTATTCGACTTTGCGATATGCGACAATCGGCACTTTGTGATAGACATTGCAAAGGTACAGGAGAAATCAGAGATTGTAAAACTATATTTTCTTGGTATTATCTATTTATTCATATAGTTTTCGAAGAACCTGAAGATCCAACAACGCGTAGTTTCTTCTCGGAAATAATATCCTCAATAAGTGACATTAAATTTAGTCACTCGGGGAGATATATGCTTACAAGAGATTTTCTAAATCTTAAAGTATGGGATTTACAAATGGATAATAAACCCGTTGAAACATATCCCATTCATGAATATCTTCGAACAAAGTTATGTTCTCTGTATGAAAATGATTGCATTTTTGATAAATTTGAATGCTGCTGGTCACCGCATGATAAGTAAGTCACAAAAAATAGTTAATTTCAAGCATATCAAAATTTAATACCAGAGATACTTTAATTTCTTGCATCTGGCTTAAAGAAATCTTCTTTATGTGTAATCTGATAGTAAAACAAGGCTACGTAGCTTAAGAATTGCTAGGCTTTCTTTTGAAAGAACAATGATATGATAGAGTTTAATGCAGGATTTAAAAATTTTCTCAACATATTTTCGCTAAATACTTTGTCGGTTTTGAGAATAAGTAGGTATATATTCATTTTAAAAAAATATCATCAGATGAAAAGAAACAATAATAATTTCAAACGAATAAGTAACTGAAAATGCTAAAAGTCGATAGGTATGAATTTTTACCCCAGTGTTTCATTTAGTTTATTAATAACGAAAGCACGATGATTATATTTAACCATTTTTTAAATTGAAGTATATCTATCTTACACTTCATCTGAAAGTTCAAATAATTGTCTTCGCTATTTTACGGCAAAATAAGAAGTAGAAAATCTTTGATTTCTTTTCAATAGTCTAAAATATCCTATAGAACTTGGCAGTACTATCAGAGTTTATATGAGAAATAGTTATTTCAAGCTTCAGTATAACTTTTCATTCATTTGCTGCTAACAGAACTGTATGCAAAGTTTAAAAAGAATTTCTGAAATAGTTAATGGTCACTAACTTCATTATTGTTGTTCTTATTAGTCCATCAGTGTTTCCAATGAAACTAGGAATATTTGTTGAGATAATTTCACTGAGCATTGACTTGCGTTCGTGCTGTAACCAATTATATTCACATTTGTCTATAGTTATTTTTCATTTTGTTTTGAAAATCAAATCAGATCTCTGTACTTGTTCGGTACATGGTTCCCCCCTCTTGGAATAGAGAAAAGGTCTCGATAAAGGGTGCTTTCTATTGTGTGCGGTATTAATATTATAGATCACATTTTGATTTCGATATACCTCCTACTCATGATATTCTCTTCACTTTCCCTCCTACGTTTTCACATTCGCTTCCTTTGGTAGCGAACCTCGTATAAATAATAAGGGTAGAATACCTGAATAACGCATCAAATCGCTATTCAAATAATTCGTAGGATCTGATATTACAGTAGTATTGATTAGTTTTACTTCTCCAAACGAGAGGCAGCTGATTTCAAATCTTAAAAAAAACTTTCTAAATTAGCTTATGAGTTTTTTAAATAAAGGTAAGAAAAATTAGCTTTCAATCAACATTATCGATTATCAATAATCATAAGACTTATTTCGAACACAATTCATTATAGAATCAATGAATTTATGTCAGTAATTTCTATTTTTTTACGAACACCATTTTTCGTACAATCGACTGGATATTTTAATAGTAGGATTAAGATCGTATAGAATAGATAATACTAATTAAGATTACCATCATAAACAACTTTCATAGAAATTTTAATAAGTTACACAATGCTGACATACTAAGAAAATGTAGAATATTATTTTAATATGAGATCATAGAGGAATGTAAGTTTCTATTAGCTTTTTACTAGAAATTAAAAGACCTCTGGTATTATTTTGACTATGCCTTGATTATGTATTTACATAAGAAAACCTTGTTTTTTCTTTGTTCTTTCTATTCAGTCATTTACTCACTGGTTCTTATCATAATTTATTTAAAATAACATCACGTGTAACACGTAAAGATGCAATATTTGAATCATCACGTGAACAAGCCATCCGACCACGACAATTACTGAAAGCTAAAAAAGTCACGCCATCAGCTCGTCGAAATCGTCGGGATGAAATCAATTCGGATAGTTTAGAATTTTCGAAAAAAATTCTTCATTGTGCTTATCATCCAACAGACAATATTATTGCTATAGCTACAGCACACAATCTGTTTACATACGTAGCAAAAGATTCATCATCATCATCGTAGACAAGCATTTTTTTCGTTTTCCTTTTTTTCACATTCAATTAGATTAAAATGAACAAAAAACACGTTTCTATTTTGTGTCTGCGTTCGAGCATGTACGTTTTTTTTTCTTCTTTCCTTTCTGTATGCTTCTTATAAATCATTCAATGATAGATGAAAAGAAAATAGTCATTGCATGGAAAACATACGTTTGTTTATATATTTTTCCAATTGGAAGAACTTATTGTCGTAATATCATTCTCATGATTGGAACCTCGGTGATTCTTTCTATCCCATGCTCTTAGACATAATTTTTTTGCTCGCAGTTGTTCGTTTATTCTTCATCGTTGTTCTCTTTTTTGTTTGTTTGTCCTACCTCCTCTACCTGGACCAGTGAGTTTTCCAGCGTCATTCTGTTCACTTTGATTCATCATTTAATATACACACATACCATTCCAACTTGACAAAGAAAAACGCATTATATGTCTATATAGTACTTGTCTTTTTTTGTTCCCCTACTCTTCTTCGTGTTTTTTGGTTCGTATTGTTATTCTAAAAGAAAGACTTGTATGGGTGTGCATTTTTATATTTCCCTATCTTTTCCTTACCATCGAATCAAAAAAGAAATCAGCAACACAAAAATGATTGTATCTGTTTCTTGTCTTTTTTTTCTTCTTTTTTCATCTGTCGCAAACTTCAAAAAAAAAGAAACCAAAACAATAAAATGTTTTGATAAAAGAATATATATATTTTTTTTTCTTCATTATGTAAATATTGAATACAACTTCAGTATCTTTCTATTTCTTGTAGTAGCTATAATGACAGTTGAATATCTACCATTAATTCGTGATTCTGATCTAGCCGAAAAGGTTCGTCATTCATTTGATATCCTCGAACAATGTTTAACTAGATATTCACCAAATCAAATAGCAGTTGCATTCAATGGCGGTAAAGATTGCACTGTTGTTTTACATCAATATTCGTTAGTATTAAATAAAACATTTGCTCAAACAACAAGTAAAAAACCATTATTCCGTGCATTATTCATTCATAATAAGCCTCAATTTGAAAGTGTTCTACAATTTATCGATGAAAGTACCAAACATTATGAGCTAGATCTCATTCGAATCGATGATCGAATCAAAGACGCATTATTTCAATTGAAATCTTCTCATCCAGATATTCAATGCATTATAATGGGTACACGTCTAACAGATCCATATTCATCCGATTTGAGACATTTTTCATCGACAGATCCAACATGGCCTGAATATATGAGATGTAATCCAATATTAAATTATTCCTATAAAAATATATGGACATTCTTGAGAGAATTTAAAGTTTCTTATTGTTCAATGTATGATCAAGGTTTTACATCTTTAGGTGATCAAGAAAGAACAATTCCAAACATTAGATTGCAATATAAAAATCATGATACAGGTTTAATGGAATACAAACCAGCTTATATGTTAGACGATGAGGTCAGTGAACGAGATGGGCGCGAATAATAAATAACAGCATGAATAGTTATCAATGTTTTTCTCCTTATAAGTAGTAATTTATTGTTCAAGGAAATCGATTTTTTTAGTAAAAATAACTATTGAAGAATGATCAATTGAATGTCTCAATTGAAGAAAAAAAGAGGAATTAAATTTTTTTAAGCCAAAAATCTTTATTGTATTTTTGTAAATATGCATTTCAACCGAACGAAATCACAATCGAAATTGAATTGTGTATAACCATTAGTTTTGTTGTTGGTTAAGTGATTTTCATGATCTCGATTCTTGTTTTATTTCTTTAAATTACTCTACGCAATGAAATCAGATGGTATAAATTTGCAATAATTCATTTTGTAAAATAAATTCTTTTTTGTTCCGCTGCAATTTATCATTTAACGCAATTCAACTGCATGATAATATGATAGATACAACGGTACGCAATTAGCGAAAAAAATGAAAGATCCAAGCAGTAAAAGTTGACGGAGAAAATTCAGTTTTATTTGCAAATTTTATACCACTTGAAATATATTCCACGTAAAAAAATAATTAAAGCAATAAATGGTTCAGAAAGAACGATCCTCGAAGTCTTTTCTGAATATTTGTTTCAATCATTGATAGTTTGACTTGATATTTTTCGTCAAAAGATGGTACGTAAAATTCTTCAACAGAATAATTGGAAAACTATATTCGAAATGGAGCACTTTGCTCCAAAAACGTTTCACTTGTCAAGTAGCATTTTCATAACAGTAATTATTACGTTTCATTTGACCAAATATAATTTGGGTTAATGCCTAAAACAAATTTTTTTAATGCTTTGCAATGTACTGTTTCTAATAGATCTGAGAAAAAAAATCTCGAGATAAATTTTTGATATGCTTGTGTTCAGTTGTTTTAAAAACAATAGTCTCGCACAACATAAGCATACAGAAAAATCCGTCTTTTGTCGAAATTATGTGAAATCTTTATGAAAGATCCTTAAGGAAACTCCATAGAAAATTTATAATAAAATAGAAGACCGCATATAGCTCGATTAAACATCATGATTTTGTAGAAATCATACGATTGCAGTATCGATGTTATATCAAACAAATACCAAATATTTATACAGAAATTCAGTTTTTGCTTTAAGATTTTATTGCCAACAAAAATCAAATTCAATGGGGAAAAAGCTGATTTAAATCACAGTAAAATTCAACTTACAATCAATATAAATTAACTGTATTGGAATGAGTTTGCGTGAGTTTCGGTGCCTTTGAATGATTTTCAGTAATAATTTATGATTTGGAATAGTTTTTAGTTAGTTTAGCAAATTTTTCGTTTTCTCAAACTCATTTTAAATCAGCTAAACTCAGAAAAATCATGAAACTCATAAATCGCTTTTTCCCCCTTGATCAAATTGAGTTCATTAATAAGAATGGTTATCATAGAAAATAATTAAAATTTGAACGCTGTCTGTGTCTTTAGATGAAAGTTAATACCACATACTTGTTGTTGCAACTCACAGTTTGAATCATTTGATCAAAATATAAGTCTTTAAGAACCAGCATTCTATACAAAATTATCAACAGAAGAATATTTGTGTTCTTCTCGGTTCTGATTGAATTTGAACAAAATAGTAAATCGATTAACAAATGATCCAATGAAGTATTCAACTATACATATGTTATCAATGCACCTTCCGGATCAATTTAATATCTGAATAGAACATAACTATGTTGATCACACGAACTAATCTTTCTGTTATAAGGTATAGAAAAAATCATTCATCATAGACACAATTACAATCTAAACATTTGAACACGAATGCCTATGAATACAAAAGGTACGGTTTTATCGTTAGAAAAAAGAAAAGAAAAAGTAAAGTCAACGATTAGTATTCGATAACAAAACATTCGAATTAGATGCCTAAAGGTATCAAGTCACTTCTTGAGGGTGTTACTGGGTGATTTTGTGTTTTGACTTGTCGATGAATAACCATAAGTGTGAATAATAATGGTAAATGTATCAGACTGTAACGAAAGAGTTTTCTTGATGATTGAGCATCTCGATTACGATAGAATTTATATGATAGATAGATTAAATATAAATTAACTGGCAATGTATCAATAGCAAATGACCACGTTGTCATATCAATAAGTGGTGCAACGAATGAACATGAAAGAAGTATCATCATTGAATAGCGAAGCGATGTTCTTAAACATAATTGTTCATGAGAAACACACATCATTTTATAACCAGCACGGTCATATTCTTGTCGAATATTCCAACTTAGAGAATTAAAATGTGGAAACTGCCAAGCATATAATATAAAGGCAAGTAAAATAGCACCTAAAAATAAAAATCTTTGTTGATGCTTTTTGAAGAAAGAAACGTATTGATAAATAAAGAATAGTTGACTTTTAATTTAAGTCTGTTAGATACTACACAACGACTTAAAGACGTATTTTTGAATTTTATATCAGCAAAGTATACATTCTCAGAAGGCAGAACGAACAATTTTATCTTACCTGAATCTATTGATCCCGTGCATGCTGTCCATCCCATTACAGGCGGTATTGCTCCAACGATGGATCCTAACCACGTATTAATTATATGTTTTCGTTTCATCGGTGTATAAACACATGTATAAAGAAGAAAATTTGATAATCCAAGTATACCAGTTAAAGGATTGCAGCCTAGCGTAAGAAGAGTTACACCTGAAATCAATGTTACACTTGCAAAACCAATAGCATGTCGATAACTAAGCATGAAAAAGATATTTTATATAAATATATAAGTAAATCATCCACCTCATTTGCCCCAGTACAAGTACTCTGTTACGTGTGCGTTTCATTTGTGCATCATAAGGAATTTCCATAAGCTGATTGACGGTATTCGCTGAAGCTGATGTTAAAACTGTTCCAATTGTCACACATGCGAGTAGTGGAATATCAATTGCAAGTGGAGCAACAATAAAACCATAGGCAGCTGTCGATGCTACAAGAACTAGAAACAGGAAATAATACAAAATTATTTCAAATTTGCCAATTTTTATCATACTAGTGAGATTTTTCTTTGACAATCTTGTGTAATAATCACATAATTGTTTAAATGAAACAGTTGCATTTTTATTTAAATCTGTTGGCAGTATAGCAACTTCTTGTTCAGTTTCTTTAAATGTATGTTTTGAATCAAAATCATCGGTTTTTATTGGTGGATCACAAAATGGTTGTGATGCGTTTGTCGTAGTTGATGCAAGATCAATAACTTTGCTTTTTATTTGTTCATCTGATTTTATCGACGGTGATGAACTAGTTATCCATTCATCAGAATCTGTCACCTGAGAAACTTTTGACCGAGGAACAGATGCATATCTTCGATGAGATGTTATTGGCATCTAGACATAAAAAAGTAATAATGTAATGTAGAAACTTCAATGGCAATTATTTACAATTGATGGTAGACGAATAAGAGAAGAACATTGTCGAGAAAGATTTGAAGAGTTCCATGGAATAGATTGTATACGTATTGTATAAATACTTTGACTACACCGATGTGCAATAAATGAAAATAATAAGCGATTCATTATGAATGTTAAAACATCTAGAAAAATGAATTTAAAAGATTATTATTTGGCAACAAAAAGAAATTATGTAAAACATCGTCTTTGTATTTTAGGTAATTACTACTTAATCAATGATGATCCTATGCGTTTCTATTGACTTCAGTAAATCACTATGTATTATCTTCCTAGTATGTGAATGTAATGATATTTAGTTTTTAAATCAACTCTTAAGTTTTTACTACAAAGACATGTTCAACAGAACGATTCAATGGATTCCATAGAACCTTGTCAACTTTATAAACTCGAGCTGATACCTTGTTCTCCAACACGATTGTTGTATTGTAGCTACAATAGACAGCTTCCGGAAAAACCTCAAGTTATTAAATCTAGCAAACTCAATCATAATGCTAAGAATTCTAGTAAAATATTATCCCTAAAATTAATATTTAGTTGTTTTTGTGCACCAATCGATAAATTCTTATTTGATTGGCTATTGATTTTTATATACATGCGTTATTAGATACTATTAAATATAGACGATTGACTAATATCGACATCTACTGAAACATGATAGACTGACTTTGGCTTTGTAAGCATATGTGAATGTTTTGAATTATGTAATAAACATTAGTTTTTATTGAAGATATAGAATGTGAAAGTATATGTTTGAAATAGTTTAGAAATACGACCGCATATCTTATGCTAGAACCGAATAGATGAAAAAACTAACACTTGGTAACATTCGTCATTATATTATTTCTTTGAGCGATGAGGATCAAAATCAAAATCGTTTATGTATACATAAATATTTTTACATTCTTTCTTTCTCAGCTATCCCCACACAAAAAAACTACATAGAATCATTATTATACAGTAGCAATTAGATTCTTAAAAATATTCATTTCATGAATTATTCTGTATGATGATCATTATTGGTTTTATGAGATTCTATTTGAAAACTGAAGTCGATATCAAAATATTAACATAAAATAAATTCTTGTTACGTTTAATGTTACAATATTTATTAACTCTATTGTTTTGAACTAGTAGATATCATTATGATTATTCTATATCAAAAATAAATCATTCGTCTTCTATAGGGCACACTAATGTTATCTTGTTTTCCGCCAGTGAATCATCTTCTAAATGTTGTCATTATCAACTCCAACATGGCACTGATTTGACATTTTATGCGTAGGAAAAATATTCAAGAGCATCATCAACGAAAAGAATTCATTGTTTTTACACATTTTATAGTTTCATAGTGGATTTGAACAATTGCCATTGATAGCTCACATCAAGATATTGAATATCTCATTTTATCATTTTTGATTCCATTAACACAATCACTACAGATATTGCAAAATCAAGCTTAGTTGTGTCATATGATATTAATATTCTGTTGAAGAAAAATGTTTTTCATTTCTATGAGAAAAGGTAAAAGATCAGTGACAATTACACTTGAATGCCTTATGACAAGGTTGAGACAACTATCTCTTTATACGAGCTAATAATAGAAATAATGTTCTACATTTTCCGATTGTTTGATCATTCTTCAATTCATTGAATAATTGAAAAAATAAAATATGAATAGTTCATCATAATATATAATTATTATAATATTTAAATCTTTTTCGCAGACAAAAAAAATGAGTGAATAAGTTTTGAATAGTCTTAGATAGAAGGCAGATAGACGATCATACTTTTCATATTCACTAACAAGACAAAAAAACAAAATGAATTATACATTACAGTTATTTTCTTTGATTTTTAACTAATGCAGTATTCATCCAAACTACCATTCCAAAGTAAAAATATTTAGCGTAAGACGTAACTATTTGTATCAAGGGGGGAGGAAGCGTATTTCTGTATTTCTAAATATTTCTGAGTATTTCTACGTATTTTTATGTATTTCTGGAGTTCTGAAATACCTAGAAATATTTAGAAATACAGCAATACGCTTTTCCCCCTTGATTTATATTCATCATTTAGTCATTATCAAAATATTCTACTGGAAATTCCAAGTTGTTTCTTCTATTTTCTTTTGAATAAGAAAGCAATCTGAAAAACACATATTAGAATAAATATTGGCAATGAACCATATCAGATAGCTTCATTTTTTTCCTAATAATTCACCAAAGCAAATATGAAGTCTTTTCAACCCTGTCTCTACGCGGTATTAAAGTGATTTGCTCATCATTTTGTTTTCATGTCCTTCTTGAATCCAGTCTCCAGCGAGACAAAATTTTATTTATTCTTTTCTGAAAAGTAAATATGAATATACAACATCCATGAAGCAACAAAAAAACAATGGTTACACATGCATCATCAGTTAATCAAACATCACAAAAGCATAAAGAAAACAGTCAACCATAAAATGCATAATACTTTTTTACAATTAGACTTAATTAGATTATCGTGCAGTAATATCAGATGATAACTAGAAGTTTTTGAGATTTACATCGATTCTTCGATTACTCAAGCGTAGCATCATCGCGAGCTTCTAACTCAAGCATATCAATTGCATTTAAATCTGCCAGTAAACTTGGCACTTTTGTCGCATTACCAAACTTTGGGTTTTCCGCTGAATCAGTACCAATTATTATTGGAACTTGCAAATCAAAATCAGAAAAAATTCCTTTAACTTTAACTTCTAATTTTATATCATAATGCAGATTCACATGCACACTTGTGCTACCATTTTTGTTCTTAAAATTATATGTTGGCGAAATACCTATCGGAACTGTAATTGGACATGAAGCTTCAATATGCGTATCATTTTTGTTAACTAGTTCAGGAACTGCAAAACGAATAAGCTCCAAACGACGTCGACATTGCTCAATTTCATAACGTTGAATAAGGCATACGTCGATGCGCTTTATTGTTACATGATTTGGATTATAGATTTCCAGTGATAGATTTGTTTGCTCACCGGGTATAAGGCCAGCACGCTGTATAATACCTCTTATTTTAATATCATTACGTTTTGTATCAAACTTAACTGCACATTGTGAATTGATTTTTTGAAGAAGATTTACTCGTGGATAAACACGAAGTGGATAACGACATTGGCCATCTTGATTATACCATTTTTTTTCAATAAAGAGCTTTATATTATAAATAGAAAAGAAATGAAACGCAAAAAAAACGTTTGCTTTTTTTTTATAAATTTCGTTTATCACTTAGCAGTCTCTACCTGTAGTTCATATCGAACAAATGGATAATCTGTTGGATGTACTGTTGGAGGCAAACTGTCAGGTAAACGAACAGAAAACGGATGCACATATTGACCTGGTTCAAAGCTTGCCCGATTATTTATTCTTCCTCCAGCTTCATTATGTCCAGAGGACATTCCTTGACCTATAGTTACTTTTTGTTCGAAAATTCTTATGTTATGATGATCAGTGATTCGTTCTGTTTGTCCATTTTGCATGCGAGTTGTACGTGTTGTTGTATAACCGACATCGCCAGTAACTATTAAATGTATCTCGCGAATTTTGTCTGCATTACCTGGAATGGTCATATTAATTCGACCTGATACAATATCCCCACCATGATATACAGTCGGTTGTGGTCGATCGAATGTTACATTTATCATACTATTGCTATTTCCCATATTGACTGCTTTAAAATTCAAGTAAAATTTAGCCTGGATGAACAAATTATTTTGATACTCGTGCTTTTTTTTCAATATAACAATTTTATGTCATGTAGGATACACACATAAAATATCATACTTCTAAAAACAATGGAAATTGTCTGACGCAAATAGAAAGAGAAAAAAACCTGAAAAATTGGTCGGCCTGTTTGTTCAATAGCGATTCTAAACGAGAGAAAAAAAAAAGAAAACACTTCAAATAAGAGGTTTCATAATTTACAATGAACTTTTATTTTTATTTTTTTCCAGGTAATTTGTCGTTTCTGCATGAAAATATCAGTTATTATGCGCCGCCTTTTTCCGTCAAAAAAATTCCTACGGAGAGAAAACATTGTTCTTTTAAAAAGTAAAGATCTTCTATTATTTAATGCCAAGTAGAATAAATAAAAACAGCGATAAGTTTTGATATTCAATTACTTGTTAGCATAATCTAGATAGAGAAAAATAACATACCATCAGTGCATTACTTTTCGCGACTGTCTATCAGTACATGAAATTACTTGTTCCATTTATTTTTCACTTGTATTTTCACTATTATTGATAGGAATGAAAACGAGAAAGAATTCATATTTTAAAGCACTATTTTTTCATAAGCATCAGTATTAACGAATATATTGAATAAATAATTGATGTTTTTGCTCTATGCGTGTGAGTATCTTTTGTTCAATATTTGAATAGAGTGTAACTGATGCAACAACAAAAAATTAGAATTACTAATCGAGTAGGCAAATGTGTTACTGAAAATAGAAAAAATACTTTATTATTTTAATAGATTTTTATGAGACAAAAGAAAAAGATTTCTCTGAAAAAATCTCAGCCTTCAGTTTTGCACTTTTCATCATTCGATATTTGCACTATAATTTTTTCTTTCAGTCGCAAAAATAATTTAAATTTGATTGAAGCAACCCAGTGACATTTTTCTACAATCTTACTTTCAATTTATTAATACGACATAAAGATAAAAATGTGTGTGAAATATAATTGTATCGATTTTTTCGATATTAATATTTGAATGACTGGTTATTATTCTAGTTGTCTCAACATAAAGACGAATGAAATTTTATTTAAGATATTCGATGATCTATATTCAATTTCATGAAGTTTTTAATTTGCTTCTAAAACGACAATAATCAACTCAATTGAACATTGTGTTTTACTGAAAAGTCTATTTTTTTGACATTTGCCAGAAAACATGTGTTTAGAAATAACATCGATTTTGTATTCAGTTAAAATAGATAATAAGTAACTTAAAACAAAATATGTTGTATTGATCTAAAGCTATTACTACAACAACGTTTTTAGTTTTAAACATATTTTCGATGTTAGAAAAAAAAAGCAGTAATCGAGTTTACATGTGAATACTCGTAATATGTACTATGAAAAGAAATAATTAATAAAAAAAAAAGAATCAGATGTAAAAATAGTACTATGTGAAATTAAAGTAATAGTACTTTTCGGTTTATTTAATTAGATGGCAATTTAACGTTTGATATTGGCAAGTTTGATTTAACAATTCATTTGTAATTTAGACTTTTGAAGCAAATAAGATATGTGAAAGATTAAAGAATAACTGGCAACTACATGGATTATAGAACCGTATCTTTTTCTTCCATATCAGTTTCTGCTTCAGATAAATTTGCTTTGCTATTGCTATCTGAGCTGCTAGATGTATGCGACCGAAAATTTTGCACTCTATGTTTAGATCGAGCCGTGTGACGTAATATTGTTGATGATTTCCCATTAAACGTTGAAATGGCTGGTTGCGATTGATAGGTACGTTTGGCATCTGTTTCTGATTGTAAAGCTGAACCTAATGCTGCTTTTAGTGCAAGATTATCGCTACTTCTCACATGTTGTATAATATTGCTTGGCAGTTGATCGACAATATCTGGTACAGGATATTGTCTATTAGGATCATTATTTTGTAATGGAATCGGATAACCATCAGGTGAATTTGACTCTGTATACTCGATATGAAACCGAGAACCACGTAAGCTAGGGATTTGACTGTAATCGAATATAGTTATATAATGTTGATCTTTCGAAAAGTATGCTTACTTTAGCATAATACGAAGACTATCCTGGCTCAATTCGGGTGTGTCTAATGCTGATAGCGGTCTAAACATATCGGTAGAACCAGGCGCAGTATGCGGTCTTTCTAGTAGATGCGGTCGAACATTTTGAGTATTAGCATTACTAATAGGTATTGGTTGTTGCTGAGTAGTTATATCGGAACTAATTGGTATGAATAGGCTTGGTGTGTATTTACGGCCATAATTTTTGAATATATTAGCACCTAAAAACAAATAGTAAAACTATTAATAAATTATCTTATTAACTCATTGATGTCTAGACATAGATTGAGAATAGAGAAAAAAGGCTCTAGACACAAATATAACCTGTTGGTACAGGACTGTTTGGTTGTGATACGCTTATAATTCGATAAGGTGACGGTCTTACAACAATATTTGAATTTTGTTCAGAATTTCTGAATGAAGTCGGCATAATTGGAATTGGTTGTATAGGATGAATGTTATTGTTTTGCAAAAACAACGAAGACGATCGATTAACGAAAGCAGGTCGGACAGAAGGATTAGGCCGCGATGGTCGTGGTCCCACAGGTGGAAGAGAAGGATGCAGCTGTTTTTGTTGATAGAATTCTTGTTGATAGAATTCTTGCCGATTTTGCTGTTGTGATAGTTGTCGATACTTCTGCTGGTATATTTGTTGCTCGTCTACCTGTACTTGTTGTTGCTGTTGCTTTCGCTGTTTCTGTTGCTGTAAGAATTGTTGTAATTGTTGCTTTTCCTTTTGTTGCTGTTCTAAAAGTTCTTGTCGTAGTCGTTGCAATTGCTCCTGTCTTTGTCTTTGGAATTGCTGCTGCTGCTGTTGTTGCCGTTGCAGTTGAAGTTCCCATTTTTGGTGTTGTTCTAGTTGAGATTTGCGCTCTTGTTCCCGTTGCTGTTGTTCTAGTTGAAATTTGCGTTCTTTTTCCCGTTGCTGTTGTTCTAGTTGATATTTGCGTGCTTGTTCCCGTTGCTGTTGCTCTATCTGTAGTCTCTGCTGTTGTTCCCGTTGCTGTTGCTCTATTCGTAGTTTCTGCTGTTGTTCCTGTCGTTGTAGTTTCAGTTCCCATTCTTGTTGTTCTAATTGAAATTTTCTTTCATCTTGCCGTTGATGTTGCTCTAATTGAAGTTGTTGTTGTTGCTGTTGCTGCTGCTGTCGTTGCAATTGCAGTTCCCGTTCTTGTTGATGTTGTTTTAGTTGCCATTCGTGCTGTCGCTGTAATTGTAGCTGATTTTTTTGCTGCTGTTCTAGCTGTAGTTGCCGTTCATGCTGTTGTCGTTGTAAGGATTGTTGCTGTCTCTGTTGTTGAAATAATTGTAAGTTTTGTTCTTGTGATTTTCGTTGTGAAGAAACAGGAAGACGAAGCTGTGGATGATTGATGGGTGGCTCAGTGCTTAGATTGGGATGACTAAAATATGCATGTTCGGGTCTAATTGGTTGCTGTGAAATTTGAGGTCTAGCACCGTGGTTGATAAAGTCAAATATTATCGGGTCATTAATCTTTTTTTTATCAGATTGCCCTTTTAATTTATTGTTAACAGCTTGTCGAATAGCGTCTTCAGGTGGTAGTGCACCAGCTTCTGGGTCATAGCGAACTGTCACAATAATGGGATCTTCATCATCATCATCATCTTCTTCTTCTTCTTCATTTTCATAGTTATCGTCAGTAACGTTACCATTTGTTTCCACAACTGACTGAACATGAGAATCAGCTACTGTGCTAGCTGTTGCTTGTGTTAAAATAGATGATTTCATTGCTTGAGAATCACTTGGAGCAGTAATATTTGCAAACATACTTGCTTTTACAGAAGAACTTGGTCCTGATATTCGAGTTAGAGGAGCCATTGTATGAGCTTTTCTTTCTCGTTGAACATAATTATATAAAGCACTATTTGAATGCGAATTGGTTTCTTTTACTGAGGCTTTTGACTGAATAGTATCAATTGAAGATTTTGGTTCTTGGCTTGATGACCGAAATAATAACTGTTTTGACTTTGCGTTGGATGGGCTCGTTGAAATACCAGAGTCTAGGAATGGAACATGATATAAATAAAACAAATCAATATTACAGACATGCGCAGTTCATAAGAATCGTCAATTTTAGTTATACCTATTATCTCCCTTAGTAAACTATTCTCTTGACTATAGCTTACGGATCTATTGAAATTATTTCTAACTTTTTGTTTTATAATTTTTTTGTAAATATGAATTTTGGTTTCTAGATGTATATTTTCGACTACAGAGTAGAGCTTCGAAACAGAAACGAAATGAATTTCATTGTACAATACCCAATTTTTGACCTTGATCTTGTGGATTCGATGTAGCTTCATGAGTTTGTCTCAAGTTCGATAATGGTTGCCGATGAAAGGATTGGCGATTGAATCCACGACCCATTGTTGAGGTTTGATGCATTCCTATTTACGAAAGCAATAAAACAGATAGTTGTCGTTTACGTGTGTCCTTGTATATAATGATAGGTGAAAGTATTAAAAGCAATCATGTTATAGAACAGAGCGCACATCTATTCTATGTTGCACATATTTGTGGGCAGAAAAAAATCGCCTTGAATTACTTCTAATGTGCACACCATAACGGTGATGTATGTCTAGGTGTTTGTGATTCTTTGATTTACCTGTAGAAAATTATTCTGCCTATATCAGATGATTGACATTTTCAAATGAGAAAGGAAATAATAGAAGCTAAACAAAGCGAGAAGGTTGAAGTAGATTGAATACTAATTAAATAATTAGTTACTCGATAAGTATAGCTTGGTTTAATGCGCTTGAATATTGGAAATAAGAAGAAAAACATGTTTTCATAGGTTTCTTTTCAAAATATGTCGACTGTCATTAATGAAAGTATGCGCTTTGATTTTATCTTTGCATTCAACTATAAATATGTCCAAGTCATTACTGATAAAATGAAATCGTTGATTCAGAGTCATTTGCAGATCACTTTGATTTCTAATGTAAGATAATTACTCCTTAATTTATCAATAATCAACAAGAATAGTATTTGTATCTATTCTATTCACACAAAGTAGCTATTTATTCATAATCAAAATATGTACATCGAACTTAAAAGCTATTTGTATTGTATTTTCTTCTATCAGTCCACTGCTGTAGTCATTATTCATGCAGAAAGAACACCTTTGGTTTTTTTTGTAGAGTCGTTCACTCTTTAATATATATTTTTTTCTATGATAATACGCGGTTTTGGATGATAAATTATATGTCGGTTGCACAGTTGATCAACAATGTATAATACGAAAGCGTTGAACTAGTCTGATGTTCCTTTCTTCATCGCCTACAAATAATATTTGCTGTCTTCATTGAAAAAGTAAAGAAAATGAATACACAACGCAGGATACACATGTACATTTATTTTTTCTCGATGATTAACAAAAAAACGAAAGAGAAAACTAATCATTCAATGAATACTATTAGATAGGGTGAACCAAGAAAAAAGGGACTACTGAAAATATCTACACATAGATCAGTCTCAATGAAAAGCGTGACATAGAAAATAGATTCTCAAAATTTGACTTATACATCATTCTTTTATGACATTAATTTAAGAGATTTATATCGTTTTAAAAAATCAGTATACAATACACGATAGAATAGTATTGGGTTTATAATCCACATGATTGGAATCAGAATACAACTGACAAAAAAATAATACGAATCTCCTACACGATATCGATCACGATAGACAAACACAGTTACAAAAAATAACATACACAACCGACATAAAAAGAATGTTAAAATATTTATAATCATATTTAATCGAACGAAAAAGTTCTCGCGTGGAATATTAAACAGTTGAAAAAGTTTTCTAGCATGTAAAAATATTGAATTTACTTCAGCTAATAATGCAAACATTTGATAGCCAACGTTTACTACACGCATTATGTTTAAACTGAAAAATATTAATGTCTAAAAAGAATAAAAAAATAAAGATTAAAAATTTTTATATACTCGAATATTCAAAGACAAGTAGTATTTTCAAACAACATTCATGTATAATAACATGTGATCGAGATGGTAAATTTAATGAATCATGAACTGTAAAAAACACGTTAAATGGTAAAAACAGTTTAACTTCTGCTCTCCTTGTCAATTATTTATCCTAATAAACTTTTCTCCCTTGTCACGGTACGTAGTTCGAGATAATAAAATTGTATCCGTATCGAATTTCAACATCTATTAGCAATCGTTCTTCATGGATGATATATCATGATAGTAAAAAGCCTATAGATACAATTTGTTTTTTGTTCTGTTGAGCCAGCCTAACTCAGAAAGAAACACTTTTTCACCTAGAAAAACACTTGCCTCGAACTATCTTATGCATGCATAGCAAATAAACATCAAACTCTTGTTGAGCATAACGTTTTCTTGCATTTAAAAATAAATTTACTGTAGATTATTCATATAGTCAATAAGATAAAAAAAAACACTTCTGGCTAACAGACGACACTAAAAAAGTCTGCTGTACGGTATCTTGTTGGCCACAAGTGTGCATAAAAATTGGTTATATTAGCTTCGTTGTTTGTCGCTCAGAGCTATTCCATCTCTTAGCAATCTTTCTCAATCTCTCTACTGACATGTTCAAGGAAGAAAATTGAAAAGAACGAATGAAAGAATACATCGCCTTTAATAATAAATGAGTTAATATGACCATTTTTCTATAGGTGCTCATGCCACGCAAGCAAACCATGAATAAATTTCACCCATATCGGTACTTACAGCTCTTACCATTTTATGACAAGAACATATACTTAAGTTAAATGCAGACTATTTGATGAGATCGCCTTAATCTCAATGTTTAGAAGTGCGTTTTCATGACTGATTCTTCTTTTCTATAAAAAAAAAAACAAGTTGCTAGTCTTTCTTTTTCATTAAATTTGAACGCCGTTTTGATTCAAATACAATCAACATAGATATATATATATATATTACGTATATGAACGAAAAACGAAACTTACAACGATATGATGCAATATAATTTCAAACATATCTGATCCTCGCCTATTGGATACAATATCGCACAAATCATAACAAAAATAACCTAAAATAAAAAAAATGCTTTAAGAAATTCGCATTCTCATAGATAAATTTATTCGACATACCAAATGATAAAGAACATGTTAAATATGTAATCAAATTTACATGTGTAACAAAATCATTGTACAATTCAGGATATACCAAAAAGCTATACAGAACGAGTACACTGGTTATGAACGCATGTATCCAACTAATTAATAAATTTAATCGTTGCCAGCGTTCTTCGTCTGAATATGTAAAACATGTTCGAATATATGGGGATGAGATTGCGGAATGAGTTTGCTTATTTATTGATGGTCGAAGATAAGTTAATGGTTGTATTAAATAACGAATAAAGACAAAAAATCCAAAAGATAAACTCGCCCAACCAATGCCAAGTGTTGCATTAATTGTAAACATTTATCTAAATTATAAGCAATAACAAACGAAAATCATAATATAAATTGCATTTTGATTCCATCAATCTAACATTTTATTTGTCTCAATTTTGTTCAGTCTTTAAGAGAAAAAAAGGAACGAATGCCGCTGAAGCACAAACAAAGCGGTGATAAAAAAAAAGCGAGTGGCGGCGGTGGCGTTTAACATATCACTGTCGTCACAAAAGAAAAAATAATGCCCAAAGTAGTAATATATATATATATATATGTGTGTGTGTGTTTGTGTAAAGTCGTTCTAGTTTCGTCAATGGAATGAGCCATATGGAGTAATAATAATAACAAAGAAAAAGAATGATAGTCGATTATAATAAAGAGACATAAATATTTTCGCATAACAATGAACAGAAAACAAAATATGAAATGAATTCAGAATTATCTGACAAAATGAGTCGAAGAAACAAAAAAAAATGATGTTTTCTTAAAGTGGACATAGATTCATGCAAGAATTTCACAATAGCCCATTGAGTCAATTTTTAAAAAGGCATTCAAGCACAAAAAAGAGCAGAAAGAAAGTTTTTTGAACAAGACACCTTGTGAATTTTGTTCCGTTTTTTTTTATTACTGATAAGGACGGATTAGCGTATCCACAAAGAGAAAAAGTCTTTGGCTCAGTAGACAAAAAAAACAAGGTATTCGTGGAGAAGTTGAAGAACAAACATGAAAGAAGAAAAAAGGGCACAGAACAAGAAAGAACATAAGAATAAACTCAATAGGCTAAAAGTATTTGATAAATAAAGCGAAGAAACATTTCCTCTTATATGTTTTGTTTTGTTTTATTCAATTCAATTCAATGTTCCAAAATTTGATGCTGGTGGAGTATCAAAATAGAAATCTCGCTGTTTTAATGTTTCACGCGTAAATTTTTCGTCGAGTTCCTAAAAAAAGCAATAGAAGTAAAATAATTACTGTTTATTTTTAATCTTTTTTTAAAATAAAACAAAGAATGAGAGAAAAGAAAATGTTGTGGAATATGAACAACCGAATAAATATTATGTAGATGTATGTGCAAAGTGGTATATGAAGAAAACAAAGACCAAGATGAGCATGATTGTTCGAGCAGCAACAGTGGCTGATTAGTATTTAAGGATAACAATAGAAGTAAGAGAGAACCCCCACGTGTGAACATTTATGTGAATATGAAGAATATGATATTTCAAAATAGAACGAAGATATCTTGGGAACACAGCACCTAGACTACCTATCAATTTCTCGTTCTGACTTTGAATTGTTTTATTATTATATCAAAAGAGAATATTTTCGCTATCATTGCTTAGTTTCCAAAATTGCTCATCATCAGCTAGAGCAACACCTGGCCATGAATGCCATGATTGTAGACGATAACCACCAGTTGAACGAAGTATAACAGGCGCACGGGACGATACTGGGGATAGTGCGACTTTTGTCGAATACGGTGAAAATTGAGTTCGAAGCAATGTCGCACTCGAAAATGGTAGAGTTATATATGGTTGCTAGAGAAATACAAAGTTATATATATATATATATATATATGTATATATATGTATAAAAATAAAACCTAGCGATTAAAAAGATTTAGAAAAAAAAATGTTAATTATAGTATATGAACGAACTAATTAGTTATTTTCGATTTATAGACCAATCACCAATGATTAGAAAAATTTTGAGCATTTTAAAAATTTTATGATGAATAATCAAGAACTAGTTAGTTAGCTATCTATCTAACCGTTTCTTAAATGTGAACAATGGATGAATTGCTTATAACTGGATGGCGACGACGAGTGGGTATTGTTAAAAATGGTTGCGTTGCTGGTAAATCTGTTAAAGGATCGAATGAAGCTCGTTCATAACGAGGTTGTTGAGTACTACTAGATGCTGATCGTTGTGGAGAATGATAAGTTTTATAATAAATTTGTTGATATGATTGTTGTTGTTGTTGTTGTTGTTGTTGTTGTTGTTGTTCCAGTTTCGTTGTTGGACGAAAATTAGGATCAAGAAGTTCTTCAAGCGAAACCTCATCAGCATTGAAGACAAATGTCTGACAATGTCTATTATTCTCAATAGGTTTCGAAGGTTTTTGCTGACTATTATGTCTTGTCATTTTCATCGGTGAACCAGGGCATGAATGTATCTGATACTGATCTATCTGGATGAGAGAAAATTATGTGTTTAACTATATGTTTTATGTATAAAAATTATTTTGGTCTGTTTTTTTATCAATGTTGATATAATAATAATAATAATAACGACATTCAACTGAACAAAAAATGTCTTACCAATTTTCGTGTTTTTTGTGTATTACGAAATTCAATCCAATCGCTTTCAAAAGTCGATTGAAGTTCTTGTAATTTACGTGTTTCGAATTCGACACATTGTTCTAATTTTTGTCTCTAAATAGTCGAGAATTATTTAAAATAAGCCGGAATAATTAAATTGTTTGTCTTACTTGAACAAGTAATAGCTCGTTTTTTGTAGTTTGTTGTTTATTCTGAAGATTTTGTATTAATCGACGATGTTTTTCTTTTAAGCGTTCTTCGTGAGTACGACGTCTTTCATTTTCATCATTTTCAAACTACAAGAAAGCAACAAATAGAAAAGTAGAACCTCTCGAACATGAGTCAAATGACTGATTTTCATCTCGTGCCACATTAAACAGCTTTTCTGTGACATACTAAAAGCAATTAACATTTGCACATGAAAGTAAAAAGGTTCTTTTAACCAGCACTAATAAACTAATAAGGAATCCTAATTAGAAATATTATCAATTAGTGGGTCTTTTTCTTAAAAATATCTAGAGTCAGGGCTTTTCTTTATCATGCAACATCATAAATTATGAAATGTACGTTTATTTTTGCTGTCAGCTTGAAGTCATGTGCACTTGAGAACGTTATTAAAAATCAAATAGATTGATAAAAGCATAAAATACTTATAAAGATCGCTTGCCAAACTGAAATAAAACAACTAAAAATCTATAATTATGGTTCAATGTCGTAGATAGTTACACATAAAAAACAAATTTTACAAATAATCTCAAAGATAATACTGATCATATTGCAGCATTGTTCGGAAAAGGAGAAAAAGAATCAGAATCTATTTTTGACTGAGTCTTCTATCCATACCTCCATAGATGAACTATATGAAGTAGAGTTTTAAGAATCTAAGTAAGCGTCGTAATTTTCAGATCTCCGAATAATATGTGAGAAATTAATTTTTATAAATACTATATTGAAGAGCACGAAGTTTTGAATGAAATTAATGATTTTCGTATTTCCTTGAGGCTTCTAGTAAAAAAAAACTAATGTATTATAGGGAAAAAGTGAGCAAACTTTCAGCAATGTTATAGTTAGTTTCATTTTTTCCTGATTTGTGGTTAACTTGTGACATTTTATGACACTCGTTGATGCTCTTTAAGACAGTAGTTATAAAAAGCAAATTTTCGTGTAGTCTTCCACTATCTCAAAAAATTAAGCTCTATTAGCACTTAAAAAACCTTCCCTACAGACATGATACATATAAAATTCGGGTAGATAACATAATATAGATCGAGATCATGCTTGACTAACTAAATGGACTATGTAGATTTTAGCACATGTTCAAGAATATACAAGAAAAGTAAAAAGTATGTTGCTCTCGTACTTATAACTGATACAGCAGACTGGGTTTACAATAAACAATTAGCAATGATAATTCAAAAAGGAATGATTTATTCGCTATTTCAGACACAAAGTATTCAGAATAATTTTTTAACTTCTTTTATGACTTTTGAACAAATTTAATGCTCTATGCTTTTGTGGAATAGAGGAAATTACTAACAGACGTATTTGACAAATAAGAAGTAAAAGAACCATTTGTAGATCAATGTGATGAAAAACTGTAAAATAATGAGCGTTTTATATTTGCGGAGCACATTTCAAATAGAATTCTATAAAAAGAAAAAATTGATCGAAAGACAGTAAATATAAAATCTCTTAACATCATTCAAATTAGAATGAAATCATATTTCTTTGAAAGCTAATATTTATCTTACTTTATTGATCAATCATTAACAAAGTTTGATCTTTGCCTATAGAAATACTCAGAGGACATATATTTGCTAAGTATCATAAAAGTAAAGGGCACTTTTATAGAAAATCCCCAGATAATATTTTAGTAATTTAATATAATCTCGTAATTGTTCATCTTAAATATTATCTCAAATACAATAATAATAAAAGAAAGGAGCAGAAGAATATATTAATCTATTCATAGCAATTAATTCGTCAGTATGAAGGAACTAAATGTAATCAGAGTACGAATATGAATCAAGCTATTTAGAATACTAAAATTTGCAATCAACTCTTTTAATCTGAATAAATTTCTATTCAGAAACCTAACGATGTCTAAAAGATATGCTGCTTTTTAAATATGACAGAAAATTAGAATCGAGTGTCAAAACGTTAATGAAATTCAAGTATTTTGTTTCTCGTTTTTCTTTCTCCCAGAAGAATTTCATTCGTGATAGCTAATTTCCTTCTGCAATTCTACCTTCTTAAGTAAATTTTTTTCTTCATCCAATGGTGTTTTATTAATAATTAATTGTTGTCGAAATTGTTTATTTCGTGTTTTTTGCATTTTTTTCCATGTTCTAGGCCATTCACGTCTATCCTCATTTAGACGTGATTCAAGTGTATCACGTTCAAAACGTATTTGTTCGTCTAATTGCTGTAATTCTTTTTCGGATTGTTGTGCTAACATCGTACGAAATAATGAATAAAACGACTTAGTTTGTTTACGTAATAGATCATAACGTGAACGTAATTCATGTTCATCGATTTCCCACAATGCTTGTTCTTTTGTTTTCAGTAAATTTTGTTTTTCAACAAGAAACTGTCTTTCTAAAACTTGTATACGTTGTTTATGATAATTTTCAATTGTTTTCAATTGACTGTCAACGGTTAATTGTTGATTTTCAATAAATTGCTTTTCGCGTGTATATGATTCGTTTTCTTTTTCTAGTAAATGCCGTTTTAATTGTTCTTTACGATCTTTCATTGATTGTGTACCTAAAAAGAATCATAAATATTGAATACGCAAGGAAAATTTCATTTACCATTATTATTATTTGCAAGCATGGCACTGTTTATATTATTATAAGGCGATTCAAATTCACGTTTTATTTGTTTATATTGTTCACGAATTTGTTCGCGAAATATTTTTAATTCTTTCTCTTGATCTAAACAAAATTTCTTAGAAGAATACAAAAATACAGTAGAAATAAAAGTGAAACAAACCAATTTTAATTATTTTCATCTTTTTATTATATTCATTTGTTAATAAAACACTTTCACGTTCGATTTCAATTTTTTGTTTTTGTTCCATTGTTTGTAATTCGAAATCAAATTTTTTAACTAATTCATCACGTTTACGACGAAATTCTTGTCGCTGTTCATCAATTTCGAATTCATGACGATTTAATAATTGTTGACGACGTTTTTCTTCAAGATGATATAAACGACGAAATTCACGATGCGCTTCTTTTCTAAGAAGAATAACAGAATATAAATCATCGAATTTCACAGTCATTTTATCTAATTCATCGATTCTTTTTCAGCTATCAAATTTCTATTGTTGCTTTATGTTCAGTTCGAATATGGATATTGTAAGCTGGATTTGTATGGAAATATATTATTTCACTATAACACTACTTTTCAACATTCAGTAGAACACATAATAATGTGCAATATTGTTCATTCATATAAGCTTATTAGATTCCGTAGCTCTTAGTTTTCTCTCTTTGTCTCTTTATTTAGATTTCTTTAAGTACTCGAAAGTGGTATCGGGTTATGTATTGTCCATGATTGTGATGAAATCTAATGAAACTATGATGCTAATCACGATGAGTTATGCATAGTTTCTAGGAGAAATTAATGTATTTCATCATAGATCTATAGAAAATTATTCAATATATTAATGAAAATAAGAAAATTGTTTTAGGTTCCTCGTAGTTCCTTTTCATCCTGAGTTTGAGGAAATGTCTCAAGAATAAATGCAGTTATTCGATTACTATTGCTAATCTGATGGCAATGAATAGATAGTTTATCTCACAGTCGTAGGCTTTTCAATCATGTAAAACATGAATAAACGCAACAATTCAATGAAATATTCGAAGCAAATGAAACATAATTCAATAATAAAATATATTTTAATAAACAATTATTTAGAGAATAAAAGTAATTTGTCTAAATAAAACTTTAAAAACAAAGAAACCACAAAGGAATTCGTTTTGAATTGAAAACACCAAATATTATAACATAAATTCTATTGTAAATATGAGACTTGCGAGTTTTTTTTCCCGATTTTCTTAGAGACTTTCCACACTGAATAGGATCTATTGATTGCAATTATGTGAAGCAAGAGAAAAAATGACATTTACTTTTAGTTTCCTATCACAGAAAGACACGAACGCCCGTACACGTATAATATAAAAAGATATTTTTCTCTCCGTCTAGAAAATTGCGCAAGAAAAATATGAAGCTTCTAATTAAATGAGCTATGCACATTTTCAAATTTCTGTGTCGATTCTTTTAGATTGCGCTGAATCGGAAAGGAGACTATCGGCAAATATTGAAAAATCGTACGTTACACGATATTGATATAACAATCTCGTAAAAGACAACTTCATTTTTATGTCTAATGAAAATAAATAAAATATTTTGATATATATCCAAAACTGACTTGAGTTCGTAAGAGATTTTTCAAAATTAGCCAATAAAAAACATGATGAAATTTATCAAGATTGAGTATTCATTTAATATTCTATGTGATTCGAAAATATCCTCAAATATGTCGTCTGATAAAATAATAACATATTTGTGATATCTTAACGTACCGTTCAGATAGTCGTGATTGATAATCATTATGTGGTTCAACGATTTTAGTTGTCACAATTTCTTCTTCTTTACCATCTGGTCCAACGAATCTTCGTGTTGTCCGAATTGTTCGACGACGTGTTGCTCTTGTCTTTAACAAAAAAAAGAACAAAGTTTTCTTTTGAAATTAAATAATACTAGTGAAAATTGTTACCGTTAAATAATTTGCTGCTGGCTCTGTTGGTAACGGTACAACATTACTTTGATTTGAACTATTTGTACTAAGGACTGAATCATGATTTGTTGATCCATTAACATGGATAACAGTTTGATGTACACGTGTATAATAACTATCAAGATCACCATTTGCAGTACCATTGTTATAGGCAATCTGTGGTACTAAATGTGATTTATCTTGATTGAAATTATAAACTTGATTAAATTCATTTGTATATGGTTGATTAGTGTTTTGATTGTCATTATCATCATCATTTGTTAAATCAGTTATAACAGCAAGTATAACTTCTGGAATAGATGGTTTTTCAAAATCGGATTGTATAACTTCTTCTATTAAATCATTAATATATGATTCGTAGATACTATTGAATTCTTTGCCAGCTAAATCTTCCATTTCAAGACGACCTATTTCAATATTAGCACCGATACGAACATTAGATGCATTAGGTATAGTTGGTGGTGGACAGAATATCGATGATGGGAAGACTTTATTAATTACTGATTTTGTTTTTTCTGGTGATGGAGATTTTTTTTGAGTGAATGTGCCTGGTGGCGTAGATTTTTTTATATGTCCATTGATGATGGGTGGTGGAGGAGGAGATGGTGTAAGACGTTTAACTGTTAATTTAGGTGATGGTGCAGGTTTTACATTTGCTGTTGATTCTTTTGGTTCCGATGCAGCTCGAGATTTTGCAGATGGGAATTGTGTAGTAATTACTACTGGATTAATGTTACTGTTCGAAGTAAATGTTGGTATTGATGGTGGTTTTGGAATTTTATTTGACGACGATTTTATTGATGATGTTGATGTTGGTACTGTTGGTGGCTTAATTGTTACACTAGAAAAATAAGAACAGAATTTTATTTTGCAATTCTTATTGACGTATTTTTTTGTTGAAAAAAAAAACATTATTTTTGTGAGATTCTAGTGAGTTTTTGCCTATGCATTTTTCAAGCATGAAAGAATGTTTTATTATTTTAAAGAGAAAAAGAATGCTGCATTGTTTTATTTCAATCGTAGTATTTCTGTCAATAAGAAAAAAATTTCTCATTAATTTTCAATTCAATGATTATTTAAAAAAGCAATTTAAGCAAACATATGGATTACTCGAAGCACTTTTTATATAAACATGTTACACAACAAGTAGTAGTTCTTAGACGTAATTAAGCAATCATATTGCAACCTATTTGAAGTTTAGATTTTAACAAGTCGTAATTCTTAGCGATTCTATTCCAAACGAAGAACTTACTTATTCGATTCTTTTGCTCTCTTATGATCGTCTTTTAACATTACTGTCGGCTGTGGAGGTGGCGGTGGCGGTGGTGGTGGTGGCATTGCTTCGTCACTTGATAAACGTCGAATTTGTTTAAGTATAATATTGGTTTCTGTTTGATTATTATCTTGATTTGTTTGGTTATCATCGTTAATTGTTGCAACATCACCACCAGCCACTGATGAATGATCATCATCATCTTCGTCGTCATCCGATAAAGTACCATTTGGTGGAGCAGTATATTTTTTAAGCTCTTCTTCTGTAATTGAACCTTTTGAAAGACGATGTTCGCTTTTTAAATCATTTTTTGACTAAAAAATTAAACAAGTAATTAAATAAAAGAGAAATTATAAGATATTCTTCTTACTTGTGATGGAGGAACAATAATTTCTTCTTCAACAACTTCAACAACAGGTGTAGCTTTGAATTCTTCAAGTAAATAGAGTATGGATGAGTGAAGTGATTTAGCATTTAACATGAATGGATGCTGTTTTAGTTCGTGACATGTTGAACGTTCTGTTGGATTACGCTTCAAGCAACATGATAATATATTAGAAAATTCGGGACTCCATCGACGAATATCTTTCAATGTTGGTGGTACAGCTTGTCGAATTTTTGCCCCAACACGTTCAGCACGCATTTCATGATATGGTGGATCCATTTCAGCCATTTCAATTAAAGTTATACCAAACGACCATATATCCACATGATAATCATATGTATTATCGGTACTAGCTTCACAAAAGAACACTTCAGGTGCCATCCTAAAAATGACGAAATTTAATTAAACAACAGAACCGTAGAAAAAACATCATGGGAAAAAACGATATTTGTGAAAAATAATTATGATAATTACAGAATATTAGACTGTTTTTAGTTTAATATAAATAAAGCACTCAGGAATCTCCTTAGGCCTATGCTTTCATTCTCTAGATAATCCTTTGGCTAGATTTATTAATTGATGCTCATAGTGTTTTGATTTAATAATGTCAAACGTTGCTAATTTTCATATTAATATATATATATATATATATAGATCCGCCCTAATCACAGTAGAGAATTAGCTTATATTTTTCTACATTTACTAATTAAAATTCAATACTGATTAATGGGTTATTGAATTTACATGAATAAGCAATCCTCACTAATGTTTTATAATTAGACTTTGACATTACAATAGAATATTCTATAAAGATTCATGCTTATGATTTTAAAAGGTGTTCTCCATTCATATTAACGAACAAATGAAGATCGACGTGTTTAGTGAATGATACTTATATTCACAATATTATCAGGCAATAGACTTGAAACTCAAAAACATCGATTTATTTTATAATATACTGAATAGAATCATAATTTTATTATAGTAAATATTTCATATATGATACTAAAAAAAAAGAATCAGAATAGAATAATCCTACATTAATATTTTTTTCTAATCCGACGGAATTCCTGTATACGATGTGAAATTATGTTTATAGCGTCGATAATGTGCTGCCAATGAAAAGAGGTAAGATTTTCGAAAAACAAAAACAAGACTTGTGTAATAATGATAAGATTTGTTTTTGTTAACAAACTTTTTAAAATTTGAATCACGTGAAACTTGAATTTTATGGAGAGTATATTCAATAAAGAAATATATATATATAAATATAGAAATTCATTTTTTTCATACCAATAAACAGTTCCAATATATTCATTTCTTTTTTGATCTTGATATGAATTTTTTGCCGAAACTCCAAAGTCAGCTAATTTAACTTGTCCAGTTTGTGTTAATAGTATATTACTTGCTTTAACATCACGATGTATAACAAATTGGTGTGTATGTAAATAATCTAGCGCTTCTAATATTTCATATCCAATAAAGCATACTTGTTTTTCATCTAAACCATGTTCAAGTGTTGTCATTATATTATCGACAGCACCGTATGTACAATATTCAAGAAAAATATATAATTTTTTTTCATAGTAATAAGAATCATAAAATCCAATGATATTTTGATGATTACATTCTGATAAAATATCTATTTCAATTGTATGTTCAGGTAATTCATCATCAGTACAATCTTCAATAATTTTAGCTGCAGCATGTTCTTTTCTTTGTTCATTAAATGCTTGATAGACTTTTCCAAATGCACCATCACCTAATTCTTTGATTAATTTCCATTCGATTAATGGTGATTGTTCTTTATATAGATGTCCTTTTTTAAATAAATTATCACTCGAATTTTTCGAATGATAACTATCATCCCCAATCGGTGTACTAAAGATATTTTTCAGTCGTTTCAACATTAATGCATTTCAATCATTATGTTTTATTTCATCTATTTCAAATAAAGAAAAAAGAAGAATATTACTCTAAAAAAGAATAATAAATGTAAAGGCACGTACAGAATTTATTTTTATTTCTCAAATCTATCGACAAGATTAACATTTGATTAGAACAAAAACAACAACGCAATGAAATCGCTTTATTTACTTTCGATTTTTGTACATTTTATTACCTTTCCTCCTTACTTTCGTTCTGATTTTCGATACAATGTTTTTGTATTAGGAGCTATGTACAATGCTTTTATAAGCATTGATGGTCACGATTTTGTTTTTCAATCGTTATGATAGATGGCGAGAATTATGAATGAATTTTGAAAGAAAAATATTTCTTTTTTCGCTTTTCTATGAATAAACAAAAAACAAATCTATGAATAATCGACGAGTGAATAAAGACTAGATGCTGAATATAGAGTAATATAAAAAGGTTTCTGATTCATAATGTAAAGAGGGCGCTGGGATTTCGGATTAAATGAGATTACATTGAATTGTGTTAGTCAGTAGAGAATAACAGGATAAATTTAACAAAAACACAAACTTTCAAATGTTAATAACAAAATAAAATGCAATAATCTGTTGTTGTACTGTCAGATGAACTTTCATGAATATGATTTAGTATTGTTTGTTCTAATAAATCTTTGATAATGTAATAGAATTGTAAAGAAATTATTTAATTTAATTAGAAAATTATCTTTAATATTTTGTCGTGATATATTTATTGTTAATAGTAGACGTTTGATCAAATTTATTGGGTGTTATTTAGTTTGTAAAAATTGCTTTATTGGATAATTCATTCTTCATAGTAATCTATCGAGACTATTCATACGATTGTTAAACAAACAAGTTCAATTATGAACTATATAATCGATTTTATTATTGAGAAGTAAGATTCTCCGATTGCATTGTATTCAAAGAATATTATTATATTACTGTCAAAAACTATTTATATAATATTTATCATTTAATCTTCATGAGTCCCAAAACACATACATAAAATATGATTAATGCTTCACTTGATTTCTGTGTGATCATTTCTGTTTTTCTCTTAATATTTACTTTGCAATAAGAATCATTTATTTTTAGAATGCAAATTAACTTTCCGTTGAAGATCAAGCTCTTTACTAGTATCTCAATAATTCATTGGTTATATATATATATATGTATATTCTTTGTATCAACTGATATAAGTTTTTCTTTCTTATCCAGTATGGCTTTTCTTCACTAACTCATTACATCATTGGTATCATTAACATAGTTGACCTCTAAGGATAATGTGATTGTTTAATATACCATTATTAGAGAACGATGTTTGATAAAGAACAAATTCTAGCTAAATATTTGCCTATTTTCTTTAGTTTTAAAGTAGATTTATATAGATCTTTTTTATGTTAAGTATGATGAAGAGATTTTTCATCGGTTGAAACATGCAAATAGCCATGCAAATGGAATTAAAAGTCTAATTGTTGACCACAAAAGAAGCGCAACTAGTCACACAATGACGATAAGGATATTCATTCTATATTTTCGCATTGAAGCACACAAAGGAAATGAGTATTTCTTTCTATTAAACGTAAAATCATGTGTGTCATTGAAAGTATGAATAGAATATATCTGCAGATATCAACTTATCTATCTATTTCTATAAATAAATAAATAAATATATTTATATTTATACTAATATTCGACCTTACGCCCATTCATAGCAATATCAATTAAAATTTTCTTGAAAGAGACAACTGTATTTTGATTATATTTGGTAATAATTTTCTTTATTGTGCATGCCTTTTTTTATCAATAATTAAATCAATCTATAGGTTTCTCATTGTATTATTTAGAGGGGAAGCGAGAAATCTCTCTACGAAATATATATTATTTTTATTTAATATACTGAGTACCTTGATTTTGACCTAGCTCATAAGATTTTCATCAAGCCGAATATATTTAATGTCAAAGGAAATGTCTTGTCACATGAAAGGAAATAGAATTTATATTCATGAAAAATTTGGAATTGACTGGGTGACGTGATTATTTCCAAGGAGAAAAAAAAGATTTTAATTATATTTCCCTATATACATTTGTTTTCTTCTGACACACATATCCATTTTAATGTGAGTAGAAGCAGATTATCGAGTGTCACTAAACATACATTCAATGACTGTCTTATCTTCGGTATTAACGAAATACAGCAAAATTCTTATGCATTCTCTAACAAACATCCATAAATGAAACTTGAGAATTGTTAGTTGGTTCCTTAGACTTTGTTGAAGTCACCATTGAATATAGGCTGACAAGATAGAACATGCAATCATACAAAAGAAGACGATCCGCTGATTAGAAAATGTATCTACATAAGAGTATACAAGTGGACTAACAACAATGATTGTACACCACAACAGACGACGTTTGTGAGTACCCATTCTCTCGATTTGCCTAAATGGAAACAATCGACTTTTGGCGTTTTTTGTTCTTCCTTCTTTCTCTCTCGTCCTTTATCTTGTTTAATAAAAATCTATTTGTTAAGATTGTGTGTATTCTGTTGGAACAATCATGCAGTCAATCACATGCACACATAGAGTAATAGCAACAAAAGACAAAGATCGATCGCTCAAACTCATTTAACGTTCTGTATGTTCAATATACGCTTGTCTTTGCGACACACATAGAAAAATGTCGATCTTTTCCTCTTGCGACTCTATACAAGCACGATTATTGTTTCTACTAGAATATTGCTGTGGCAAATAGCAACAAGAACTAGAGCGACAGAGAGAACGAGAAAGAGATAGAAAATCCATCCTAATCCACTTCAAGTACGGAAAACGAGAACGAAAGATGTAGAAAAGCATATGAACCATAAGAAATAGAGAAAGAAAGAAAGAGAGCGCAATTGATCATGTCTGTTGTTACCACATATTTCTTCTTCTGTCGTATACTGGCAGTTATCGATATGCTCCTATTCATATAATCCTCCTGTGTGTCTTCTTTTCCTAATACCATCAACACTCTTGAGTAGTAAGAAAAGAAAGAATAAGAAATAGTTCACACACATACGCATCAATATTCTCGGAGTGGTCATCATAATCAGTTAGTATCTCTTTTAGTCTGTTGTTTTCGCTTATTTGCTTACCGACAGTGATTATTATGGACAAGCAGTTTACTGTCTGATTTGGTATGTAAATCACTATTGTGAATCATTATCAAGAAAGTAAAAATAACATTTAGAATATACAGATTTTTTTGTTGTTCTCGATCTTCATTCTCCAGAACTTTTAGATGATCATGATACGATAATAGTTTAGTGAGTATATATGTATATACTTTGAAAAATAAGAAAGTCTCTTCAGTAAATTAATTGATAATCAATCACTAGAATGTTTATAGGGATGATGAGACGTATCTTTTTTTAAAAACTATTTGGACTCCATTACGTCTTATTTATCTGTCAAGAGCATATATCATATAATATACATACAGCGAGAGAGAGAGAGAGACAGAGAGAAATAAAAAATTACTTCTTATTTTGCTGTCATATGATTTCCATCAGGGATGTATATGTTCATCATCAGTAAATTTTATAGAATCATAATATATAAATTTTAGCGAATTATTGCATATTTTTATGAAAGTATCAGACGAGTAAAGAATTATAGAAAAGGATACAATAGTAGAAAAAAGAAGAATCGCATATATCATAAAAGTATGAATAAAAGCGAGAGAGAAAGTAACGTCAAAATGAAGATATAAAAATCTTCATTGAATCAGGTTGGCTAGTTTTCTTTTGTTTACTATTGTATTTATAAAGGAATATAATTTTTTTTCTTCTACCTACGTTTTTGTCTCAGTCTAACCTAGTTGGTACTTGTCGTAGTATATAAATCGTATCTTAGCGTGATGCTGTTCTCGAGATAAAGAATGAAAAGATAATAAACAAAAGAGATAAAGAGAAATAAGATAAAATACTGAAAAAAGACAGCAGCAACTATTGTTTTGCACTTTGATGTTTTATGGGATCCTTATTTTTTCTTAAGTTTTTATTACAAACATTCAAACAAGTAAGTCTTAAAGGAAGCATGTCATTTTATTTTATTAAAGAAAAACAATGTAGAAATGAAAAAAATACATTGAGCAGAAGATCAGGCTTAATCTGTAAATTGCATCGTTGATCCTAGTTAACAGCTTCTTTAAAAATTTTCAAGCTACTTTTTTGTTATTCAAATCTATCATATTCGAGACTTGCAGAAGAATATATAAAAGGCAAAGAAAAAAAAGTCGGCTCAAATAAATATAAAGAAAAAACAAATAAATTAAGACGTTATGTTTTCTCAATCGTTATTATTTTCTTATCAGGAATAATGCATGTTTGCAATTATATAATCATTGTTTTTTCGATAAGGCCGCTTTTTTTTATTACTAATTTTGTTCCATCGGTGAATAAAAATTTATAGATTTGACATTGAGCTATCCATCAGCAGTAATCTTCTTAAGTACAGTAACCACAATCGTGGGCAAGCTCATTTAACATTTTAGTGCTTGTTAGCGAGAAATACAACGTGCGTTAGATGCATCTTATAAGCGTGCGAAGACGTAACAAACAACTGCATTGACGATGAATTATTGAGCGCAAAAACTATCGTACATACTCTCGCTTAAACTGAATGGCTGCTATCATAGATCGGACGACGACGATGACGAACACAGCGAGGAACTATCACCAATAGGTCAATTCCATTGCAACGAGCATACTAAAGAAATATGTGATGTCGCAATCCTCTTATCTTTTCTTTTTCTTATGTCAGTGATGCATCTCATTCCATTCGCACACTGAAGTCAGTTGTAGCTGGCCCAAGGTAATTTTCTTCTGAACTTCTGTCGTCGTTCTCGTTATCGTTAGTTACACTGTCTTCTGTTGCAACATCAACAGCATCATCATCACTATCCTAAAATAAAATCTATACTATTATATGTATATTATTGAACAAGCAGTCAGGCATATATTCTATGTACAAAAATATTCATGATCAATCGAAGAAGAAAGTCTATATAAAATAGAAAGCATAAAAGAAAAAGAATATCTCATCTCCATATGTTCTGAATCAATTGTGCAGTTGCTAAAAGTGCAAAGAAAAAGAAGGCAAAAATCAGCTGGACTCATATTATTCTTTATCAGTAGGACAAAAAGAGAGAGAGAAAGAATACAGAAGACAAAGAATGATGGTAGTAATCTAGATCTGTTTTATTTTCATTATATGTATTGTCAAAGTGCAATATATCTAAAGTTCTTTTAGATGCTATCTTTATTTTATTAGATCTATAATTGCTAATGTAAGTTTTTACTTCTTAAGAAAAGAACAAAAAAAAAAGAAAGAAAAAAAGAAATGGTATACTTGACTTAACATATCTAAAATCGCAAGACGATAGTTTCTTTTTTTGTCTTTATCGGAAAGACGAATAAATAGCGAATTTTCTTCAATGGAACAGAAAGGAAGCGGCACTATATTGAGTTTTTCGACTTTATAGAAAAAAAAGAAGCATCGGAAAAGCATAGCTTCAAGTGACATAGATATTTTTATGTCTTCCGTTCTTATCATCCAAAGCAAGTTGTTCCGTAAAAGAGTTTTTAAAGAGAGAAAAAGTATAGAGAGCAGAAAAAAAATGCAAGTGTTGTTTTTTCTATCATCGCCCCATCTAAAGTGTGATCAATTCAATGAGCATAGATGATTTTTTGACATGAACGAGCTGTGTTTAAGCATGCATGTATATGTCAGTCCTGTATAATCAAGACTGAAAAATGCGATTACTAACAATTCAATTGACTTAAAAGAGAAGCACATCGATCGAGACAGAAATATTGACGAGGAACATTAGTCGTCGTAAGTTTGTTGTTGCAGTTTATCAGCACACGATGATTGTAGAGGTGGAGCAGCGCGATTACTCATTCAAATGTATATAACTGTGTAGATCATTTCTCTGAAGAGCTGACAAAGTGAGATGTTGATTATGTGCGCATCAACTTCACAACAGCCGCGTGCTCCTTTGCGTGTTTTCATGAGAAAATAACTAACGGCATATATCATCCTCCTCTTCATTATTATCATGGTGACTAGCAAGCAGTTCCTACGCATAAATTATCCAATGAAGACTATTCGATCACATACATGTACACATAAACAAGATAAACTTTATACATAGTTCATACAAAAAATCTTTTTACCCTTAAGGTACATACATATATGTAGCGTAGGATTATATATATATATTTATATCTACATATGCATTTATATATATATATATATATATATATGTGCATGTATAAAAGCATCTGGTATGAGATAGAACAAAATGAATAAAGAGAATTTGTTAGAATATTATTTGGCATTGAGTATGACCTTGTTAGGTAGGTCGATAATGATTATGACTACATTTGTTAGTCAACTTTAGAGTAGTTTATAGTTAACTTGAACAAAAAAGTGGAGAGAAAAGAAAATAGAAAGTGTGTATACTCTTCTGTTCTTTATGAGTAAGTAAATACGACGACAAATAATGATTAGAATCCTAGTTAGACACGAAACATATACAAGGGTATTCTTCATTTTTTTTCTTTGTCGGCAATTCTGATTTTTGTGTTGTTAATAAAGCATTACATTGGTAGAAAATATTCTTCTAGTTCTCGTGTTTATTTTTCTCTTCGTTCGGATCAACAAGTAGATTATGCGTCGTTATTTCTTTTTTAGATATAAACTTGTTCTTTTTTTTTTACATAGAATTATTAAGAAAGGAAAAAATATTCTCCGTTTCATCTTTCTATTATTTTGTCGCAATTAATAAATTCGGAATAGAACAAAATCGTTGGTTATCTTTTATGTCAATATATCTCTATACATATATATCTATATAATATATAATGAGTTTGTATCAAATACATCTATTAAGCAGGTCAATTTTTTGTATGCATGTTCTCCAAATCATTGGCAAATCAATATTGTATTGATCAGATCTTGATGAAGGGTACATGTAGTAGCAGAGATCTACTAAAACTGAAATACCATTCTGTCGAATAAATACCTTTAATGGGGTCGTCTCTCTCTCTCTCTTCTTTTTCTCTTTCTCTTTGTCTTCGTTACGTAGAAAACGTAATATTGTTTATCTTATCCAATATACGAGCCATTACACATTATACACACAATTGCCATGTTTGTCTTATCATTGCATGATTCTTCATTCTAGGTAATGGCTGACATCCAATGCTGTTGGCAGTGGTCATATAGATGGCTGTTCAAGGCTCACAAACATCATCAAAGTCGTTCTATATTTATTTTTCACAAGATAAGATAAAATAAAACATTATGGCTACAATGAAAATGACTCAAATGCTATCTGTACCCTTAAGTCGAGTGCGATCACCTAAACTTAAACGTCAAACACCTGTTGAAGATGAAACTGATGGTCAACAGCATAATCCACCACCAAAATCTATTGCATCTGATTATGAATCAAATTCATCTCGTTCTCTATCACCATACTGGCGTATTGTCATGGATCCTGAATCTTCGTCCAGTTATTTAGATGTACCTGAAACGACAAATAATAGTCGTCGATCATCAAATAATAGTGTTGTACGTTTCACTCCACATGATGCATCGGATCTATGTTCTATTCTTGATATGACTGTAAATATTTGCATAATGAAATTATTTTTAAAAAGTCGAATCTTTGACTATTCTTTTTTTTCTTTCATTCTTCTAGTACGAATCAGAAAATCTTGAAAAAGCAATTATTAGCAATGATAAATATACTGTGCGTCGTATTATTGATATTCATCAAAATAAATTTAATTTTGTCAAAGATCGTACAAATTCAGTTCAAGCACAATCAGGTTTCCCTGTACAGCTCATGCCACAAACACAACTGCCTGCACATCAAACAACATCATTTGGTTCACCATCAATAACAAGTAATACGGATTTATTAGAAGCTGTTAGTAAACAAGCATTAATTAGTGATGATATGGATGAATTACCAACAATATCATCTCCAGAACAAAGTAATTCGCTGCATGATGCACCAAGTAATGTATTAACATATACAACGGGTCCACTTTCGGCTGCATTAATTAATTATCATCATCAAACATATCCAAATAGTCATTCGATACCAAATCCATCGTCCGTGAATGTTGGATCACCCATTAATGAACGTATTGACTCTGAATATGAATCCATGTTTACAGTGCCGACAAGTTTCAATAAGGAATCAATTTATCCCACAAGTGATTCACCTAATGATGGACCACCTATATTTCGAAATGTTTTACATGTTGCTATAATGTATGGTAAGTAGGCTATAGTTAACTGCAATCATGATCTTCTATCCATAAAATAGAACTCATAATTCTAAGAAGAATAAAACAAACAAATCATTTTTCATATTAATAAATCATTCGGCAATAAGAATATGATAGATAAATGTCATTAAGATTGGATACATATCATAATTAAGCTTGAAAATATAAATCTGTTGTTTGTTTTTTGTTTTCTCAAAATTTAGACGCTCGTGATGTTATGCGTATTTGTTTAAAATATGGTATTGATCCAAACGCACCCGGTATACATCCTAATACAATAAATATGTCATCGCATTCTCAAACACCAACATCAAATTCATATTCACATTCAAGTGCACGTTTGTCACCTGATTTACCGCGTGCATCACCCTGCCGTAATGGTACCTTAGATTATAATACTTATTATACTAATGAACGTTTATTTACATTACCACCATTATTTCTTGCTGCACAACGTAATAATCATTATGCATGTACACTTCTACTTAAATATGGTGCAAACGTTAATGCACGTGATGAACAATATTGCAGTCCATTACATTTAGCTGCACGTTTACAGCATGATGTATGCGATATACTTATATCGCATCATGCTTGTATAACAATATCAAATAAATATGGTGATACGCCATTGTCATTATGGTCAACAGTTAAACAATTACAAATAACATTTGTTGAACGTGAATTTAATAAACTATGTCGTAAACATTCGACTGTATCCAAACGCCATCGATTTTTATCACGTGATAATAATAGTGATCAATATCAAACAATATCATCGATGAATAATTATACGAACACAAATAATTGTAATAATGGTTTAGTACCGGCACATGGTTTAAAAAATTTAAGACGTGTTTTTCGATATAGTGGAAGTGATTCGTATGATTCAAAATCAGTTAAGAAAAGTCTTTCATCACAAAGTTCAATTGGAAAATCGAAACGGCTCACTGGCAGTGGCTTTCAAGGGCATGGACATGGAGCATCTCTTGGTCGAAGTGTGTCTCGGCAAGTTTCAGAAGAACGTGACGAAGTTGATGCACCCAATTTTGGACGATCACTACACATTAAGCGTAAAGTAAGTGGGAAAATCTATCCGTATGATGCTTACACATCAAAGGAAAATATATCTAATTAGTTCAAACCATCTCCCATTTCATTTTTTTTTCGTATATCGGAGACAGGAATCAAAGAAAAATATCTTAAAGACTTTGAATTAATGATTGTATTTTTTTGCGAAAACTATGATCGATTTAATTGCTTCATTATTTTTATCTATTGCAAAATATTTACTAATAGATTGAAAATTTCATTAATAAATAGTGCTCGTAGCCATCAGATTGCCATACGAGTTTTATTGAAGAAATATTTACACATTTGAATAAGTCAACACGACAAGAAGAAAACATTTTCATCAAGTGAAGCCTTCAGAATATTTCACTGGCTAAGAAAACTATACATGATTGAGATTTTAGACTAAAATTATGCTTTTAAATATCGTCGTAAATAATTTGCGCTAGATATTAAAAAAAGACACATGAATAAAGTGTTTATAACTATCTGACGAAGATCTTTCATCCTAAATTATCTTAGATTTTGCCCTAGAGGCATACCAATGCCGACAACATACAAGCAAAATATTTTAAGAGACTGCTTGAATCAATTATTAACTTTCTAACGTTAAATTAATAAGGAAAAATGGACGAGCTAATTAATCGTTTTTGAGCCTAGACTGCACATGATGTCAAACTGAATGAGTCACGAATATGCCGAGAAGAGCCTGAATTTTTATTTATTGATATCAAAATATAAGATTTTTACAGAATTTATAATTAATACTGAAGTTCCACTGAAACGACTAGGAAAATTTATCTCTAATCATTACATTGAAACTATTCATTGGAACAAACGCTATCGACAACAATTTATTATGAAACATTGAAATATTTTCATTTCCTATGTGTCCTAGGATATAGACAGAATAAACTTTTATCAATTTTATTGCATAGTTAAAATTGAGAAATCTAATTTTCTTAGTTAAATATCGGATCCAGAGACCGTCACAGGGCAGGGCAGGGCAGGGCATGATTATAAATTGAACTGAAATATTGAAAAAGGTAAAGACTAAATTAAAATGTTGTGACCGCTGAAAAGTAAAGTACTCATATTTTATTTATCTATATTCGAGAAAATATAGATATGCGCTTAAAACATAATTAAATATGAGTAGCAAACAGCAATTAAGATTATCACAAAAATCAGTTCACTGCAAAAATAATGCGCTTATCGTGATCTCGCGAATTGAATATGTATATAATTTGAATAAGTGAGAAATCAAGTAAATCTTTCACATTTCTTCTCATCAACTCATCGTGCTGGATAAATAAAGACTCTTCAAAATGTACTAGTAGCAAGAGATTCATTGTATATTATGGGGTGGTAAGATTTATCATGAAACAAGAGATTTTCTAATTTTGTAGAACCGGGCGAGTTCATATCGAGCGAAAATAATTTAAAACATAGAGAACTAAGCATACAAAACTAAAGCATGCGAAGAAATTTACCATTAGAACATGTTGAATCTTTAAGTGAAATTTCCTCTGGAACACTAAGCTCATGTCTGAAATCATTTAGTAAAAAAGCTCATCATACACATAATTCTTAATTTAGCTCGTTCTCTTATACAACATTAAATGATTCTACCATGTTTTGCATTTCTCTTTGAAGCAGTATTTTATTTTTATAATTGAATTATATGATAATAAATGAGTAAACTGGTATTGTCCGAACTAGACATAGCAACAAATTTCACAGTGACTGGCGCATAATGACATACATTATAATCCATCACCATGTCAGCATAATCGACTGAAAAATCTGCTGTATATCAGTTTATAGGAAAAATTATCAGGGCGCAAGGCAGGGCAACTTTCTATTTTTTCGCCCTGCCCTGTGACGGTCTCTGATCGGATCATATGGAAAGAGCAGAAGCTTTCACAATCAACTGTTTTCGTTAATATTTATCACTAAGAAAAGTTTTGAGCCGAAACTAAAAAAAAATAACATCTGTGATCCGAAAGTTTTCCTGATATTCATAGTTCATTAATATCCACATGATACAGCTATATTCTGAAGCCAAAATTAATTAATTAGTTGCAGAGCTTTTCGTGCAAGATGAATATCACTTCATTTTTCCGTTTTGGGTGTGACTAGGAAATATTGTGCTTTAGAGAAGACATCTTGTTTATATCATACTTGATTACAATTGCTCAAAAAATATATTGTTGTCTTTTTTTAGCACTTTTTGTCTCCTCGTAATTGACTCATAATAGCATGTGAAGTAGATCTTTCTTTGTTTTTTTATATTCGTCATTGAAGTTAATTGTAGGCTTTTTTTTAAATACTTCATCTAGTTTTTAGTACATAAATGTTTACAGGGCGATGAAAAGAGCAATCCGTTGACTTGAGAAAGTGCTTAGTTTATGAACTCAACTTATAATTAATATAATAATTCGAAGTTAATTATGTAAATTATATTTAATGCAGTTCTTTAGCTTTGATGCCAAAAATTGAAATGTCTGTTTAATAGTGCTAAATTGGTGAGACTTTTCTATGATTTATCGGAAATTAATTATACTGTATATGAAGTTTGATAGAAACAATGTACTTCTTTCAAAGGCTGTTGAATCTTGTTTCTTACAACGAGATCTGCAATTTCTCATGACTTGATCTCGTCATACATGTATAGTATTAACTAATCATTAGAATAGAAATGTTTTTCATATTAAACAGACGATCTTCCATAGAAATTTGGCTAGAAATAAAAAGAAAAAATTATTCAAGCTATATAAAAGAATATTTAATTACATTTTAATATAAAAGAAAGAGGATTTTAAATCATTGAGTGAAGTGGAAAAATGTTAATATCTGAGAACAACTCATCCGAACAGTCATCATAATTATAATAGTAATGTTTATCTTTGTTGTTGTTTTTTTTTTGAAAAGAAGAAGTACTTCAAACTTTCATTAGCATTCAGATAATCTCTGTTCACAACAGGAAATAGTTATTTTTTCCTTAAAAAAAAGAAACTTTTGAAAATCAACATATGAAAGACTCTTATTGGCAAAAAACCGTGTCGGAGTACGTGTCAGAACTCTCAGAGCTTTGCCTAAGCAAAAATATACTTGTTTTTTTTTTAATTGTAGGAATCTTTAGACACGTTTTTTCCTCGTCTATATCGAGATCATACATTCGAGAGAATCTACAATCCAAAAATAGCCTTTTTTCCTATCATTACACATTAAATAGAAACAAATTAATTATTCTCAATATAGCATAAACACAACATGCTAGAATTTCTTGAAAAAGAAAACCGACATCTAGATTTCAGTTTTGATTACTAAAAGGAAATGAGTTTTCATTCAATAAAAGGAATTGCTTGACAATAAGAAAGTGAAATTAGCTCTGCCCGATTGTATCATAGATGGGGTATAATCAGTAGGGAATTTCGCCGTCTCATATCAAAGAAATGTTAATAGACAACTTTTTTTCGATTACAATACGATAAGATTGATACTATCATTGGAGAGAAAATTTCTTTGAGTATCTACAAGCAAGTGCCTATTTTGCTTAGAAGAAAAAAAAATCATAATTGATTTAAATTTTCAAATTAAACTTTCAAATCATATAAAATAACACTAATCGATTAATATCTAAGAAAAGTAATCTTAAAGTATCCTAAACCTAAAATACATGAATAGAATTGATATAAATCAAGGAAATTAATTTTTTCTGAATTCTTTCGATAAATCAGTAAGATTTACTCTAGAATAACGATTGAACGAGATTACTTTTTAATACTTTTTTTATATACATATGAAAATATAAACGCATAACATTTTATAGAATTAGAATGATTGGATCGATATGAATTTTTGACATATGTCTACAATCTAATTGAGATTGTTTCATATTTTGATCTCAACTGATTTATTTGTTTGTTTGTTGAAACAAAGATTGAATGATTGATTGTGTTGTAATTTCTTTTCTTTTTTCATGCTTTCTTTTTACTTGCATTCAGACCTTATGTTCTTTTTCACGCTCGTTTTTTTTCTTTAGTGCTTGTTCTATTGCTATAAATAAATAAATTTTGGTTTTTATAGATCGGAAAAAATATTTCTGAGGACAATCAAAGAAAGATCATATGTAATGAGTTTGATAGTTGAAAGATAAAATAAGATTAATCAGTTATTGTGAGAGTCTCTTTCTTTTTTTTCTCTCTCTCTCTTTTCTGTTGTCTCTATTTAACTATATATATATATATATATGTGTGTGCGTGTCGTTTTAGACGGGCACCTCATCGTTGGCTGTCAACATTCTTCATGCCCATAAATCAACGCGCCAGCAACAGCACTCTGCAGCAGCAGCAGCTCACGCATCAGCAGAAAGTGAGTAACACAGAACGCCAATCGTATTGATCTCGCTCTTCAACGCTCCTCTCTAAGGCATATTTATATTGGCAGGACCAGTTTCCTCTATGTATGTGTTTGTATCTCTCTCTCTCTCTCTCTCTCTCCTTCTCTTACCCTTAGGTAGTTTCGTCTTCGCTCTATTTGGCTGATCTATCGACAAGCACGTTTACTGCCACCCCATCATTGCTTTGGCAGAACGCATGATGATGATCAGAATTATCCACTGTTATAAGTTGGTTAGCTGTACTAAGTAATTGTGATGATTTGACAGATGCCGCAACCTTTTCGACAAGATGCAGTTTCCTATATGCACGCAAACCAGTTGTTTACAATAATCTGTCAAAAACCATTTCTCTGCAATATTCTAATCATTTACCATATAGTTTTAGACTAGTTTATTGTTATATGCACAATCTCTCATTATTTTAACTGCTATTTCGACATATATATACATATACATAGGCATTAATAAAGTAAGATGGTTTGAAATGAGTTTATTGTGTGAATGTTCATGATTGTTTACACAGATAATATCCTCATGAAAAAATAAGTATAGACAACACGAAGATGAAGAAAATTTATTTCCGATGACATGTGATACACAGACATTATAATTCGAATGTAAATAGTTTTCTCAATATTGCCTTCTTCATTTTCTCATACGTCAAAAGCAAGAACCTGGATATAAATATAAGATGTATTTATGTAAATGTGTGTATGAATGATTTCCGGCATTGACAAAAAAACATACAAAATTTCTGATGAAATTTAGTTTTTCTTTTTATTATTATTAGTAGTAGATAGTCTCACTTTTCCTATCTTCTCGTTTTATTTCTTCTTTTACACCACCTATCATTATCTAAGGTATGTTTACCTTTTCATTAACTAATATAAAAAGCGAGAAAGTTCACGTTCCATTTTCACTGACTCACACACCAATGGTTGATTATAAACGTGTGTATATATGTGACAGCGGTGTTCTTTTTTCTTCTATAGTCGTATTATAAGCGCGAGAGGCAGTGACTTCCGATGGTGTTTTCATCATTCTTTAACGGTTTGACTCAATTTATAGAGGGCAAAATAGAAAACAAGAAACATGTTTAGAGTACGCCACAGCTCACAATGTTCACTCCACAACTTTAATTGATAACATCCCGAAAAATACTATTCACTTAAGAATATATTCCTATTAATATTTTTTCTGATTTGCAGGTACATATATATGATTATTAATTTTTTTAAATTTCTCTCCGGTCGTATTCTTAAATTTGTATGATTACTATAAAAATATATTTTAAACGGTATACATCTACTTGTTTAACTAAGCATAGTAGAAAAATAATTTAATTTCAAGATTAACCCATTAAAAGCATTTTTTCACACATGTATGCAAAAGATTATTTTTCTAAGAGATTTTTTTCTTTATTCTAATCCGTTTATCAATATTTCTTAGTTATTATTTGCTTAACATCTATTGCAGTCTGTTTTATAGCATACTTACAGAAGAAAAAAATTTTTAGATATTATTTAGTAGAATAACTAAACTAGATTCTAATATTTACAGTGCATTTCTTCGAGTATGTTTTATCACCAAATGTTTTCGGTACTTCTATGTTTTTGATAAACCTTTTTTGATATTGATAAATTCATGTCTGTTTCGATAATTTTTAGTTTACTACTCAAAATATTCCTCTAGTTCCTTCCGGTTTCTTTCTATGCTTATGTCAAATTTATGAGTTTATCTGTCAAGAAAAATACTATAATGAGTTCTAACAACATCATTCTAATTATTGTTCTTTTTTAAAATAATTATTTCTTTTCCATGTACTTTTATGATTTTCTTCATTAGAATTCAGTAAGTGTCTAAAATAATAAACACTACATTTTTCCTCTTTTTCGTCTTGTTAAAAAATCATTCGCTAATGTTGAACTCCATGTAAATCGGTTTTTAATCATTCTTTCGTGCTTTTTTTTCTTGTTAAGAATTTCTTTGATCTATATAATGTTGTTTTGTTTTGCAGCCGTGAAGAGAAGAAAAAATTCTTGTAACATGTCATATTGTCTAATGATTGTTACTATTCGTTGGTTCTATCTTTTAATGTCAAACATGACATAAGAAAAGAACTATTTTACCTTCGCCCGTAATATTTTTCATTAGAATAGAAATAGTTTTTTAAATAGAAAAATAACTGGAAGTATCAGTATTTTGAAAAAACTTTAGCTCGAAAATTAGGTTCATGAGGACGGAAAAATATACTTTGAGCTGCCATAAAAAAATAAATAGATGCACAGCTTGCTCACTTTGAGATTACTTGAGAGACTAAGAAAAACAGCGAGAAAAAAATATTTCTTCTGTGTTTTAATGATCATCATGATGCATCAGTTTTTATTATAACTTTTCTACTATATAATGCTGTTGTCAACATCAGTCACATCATCTTTTGCTTTTTCCTCTTCATTTTACATTATCATCATTAAGACTATAAATACTAACGAGAAAATAGTGTTTCATTTTGTTTTTTACATGAGTATATTCTACCAGGAATATTTTTCGTAAAAACGAAACATGTTAAAATACGTTCATATATATATTCATCGTTATTTTATTGCATTAATGAAGAATTTCGGCGTATGCTTTGCTTTGTGTTTTTTACTCAGTTAGTTGACGGCTTATAGTCTATCTACAGACAAAACGACGTTTATTAACTTCTATATATACATACACATACGTATATATATATATATAACAAACAAAAAAAAAGAAGAGAATTCTACTAGTTGACAGATACACACTTTTTTGTATCATAGTTTTTACGATTTCTATTATTATTATAATTATCATTGTTATGGGTATGGAAGTGCTATTCTTGTTTCTTATTACGCTTAGTTTCTTCTAATATTTTTCTTGGTTGTTTTTTATTTATATAGCTAATGCGCTCAATGATCGTCTATTTAAACGATTTTCTGAATTAAGTCGACTTGCGACTAATAGCGAATGTATCGATCAATTAATGGATTTATTGCGTATGCAAAATTCAATGGACGAAATATTGACTCTTATAAGTCAAGCAACATCACCACAAGTGCATGCACGTTTAGCAGAACTTCTACATACTTTATTAAACGTAAGTGACCGTTTTTTTAATCATTTTTGTTTTATTTTTATGATTCGATCGATATTTGAAAGGAAAAAAAATGAAGATAAAACACTGTAGTTAGATAAATTTGAATATATTTTGTATAAAGTGATCACTGCATATTAAAAATGGCATTTTTACTCATTGATTATATTAGATATTTTTAGGAAGTCAAAGAAAAAGTTTGAATGCGCCAGCATGCAATTAACGTAAAGTCTATTGCAACTGATCACAACATTTTAGGATATTCATAGCTAATACCGTATCGTTTCTCAATAGTTTTGACGATGGCTTTTTTCCCGAAGATAAGACGTAAAATTCACACTTGTAAATAAGAAGCATAATCTTTGAGTTATATTGAGTGCAAAATATGTAACGCCCTCTACTGGAATCTAGTGCATAAGATGTTGTTTATACGTATGCATTTATATATTAGTATTTACATCAGATAGAATGTTCTTGATTTTTTCCCTTGTTATTAGCATAAATATGAATGAAAATTCCATTTCTAATTAATTGAGTAAAGACTTATTTTTTTGTTTTATATTTGAACATTACATTAAACGTATTCAATATAATTGTAAAAGCTAACAAGATTAGATAGCTAGCTTTAAATATATTCTGTATCCTTTATAATGTATGAAAGTAAAACACAAAAGAAAAAATTTCGTGGAAAATTATGTATCAAAACAGAGTGATTATTGTTTGCTATTCATCTACTTCCTAAATATCGACGAATAATCAACTCTCTTTTCACTCGTGCATGTTCTATCTGACGATTCAGAATTCGATTAGCCTCCAAAGGCCGTGTGTACACGCTCTATAACCCTTCTATTCGATCCTCCCATCAGCTCATTCTCTCTATTGAAAAGGAATGAAACGATAAATCTCTCTGTTTTTCATGCACAATGAACTAATCTTGAATGAAAAAAAGAAACAAGAATAGAATAGAATATATAACGAAATAAATTCTTTTATTTAAACCAGAGAATAAAAAAGCAATAAGATATAGAATTATTTAGATTTATATTGACTATTATTTTGTCATCATTAGAATACTATTTATCGATCACTAAGAGAAAGAAGAGCAACAACCTACTGAGTTATGTTTGTCTTTATAATCCATGTGAATGATACCACATCCTATTGTTAAACACTAACATTGAAGACGAAGACAAGAAGAAAAAAAGAGAGTTAACAGTTGGCAAATCATCATCAGAGAAACAGTAATCAACAGCTTTTATATTTTTGTATATATTGATGTTCTCTGTTTGGTGCTTGTTTATCTACTACGTAAAAGAACAAAAGAGAAACACTGAGAAGTCTGAGTATGTTTATACAACAGTATGCAGAGCGATAGGACAAAAGGAAAAAGAATGAAAAAACTGTCGTTACGCTATTATAATGCAAGAAGCAATCACGACTAACGATGTTCTTTACTTGGTCTTTTATTCATATGGTTGCAACAGTGCATCACGCATAGAACGAGGTCGATCAATACTTTCTCTTCTAAATGTGAACGTCTAAACATGATCAATATGTGTGGCAGCACACACAAAAACAAAATAACTAGAGAAAATAGATTGTCTGTCTGTCTTTCTTGTGCTTCTAATTTAGTTTACTTCTTGTATACTCTACAAATCAATATAGATGAGAGCACTTATAGTTGTTGTTGAATAATATCCGGCATCATTGCCATTTTTATTTTGCATGAAGAATTTATTTTTCTTCTTTTTTCATGTTCATTTTCTTCAAAAATGAAAATAACTATATACCTGCTACGATAGATCATCATGATGACTGAAACTTGAAATAAAAGCAATAAAAATATGAATAGAACTATATTATGAAATTATTTTGTTGTTTCAATCTTAACTTGATATTTGATGATAATACATACACATATATGTATATGTATGTACTTCATATAAGAAAATAACAAGAAAATAAAACAAAACATCGCCTGTTGGTCTTCATTTCTTACTACATGTAATGTACTAAATATGATCTATATGGAATAGACAAGAATGATATCTCTCAGCATGCCTATTAGCACTGCTAGTCAAATATTGAAAAACGAGAAAAGAAGAAATAGCATTGATCCATGTCATGTCAACAAATGATTATAAGGACAGGTAGTCGATCAACACAGCGAGTGAAACTTACGAGAATGTCAGACACATGTAGACATCATTATCAATTTATAGTGTAGTGATTTAATAGTCCCATGAGAAAGAAATATATCTATCATGAAAAAAAAATTAAAAAGGCGGCAAGAAAGCAAGCCAGCTAGCAAGAAAATAAAAAAGCTAATATGAGATAAAGCATTGAATATCATCTCCCTTCGTATTATATTGCTGATGGATACGTGAGATGTAATAATCACGGAGTGTCAAAGTCAACGTTAAACAGAGTATGACATGATTTTCTCATGTTGTTATAAGGTTGCCAGAAAGTCTAAGCACAGCGTCATGCCCGTTTGAAGTACGACAAACGGAAGAGGAGCGCGCGTCAACATCTACGACAAAAGAAGAATAGAAGAGAAATAGAGCGAATAGCAAATCATTTTTCGGAGCATAACGAAGGAGAGATTCTAATAAATATATAGACAATCTATCTATCTGTTGTCATCTATAGCAAATAGAGTATCATTTTATTGTACTTATTATTGGCATAAAGTTTTTCTCATCTATTTTCAATGAATACACAGGTTCGTTGCATGCTATACATTTATAAATATATACATATATATATATATATAGAGAGAGAGAGAGAGATAATCAATTCATGTATATTTATTTAGACTTGCTATCAAGAATTTTTACGTAATCAAGATAAGCGTGAGTATGTTGAAAAATTTCAAGTACACACAAAAAAACTATTGGATATATCGTTGGAGTTACTATCAAGTGATATGGCTAATATGCAATATTTAGCATTGATAACAATAAATCGCTTGTATGATGTATATGTATATCATAATTTAATCAATCCTGGTCGTTATAATGCATGCTATATACCACCAGCAAGAAGACAATTAACTTTAAATTCAATGATTAATACAAATTCTTCAACATCAAATGTAAATTTTACAGAAGAAACTAAATATGGCAATGATCGTTTACCGAAAACATCAACACTATCAAGTATTTTACGAAAAATTTCCCGTGAAACAGATGAAAAACGAGCAGCAGCAGCTGCGGCAACTGGAGGAGGTGGTAATAGTAGTGCTTATTCAAATTCCAAATTATCATCAAATACAACACAACAGACTTCTGGACCAGGACCAGGTGGCGGCGGCGGCGGTGGTGGTGGTTCGAGTGGAAATACGGGACTTTTAACACGTGAAGCATCAAAACGATGGATTCCATTATATAGTAATGATAATATTGCTCCAACATCTTCTTCTCTTGGTTCCCTTCCGCCATCATCGCCAAACATATCATCAGCACAAGGAACAAAAGTATCATCAACTGACTTAACAAATCCTCAAATTTCATCATCAAATTTGTCAAAATCACATTTACTTAATTCAGAAAATTTAACAGATAATTCTTCATCTCCATTATCAAATGATAATTCGAATACTGTTTATACATATGAACCATTCTCACTTTTATATCAAATCGAACCAATACATATTTTACGTTTAATGCGTACACGTTTAGATGCACATAGGCGAGAATTTAATAATCGACCTAAATGTGTACCATCAACACGTTCACCATTGTGTACACATCATTGTGTTGTTATATTAGCTGCACGTTTATTAACAATACTTTGTCAAGATCATACATTTCAAATGAGGTTTATTGGTACAAAAGAAAATTTAGCTATTACTATTGATATGCTGAATATTAATAATGATCCGGTAAATATTTGATTGATTAAAAACTAAATTATTTATATTCTTTTGCTTCTTCTTCGTCGTCTACTATTTCTGTCTCTGTTTTCTATCTTCGACTAGAGAAAAAGAGGAATAAATCAAAATTCAATTATGTAGAGAATGTTAATCAGAAAAACATTGTTTTGTGTGTTAGAAAAAATAAATAAATATATAAATAAGATAGAGACATTTCTTTCCCTTCATATTCTATTGAGATTATATTAACAACATGTTTTACATTTGTCTTTTTCTTTTTCTTTCTCTGTCTCTCTTCAAGCATTTAATTTGTTTGATTTTACAAACATTGGGTGTTGTGACATTAAATCCGGATTCACACGAAGTATTAACCCAAGCAGATATACCCGATACAGTTTTACATTTAATCTTACCAGCTGATGAAATGTTTTATACCAATCAAACAACGAAATTTGCTCGCTATGTCAAACATCTTGGTGCAAGAATTCTTATTTATATGGGTCTACTTACGAAAGTCAGCAACAAGGTTAATCTATTTGATATACTTGGTAAGTGTTGAAGCGAAGGATAAATTCAATTCAAATATTGAATGAGTCCATTCCTATTTATTTTGTGTCTGTCTCATAAATAAGAGATTCATGATGTAAAGTATGTGCGTGATTCTGATTCTGACATCTATGATGAGAAATTCTAGATGTGAAGATAAGATACTTCCTAGAGTCATTTTTCATTCGACATCTCTTAAGTGAATTTTGATCTGACAAAAAAAGAACACAGTCTAGTTATTAATGGATGCCATATTGCAACGTCTTCATACTCTCGAGGAGCATAAAGCGAGAAAACATAAAACGTGTTTCTATTCAAATTAAGAACGATAGCTATCGTATTGTTTTCAGTCATTAGACAAGAGTGCAACGATCCTAATCAAGTTGAAACACAGAAAAAAGCGAAAATTATGTACTTTATTATACTAGACGTTGACATGAAAACTTTTTAGCTAAACAAGATTTTTAATAGAGATGCATCATGATCATATTAATTTGAGCTTGTTTTGTGTAAGTTTGTTTCTTAATTAAATCTAAATATTTTATTCTATTTTCTTCATACTCAAGTTTTCAAATATGAAGAAGTAGTTCAATCTTATTATTAGAAGTACTTACATATATATATAATAAACTAAAAATAATATGTTCATGACACACTTTGACAGAAGACAAGGAAATAGTTAAACAGCTGAAACGGAGAACTTCCATTCATGGTTTGAGTATTATGAGTTATGAAGTGAAATTTTCGGGATTGATAAACTAAGTTTAGATGACTTTCAGTGTACTCAGATCTATCGACAGTACACGCAATAATAAATGCGTATATACAGAATCAATGAGTACAAATTACCATATTAGATGTTTAATTTTCTGCTAGTCATTCATCAACAATATGTAGTGTGATATATTGTGAATTTCGTGTTCGTTGAAGCCTTTCTTTCGATTTGATTGAGAACAGATTTACAATATAGATTCAGTTATTTTTGTCGTTCTTGCTTTTTGGATCACTTTGTAAAGAATAATGTCGTATTATATTCTATACCAAAAAGAAAAGCAGTTATATAGCATCTTCAATAAAGAAGACCATAGGTACACAAAATTTAAAGTTTTCCATTTAAACGTGATGTTGACCGTTCTATAAGATGAGCCCATAAATAATGAATCAGAGACGCTTGGGAACTATTCAACTGAAAGTGGTAAACAATAAAAGAAATTACTGATTAAAATTTCACATTTTCACAGAAACCGAGGACCGATCGGATTTTTTTGTTTTTCCAAAAATATTTCGTTTCTGTTGGTGCAATCAAATCAGAGATGATTTCCGATAGACTTCTGAAAATTTGTTTTGCAATGACTCTCAAACGATTATTTTGCCGACTCCGGAACATTTCTATAGGGATGAAAAATAGGATCTTTTTATATTGCCGTAGGGTGATACGCATATCAGCTGATAAATCGATTGAAGTTTGCATCCTAAATGAATGTCGATAGCTCGTTAACCTGAGTAGATCTACAATATTCATTTGCACTGAGTAAAATGAAGAAATAAATAGAATAGAATATCTCAAAAGTTTACTCAAAAATAACCAAAACATCGTTCAACAGCATTGTTTGATTAGTGAAGAATGTGCAATCAATGAATATTTGAAAATAATTTCTATCTAGTGAAATAATAACTTTTTTTTCTCCACTAAATTAGATGTTGAACCAGAACCACTTGATTGTGATAAACCACAATCATTTGAAAATAATTTTGTTCATCATATGGCTGTTGGTGAAACTGTTGTTGGAACATTATGGACATCGTTTGCTGGAGTTTGTATTGAAAAATTACTTGATGAATTACTTAAAGTATGTTTTAAACTTTTGCATACTTGTTTTGAAATCCTCATCCAAAAACAAAATTTTTTTCTTCTATGTAGGATGGAATCAATCCAAAAAAATCTATACCAAAAGAATGCTCAGAACCACCGCAATTAGCAACAAGTCCAACATCATCGTCAGCCGCAGCTATGATGAATTCAAGTGATAGTCTTCTTTATAATCTTTCATATTTATCATCTGTGATACATCCTGTTATCATACTTCGTTTACTTGAACATCGTTTGTTTACGCCCTTGTTTAAAAAAAAACTAGTTCCTAATAATCCAGTATCATCATCAAGTTCTCAACAAGGAAATGACAACAAAGCATCATTACCATCTATATCACCAATTGTAGGTGCATCTGCTCTTGCATCTGTACCAACATTACCTAAACTAGATTCATTTAAACGACAGCGAAATTCATTAACAAAAGAAGCACCTTCGTCAACAACAAATGATCGTTCATCATTATTAACAAAATTTACACAGTCAACGTATGATAAACATCGAAAAGCATTAAAAACGACAGGACAAAATACGTCTACAACCGGTACAACGTCGGTCAATTCTCAAACATCAGCGAATAGTAGTCAACCATTAACATCAGTAACGTTTAGTGCGACAAATACGAATGACTTATCATTATTAGCGTCAGGGCTATCATCTTCATCGTCAACAGCAGCAGCAACACCGGCAACAGTCAATAATTCAAGTCAATTAAGTACATCACGTAAATGGTTTTGGAGAAATTCGGATAAAAATGTACAATCAAATATAACTAATGATCGTAATCCATTACTAAAAGCTATTATTGAAACGGATTCATCAGCATCCAAAAGTAATAATCAATCAGGCACGAATTCAACAGCAAACGTTGCTGGAGTTGGAGAAATGAAATTATTAGAAAAAGAATTATTAAATTTACCATCGTTTCAATTAAGTGATTCACAAAATCCATTATTACCAAGTCCAACTTGCTTAAGTTATGATTTTCCGACACAATTCGATCATGCTAATTCTACATCAAATATTAATATAAATCGACAATATTCATCATCGAGTTCATCATCAAATATTAAACTACACCAAGCAAATAATTTAACAAAAGGTACATATAAATCAAAGAACAACGATTATGATTGTAAGTTATACAAGAAAAATGTACAGTATATTCGAAGAAAAAGACCACATGTCTTCTCCTTTATCTTTATGATTTAATTCAACTTTCTCATTGAGTACATAACAAGTCAATATATTCTGTTTTCATGCATCTAAATCAATTTGAAAACCATCCTATCTACATAAAATATTAATATTCAGTTCATTCATAGAAGTTCTCATCAACTATATTCATTTATGAATACAGCTCTCATAGTTAAATTTAATAAGGCCAATGTTTTACTTTGAACTTGTAATATACTCGCAAAAAATGACTCTCCTATATTTTTCCAAGTCAAACAAACTGATAGTTGAGTAATATGTATTTCATTGATCATCAAATAATGAGATTCTTCAATGTCATGAGTATTCCAGTCACTAGATTTTATACTATTGGAATTCTTTTCATCATAATATATGAGAACAACTATCTAAAAAAATGACCTATGAACGATGAACATAATTCTAGAAACGTTTCTAAATAAAACACAAAATTTTGTACGATATCTCTCTGAATTTACCAAAAACAAATAGTAAATTTTTTAAAACTTTAGCCAGAGGCGACATTTTTAAAGTTTAATTGTAACAGTAAAAATTCTAAAGACATTATATATGAAAGTATATAACCAATTAAATTATTGTGCTCCAATTGTTTTTCTCATTTATTGTCAACTTTATATAAAAATAGCATTCCTTTTATATAACACAAACCAAATTTTGATCATGCCTTCTATTCGAATTATTTTTGTCTGATCAATTAGAATGTTTTTTTTAGTGACCAGTATCGTAAATGTATTTACTGTAGTGGAGAAAAAATAATTGATAGTTTTCTTCTATATCGTTGAAATGATAGAATTGAACCAGATTGAATGTTTTTAAACATGAACTTGTTATAATATATGTTCGCATGTTTTCTTAATCGATAAAAGTAAAACATGAAAAACAAATAATTCAGATATATTAATTTTTGTTTGAGGAAAAATTAAGTTCTAATAGAATTAATTTATTCAATTTTGCGTTTCTGATCTATGATAAATATTTATACTGTTGCTCAAAATTAACGAACGAGAAACAAACCTAAGGTTTTGAAAGTTTACGAAGTATTTCATATAAAAAAAGCCAAGTTATTTTACAAGATAATATAAATCTATTCAAGTATTTGAGAAACTATAATATTCTTTGAAGTTTTGTTTTAGTTTTATCCGTACACAATCTGTAGATTGTATACTTTCTGTTTTAACCAACTATAATAACTAACAAATACTTTCAACAGTACATTTAATATGTTTTCTGTCATGTAAACTAGCACATTGTACATACGTACATTATTATTACTATTTCCTATCATGCTGTCAACATAAATAGAATCACTGTTTTATTTGTCATTATTTCTATTTCAGCTGTATCATCTGTAGCAGAACACGGTGCTACTAATAGTCTCTTGGCAACCTTGAATATTCCATTTGCTGCTGTACGCACCCCATCTGATGAAAGTAATCATTCGTCAAGTCATGCTAGTAGTCCATCACGAAATATGTCATCATCGAACAATCGTCAACAACGTTCACTATCAAATACACGTATGTCCGTACGAGGAACAGTTAAGAATCTATTTCGTTCATCGAAAACCGTTGACAATATGTCAAATCACACAGCAAGTGTAAATAATCGATCAACAAATTTTTCTGTATGCAGTCAAGCTTTATCGAAACTAAAATCTGCACCACCACTTATGAACAATCAACTATCACATTCACAACCTATTGTGACAGAATCATTAATGCATGATAATAATCATTTTGAACCATCATTAATTAGTCATTCTGAGCAAACTCCATTGATTGATCGTCGAAATGAATCTAAATATCATAATCATATGAAAACTTCATTTGGCAGTACAAGTAACAATAATAACAACAACAACAATAATAATAATAATAATAATAATAATAACGATAGTTATAATAACGATGAAGACGTACGTTTAAATCGCCAAGGATTACACTTACCACTTGAAACAGATGGTTTACATCGTAGTCGTTCATGTGCCGATGGTATTAAAATGCCTACAACTAATCAAGAAACAAATTTATTAAATGGAACATCAATAATACCAACAATTATATCAAATCTTCAACCAAATTTGAGTGATGCTGTATCATCGCGTTCGACTGATAGTACAACATCTTTACTTTCAGCCTATTTATCACCTCAACAACCTACTGTTTCACAATTATCAGCAATAATACAAATAAATGGCAATGAAACAAATGATATGACTAAATCGCAAGAATCCCTTTTTAGTTGTTCATCACCTGTACATAAGCAACGTTCATTTAAATCACTTATTATGGCTGCAACTACACAAGATACAGCCACAAAACAAGGCAATGAAGTGTTAATACTGATTGCTAGTTGGGTATTAAGATCACCTGAAGATTTTCAAGGTAAATTTGATTCATGATATATCTTATGCTATATTTTATTTCTACTTATAGATTATCTTGTACAAAAAGAATTAAAAAGCTTTTTTGCTTTACTTGAATCATTACGTAGTTCATTTCGTAGTTGGACAAGCCAAATCAAAGAAATACTTGCACTTCAGGTAATTTGAAAAATAAACAATAATCTCGACACGCTGATTTTGTTTTTGAATATGGAATACGTACATATACATATACACATCATTCTTTTCAAATTTTTATAGGATGTCGAATCACCATTAGGTACAGAAACAGATGATCCTAATAATGAAGATATTGTTCGAGAATACATTAAAATGCAACGAGATATTGTTGCTGGACGTTTAATTTGTTCAAAAGAAGAAGCAGCTACTCTAGCTGCTGTACAATTACGTTTGGAAGCATGGCCAGAAGAAAATCTTGAACTTGCTGAAGGTAAAATATTTGCAAAGTTTTCCAAAATTCCTTCAGACGCTCGAAAAATCTTCATACATGCTTTAATATATATTATGATCTTGTTTTTAGTCATATACTTCTAAGTATTACAACTGATTTCCGAAGTTATAAAACAATGAAGTTAATGTCGATTAATATTTTGAACTATCTAATCAATTAAATAGTTATGTATAGTAGTCTTCCAATAAGTACTCCATTGGGATTTTCTCTCTAAACATTACTAAGACAGAAATATAACATACAAAAATAAAAACAATTAACTAATTACTTCCTGCGATGAATGTTTTTCATAATTATTTTATTTTTATTTTTATAGAAGATGAATTACATACATTAAATCTTACCTTAAATGAGCAAACCTCACCATCAGCATTAACTACTACAAGCGGTGTTTCTGGTTTGCAATCAATGACATCATCATGGCGTGATCGACATCGTCGCAATATAGTGAAATTTCGTTTAACTGATATACCTTGTTGTAAACGTGCCGATCCAAGTATACATCAATCGAAGAAACCATTTCTTCCGCCGGATTTTCGTAATAGTAATGAAATTCTTAAATTAATTAAAGTAATATAATAATTAAATTTGCAAAAGACAATTTCTCTATTTCAATATCTGTCATTGTTTATTTCAGGACAAACAAAGAAAACTGTTTCATATTAATGATTACGATAATCCAACACGTTTAAAAGAATGCTATGTACGTTTATGTCGAAATTTGCCTGGTTACAATGCAGAAATATACGCTGTTAAAGAAATTCATGGCAAACGATCAAAACGAAAAGTAAGCCAAATAGAAAAAAGGATGCATTTCATTGTTATTGAAAAACAAAATATATAAAGTATTGCACCAAATCGCTAGAAATAAGAGTTTTGAATTACGTTACAAATATTTTATTGAAATATTGTCTTGTAGAACATTTAAAGGCGAAAAACAAAAAAAAGTAGCGACAAAATATGTTGTACAATACAGAGAGTGCCGTTATGATTGATATCAATAGATAGTTACTAGCGATCTTTTAGATTAATCTCACTAGAATTGAACGTACAGCACATTTTCAAAATTTTATATTTCAGGGCAATCAACTACTATGTATTCGTTCTGATAAAATATGCTTGTTAGATATGAAAACACGTATCATATACAAAGAACAGCGTATTGCTGATCTTGAACATTGGATAACAAGTGGACATCATTTAAGTGCTGGTACAAATGATCTTGTTTTAGAATTTCGTAATAAAACAAAATGGCGTTTACAATTAAATACAACAGCTGATCTACGTGCTATAACTGTTTATCTATGGAAAATTGTTAATGTTGAAGGCTACGCACTATTTGATAAACAGGTTCCATTGAATATGACAATGCGTCGTTATTCTCAATCGCATCAAACAGGACGTCGTATGACACTTGTACCAACAACAACACCGATAACAAGTTCAAATAAAAATCCATATCAAACAATAGCTGACATGTATAAAGGTTCAAAAAAAAATCAAACAGATCATCATATAGCTACAGGAACAGATCATATACAAAATTTAACACGTGCGATGCACAATAATCGTTCCACAACACTTTCTGGATTAATGATCAATCCATCGTACATTCATCCATCAGATCATACACAACCAATATGTTTTTCATCGGACCTAGAAGAATTAAAATATTTATTTGATTTTCCTGAAGAAGTTGCAATGCGTTTAACAGATGTCGAACATGAAATATTTCTAAGTGTACCACCATTACAATATTTAAGACATTTAACACTGGATATGTCATTTTTACCAACAAATGATGCATCAATACAAGGAAAAAGTATTCGGGTTCTTGTACAACGTTTTCAAGCGGTATGTTTTATATTTGTTATTGTTTTTTTTTGTGCCACGCAAAATTTGACGTGTATCTATGTAGGTTGGTTCATTTATTCAACAATTAATTGTTTCACAAACTAGTTTTCAAGAACGTAAAGCTATGGTTTCATCTATAGTTCGATGTGCAATTACTTGTTGGTATATGGGCAATTTCAATACTGCTATGCAAATATTAGCAGGACTAAAGTATGTTTTTATTAATTATTTAACTGATTTAGCAAAAAAAGAACTTTTTGATTAATTTATATGGGATTTCTTCATCGTTAAAGAAAATTTTTAAAGACAGTTTATATCGAAATTCATATAAAAATGAATTCTATTTTTATTTTGATCAAATAAAATGGATTCAAATCATATGAGCAAATAAATAGTTTAAGTCTACTCAATTGCTACGTGTAAATAATTACTCAAATATTAATAGACTTGAATAAGATTGTTCTCGAGAAGCTACTTTTATAAAATGAAATATATAGGATAGAAGATAGAATAGTCACCTCGTACGACATTGACTCCTGCCTGCTGTTGGATTCAATAATAGGTCAGTAAATTTTCTTCAATCATTACTACTTCTAGTTCTCGACACAGAACTAAGTAGATAGAAGACAAGTTATCTCTTGTGGGACAAAATAGATGGTTATGTTTAACATTCAACTTTCATATTGAAAAATAGTATCATAGTTCTAAAAATTGAATTTTTATGTCTAGAATTGAAGCTTTTCGTCCATTATGGCTAACAATTACTGATGAAATTCCTGGCTTTAAGTTTCTTACTGATGCATTTAATTCAAATGAAAAGACAGCTCAATATTGTGATGCTGTTAGTCGAGCATTAGATATTCCGACATGTAAGGTTGTACCATTTTTTGGTACATTTCTCAAAGATCTTCGTTCGATCCTGAGCAGCGTACCAAGTATTGTTGTTTTATGCAACCGTAATACACAAAAGCCAATTGAAGTATGTTATTGAACTTGAAAAAATAGTTTGTTTTAAACGATATATTTATTTTAAAGGCTGTTGCTGATTGTCAAAATCAAGAACATTTTTTAACACGTAAATATTAATACATTAATTTGTTTTTCAAATATTGAATAAACTAAATTTCTTTTTTTCTAGGCATTGGTGTTGGTGGTTTAATAAATACACGGAAAATCGAACTTGTTCATATGGTTTTAAAAGATGTTGCAATGTTTCATAATCGCCATCGTCGCCAACCATTATTGAAATGTTGTAATGATTTCAATCGTATGAAATTACCTTCACAAACAATAGTACCAGAAATGAAAGAAAAACATTCGGCTACCGTTTGCGTACCATCCGGTGATAATCTAACTCAAAAGTATGTATTTATAAACTTTTCATTTTTTGTTGCTGTTATTGAACACAAACTTGTTATTTAGAGTACCGAAATCAAAATATAGTCGTCATCAATCATTTCCATGTGCGTCAACAACAGGAACGAATTATGATGCATGCCGTACGGCGAGCATTGCTATTCAAGTTATCGGTGATAATGAAACATCTAACATGCAAAATGAGAGCACCAATTCAGTATTACCATATCGTTCGACACTTGATATTCATGAACCAGAAACATTTTACTGTTTAAATGTATCATTTTATCAACCGATAACACAACCGAAACATAATCATGAAGTATCACTGTTATCTATGCATCATATTATTGATTTTAATAATTTACAAATGCTTCGGTTAGTTTTTCTGTTGTTTAAACTTTGATTTACGAAAATTTTCTTTTTTTTCTTTTTCCTTTGTAGAAATGGTACAACATTAATTCTTTATGATGAAGATACTATGCATACATGTTTAGTTACCGTGCGTCTTGAACTTGATAATTGTACATTAACTTGGTAATGACTTTCTTTCGATAATTATTAATTGAGTCAAATTGTTAATTTTCTTTTTGTTTGTTTGTCTTTATTTAGGACCAAACCATCTTGGGATACTCATCGAAGTATTGAGAATGTAAACACAGCTAATCAAGTGTCAACTGAAGCAGCACATTATTCAATTTTAATGAAACGTTATATATTACGAGATGTAGCATCTGTTGATATGGACGAAGGTTTTCTTCAATTAAAATATGTTAAGCATATTCGAAGTGGTATTCTTCATTGTGATCTTCTTCCAGTAATAAAACGTTATAAATTAAATGATATATCAAATCCAGAAAATTGTTTTACAATTGTTTATGGTGCAACGATTAGTGAAAACAAGTAAGAAGATAACTCCAAGAGAGTTTTACGGTGTTCTTTTTCGCGATCATCAATTAAATATTTTTAAATTTTATTTTTAGGTCTCTTTGCTTCGTCAGCCCAAAGTATTGTTCACAAATTTGGTATTCGAGTATAGATAAATTAGTAACACAATATCGTAAACATCGTTTATGTTCGGATCGACGTATCGTTTGGCTTAAAAATCAATATCTATCACTATATCATGAGAATGAACGCTTTCAAGGACCAGCACCAATGAATGCCGTACTTGTATTCGGTGGAAGACAATGGAATTCAAGTTCTTTATTTTCATATGAACGTGATCATCCGTCGTCGAAGAAAACTGGCAGTGTTATGAAATCATGGTCAAATTTAGGATTGAGAAAACGCAATAAATATGAACAGGTACATTATAAGTATTCTTATCAGACAAAACTAACAAAGTCTAATCGAATAGATTTCATCAAAGGAAATCATCGTACTCCATTGTAAACTATTTTTTTAAACGATTCATCAGAACATTTTCTCTTGCACTAGAACATATTTACCTACTAGTACAAATATAATAACTAAATATGCTCTGTATTTTGAATCCGACTAGAGAAAGAATTAATATTATAATGATCAACTTGTTAATTAATATCTGATAATAAAATTTGAATAGCTTTATTTTACATTCGAATTGTTTTCTAATAGGATCGTAAAGCAAGTTTTTCAACGGAATCTGATCCAACAACAACACCCAAATGGCAACTACATAATTCAACATTAGCTTTACGTAATAAATCGAAAACACTTGATTATAAAACAAAATCAAATCTTGTTTCACAAACTGTTAAATCTCCACGTTCATTAACACATCATCAAACTAATTGTAAACAACGTTCTGGTATAACTAATCATCCATCAACACATCGTACAACAACAGCAACAACAAATACATTAAATAATTTAATTAATGCCAAACGTTTAAGTAGTCGTTTGAATTCAACAAGTACAAATAATCAAGCTCCAGATTCTTCATCGCCGTGGATTATAAATGAAACATATATGGATTTTCCTGAATTTGTTGAATTATTTAAATCATTCTATTTCCATTGTCGACGAGATTTAAAAGATCTATTTGATAAATTCGCATCAGAAATTAATCTTGAACAAGATTACACTATTAAAGAACAATATAAGAATGAATCATTAGATATTTTAAGACATTTAACTGGTTTAATAACAAGAAATATAGTTGATGATATAACTGATGCAAGTATACGTCGAATATATGATATGATTGCAATATCATCTATACCTTGTTATGCAATAAGTACACATACGCGCGGAAACTATCTTATCACAAAAGAACAATTTCGAGATTTTCTAATTGACCATCAACGAGAAGATAAAAGTTCTTATGAAATTGAACAAATTATTTATGTAAGTAGATATTATTATCAGACTGAATAATAGTTTTTACATTTTCTATTGATACAGTTGAAATATTTACGAGAAAAAAAGATATTAAATACAAGAAATAAATATATAGTTTAGCATGCAAATATCAACAATTTTGAAGAGAATTTTTTCATTTCTATTTGCATGATCTGAAAAGTAATGAGTATTATGTAATCTGTCTGAATAGGAAATTGAATAATAGAAACTATGCAAAGTCAACACGCAAAAAATTAATAATCATTAAAATAATATCGATCGAAAAACCAATCAATCAATATATATATATATATATGCGTGTTCGTCTTCTCTTCAAATATCATAAATCGTTTTCAGACAGAAGCGTTTTCAATCAATGTAATATTTTTGAGAACATCAGTTCTGTTTGACATAACCGAAAAACAAAATGTCGTTATCACAGAAAAACAATCTGAATAACTTTTCGATTGTAGACTTTGCTCATGCTCATCTTTAGCCAAGTTGTGTCGCAATCTGAAAATAAACTCAGAGATTTTCAAAATAATTTATGTTGTTTTTTGTTCTTCATATTTTAGCGTCACGAGCCTAATCGACAAAATCGTTTGAACAAAGTTCTTTCATTCGAAGGTTTCTCACGATTTTTATTAGATAAAGAAAATTATGCTTTTGTTAATGAACATACCAAAGCTAATGAACAGGTAATAGAAACAAAAATTACGATATTATATCATATATTTACAGTAATTGACTTCATTTTACAGGAAATGGATTATCCATTATCATACTATTTTGTTGCATCATCACATAATACATATCTAACTGGACATCAATTACGTGGTGAATCATCCGTCGAAATGTATCGTGAAGTGAGACTTGTTTTAATAAAGATTTGCTTTTTTAAAAGTTTCGGCTTTTGTTTTACTCTATAAGGTTCTTTTATCTGGTTGTCGTTGTGTTGAACTTGATTGTTGGGATGGTGATGATGGTTATCCAGTTATATATCATGGTCGAACATTTGTTAGTAAAATATCATTCAAACTTGTTGTTGAAGTTATTAATGAAAGTGCTTTTTTAACATCGCCATATCCCGTTATATTATCGATTGAAAATCGTTGTTCATTAATGCAACAAGCACGCATGGCACAGATATTTGTAAAAGTATTTGGTGATAAATTAATAACAAAATATATGTTTGAAGCGGATTTTTTTGAAGATCCATTATTACCATCACCAAATCAATTGAAATATAAAATTTTAATTAAGAATAAAAAAATCAATAAAATGCATTCAACAACACAATTAAGCAAACAGAAGGTACAACTGAGTGTTAATTATAGAAATTCAGTGTATTCATCGCCCGATGATAATGAAGAAGATGACGATTCTGATGATGATGAACTTATTGATGACTATAATGATGAGCAAGTAGTAAGTGGAGAATCTCAACGTTCAAATTCAATGACAGATTCACCTATGTATAATTTGAAAAAATCTAATCCTGCTGGAAACGGTGATCAAGATGGAGATGATGATTTGTAAGAAAGTTTTCAAGAGAATATTTTTCGATGAATGTTATCATTCTCTTTTCAGAAGATCATATCAACAACGTCGATATAGTATTTTAAATAGTGAACCACGGCAACGTCTAAAAAGTAGTAGTTCAATTGATGCTAATCAAGTGTTAAAAACAAACAAATCAGCTACTGTTATAGCAAAAGTACCGGCTATATTAGTTGCTAAAGAATTATCAGATATTGTTATTTATACACAAGCAATTAAATTTCGAGGTTTGTAAATGATAAAAAAAAGAATAAAGATAAATATTACGAATTGCAAATATCTGGTAGAAATATGATTAATTATATTTTAAAAAATCTACTTAAGATCAGAAGTAGCATTCGATTAAAATGTGTTGATTTGTGTCTAAAAATGATAGATACTGCTTGTAAAAATTTCACTGTTTTAGAAATAATATTGCTATTGATAAAACTAAATCTTCGAATATTTTATAAGTTTCAACCTAAAATTATGTTATTTTGCCGAGCTATCGAATTCTACCAGAAAAATAATCAATTGTTGAAGACATGAACAAAACAAAAACAAATTGAGATTTACTGTGAAATTTAACTAATTGAAAAAAAAACAGGATCATTTTCCGATAAAAATCTGAGAATATTCTATAGACTATCAGATCTAAATAGAAGTAAAATTCTAGATCGAACCTCCGTTGTTTTTTTCTATGGTTCACGTTAGATCAATGATTTAACAAATCGATCCTGATTCAGTTCCAAATAGCCATCAGAATGAATCATTTTAGACTTAGTTTAGTCTCGTTGAAGCATCCTTTTTGTAACCCAATATACATTTAGTCGGTAGATATCAGTATGATTGAAACTCCTCTTCACTTTAGAAAACTATTTTAAAATGTTGCTCGCATTGATTGATCAATTCTTGAACATCGTTCGCTTAGAATTATTGAAAATTCAATTGTAGTTACAAACATTTCTTTTCTCGTAAACAGTCCCATCTCAGTATATTCTTATCTTTGTAAACTCGTATATCTGTATTCTGAACCGACTACATAATATTATTGAAAAGATAAACATGCATCTTTGCTACTTATAGGTTTAAGTTGTTCAGCAGCATCAAGTGGTATGACTGGTAGTAAACCAATTCGAAAAATTCCAAAACGTAATATTCAACAGCTTGTCGCTCAACCTAGTACAACGAGTATGAGTACGCTTTGATGCCATATCAAAGCAAAAGAAATAAATTCAATGGTTTTATTTTTCTCTTTCATCACAGGTACTGAAAGTTCTCGATCGGTTGATCAAGTTTCTCCTTGCCATCAAATTGTATCATTAATTGAAAATAAAGCGAAAAAATTATGTAAAAATCAAGCCGTCGATATGATTGCGTAAGACTTTTTTTTGTTTGAATGAAATTTTATAATGAAAATCTTTTACTTTTAGCCATACTGAAACACAACTTGTTCGATGTTATCCAAGTGGGTTTCGTGTAGATTCATCAAATTTCAATCCATTACATTTATGGGTGTATGGCATTCAGTATGTATTTTCCAAAATATTTTATTATTAATATTCCGTTTTACTATTTCTAGATTGGCTGCAACCAATTATCAAACACTTGGTAAAAGAATAATATTTGATTTATTATTTAAAAAACACATAAGTATTTTTCTTTTCAAACAGATCCGGGACAAATTCTTAATTTATCTATGTTCGAGCAAAATGGTAATTGTGGTTATGTTCTTAAACCTAATATCTATTGGGAAAAAGAACATCCACAATATGGTCATTTTAATCCATCGGTAATCGAACGTGAAGGTCAATGTTTTGAATTAACCATTACTGTAAGTTAAATGAAAACAAGAGCAAAGCTCGATATAGATTTGAATGTTCCTTTTTAAATATCAATTTAGGTTATCTCTGGTCAATATTTAACACAAAATATTAGTTCAACATCAAGTGTTTATATTGAAGTTGAACTTCTTGGTATACCAATCGATTGTATGTCAAGAAAAACAAAGCCATCTGTTAAAAATTCACTTAATCCTATTTGGCAAGAGACATTTGTCTTCCAGGTATTTATTGATAAATTCTATTTTTTGTGTATTCAAAAGATGAGTACACTCTAGATTCGGTCAGTGTGTCCGACCGTTAACACCATAACTCTTGAAAGCCTCATCTAATTATGTTGAAATTTTGTACACAGAATGATCTCAGTCGAGTTCGAAGATGGGAAGGATCCGTCAAAAAATGCCTGAGTTATCAAAAAAATTGTCATTATTGATCAGACCATCCCTGAGGGGAGTACAGGGATTTTTTCAAAAAAACTTTTTTTCTTCTCAGAATTATTCAAAACATATATAAATCGACTCAGTTTTTTGCAGCACATGTAACAATCGGATGCGAATCCGATGTTTCCTCATTTTTATTTTTATTTTGTTTGAAATTAATAATCAAAATGAACATCTAAGAACTAGATTTTTGAACTATAGAGTATCTACACTCTATTCAAAGTCGTGATATTAGCTTGACTTTTTAAACATAAAATAAAGATTTCTATGATGATTCTTTCGTTTTAATATAAATCCATTTAGCTAGTCATTTATCGATGATACACTCTCACTATGAAAAAACAACAAGATGCTGATCAATATGTTTGTTAGAATAATTAAAAATTATTGTAAAAAATATCAACAAAATGATGTAAATGATTTAACCGAACTTGAGATTCTGTAGCAATTTCTAGACAAATTTTTTAAAAACAAACATTTACAATATAATCAGTATTTCAAATCTATTACTTATATTGATAAAGAATTTATCAAAGAATATCATATTCAAACGCAAAATCTGTAGGTCGTAACGTTTCCTGATTTAGAAATTCGCCGACATAAACCTCTCTCTAGCTCAAGTGTTGCATTATGTGTTTGAGTGCTCTTCACAGAATCGAACAATCTGCTAAACAGCTTGAATATAACCCAGAAAGAAAACAGTTAATCACGAGAAAGAAATAAGTGTTGAAAATAGAAAATGAAAAAGCTACAGTAAAGTAATTAACAAGTTTTCAATGGAAAAAATATTAGAAGTCATTATTTTACATTGAAGAAAATTTACGTTGTCTATGAAAGAGTGATACTTGTTATTTATTGTTTCTTCCAAAACTAAACGTATAAAATATCTCAATTCTACTTAAGCAAAGTAATTACCTATTATTAGAAAGATGAAACGATTTTGATGAAAGTGCACACCCAAATAAATAGCTACAAAGCAAAGAATAGAATCTATTTTTCAAAACGCATCTTTAAAATATTTGTGAACAATTAAAATAAATAAAAAGAAAAGTAATTAATACAACGATGATAAAAAAAAAATTCGTTCCACTTGCAATTTATCGAACTAATGCTACGTTAAGCTTAGAATAAAATCCTAAAATATCGTTTTGTTTTCGTAATCTGAAACATAAGAAAAATCTTTAATTTTGAATTCTTTTTAGCTATTTTTCGTCGAATTAGCATTCGTTCGTTTTCATGTATACGATGCTGGAAGTAATCATTTAATGTCTCAACGTGTTATGCCATTAAAATGTCTTCGAGCTGGTTATCGACATGTTCGTTTAAGAGATATTAGTAATGCTCCATTAGAATTAGCAACATTATTTATTTATTCAAAAATGACTGAAACAATCGTTGTTCGAAATATTGAACCAGATCTATCAACATCGAATACACCACATTTATTTCGAAATCGAATATTAAGACGAACAATTGACCCACCAGAAGCTGTTGCTGTATGATATAAAATAGTTTCTATATTACAATTCATATTAAGTTTTTGTCTGTTTCTTTTGTTTGTTGGCTGAATAGGCAAGTCGAGAATCCATTCGACCAAAACATAAAACATTCGAAGTTAAAGTTTACGGAAAAGAAGGACGTGATGAAGAATTCCGACCATTTGCTGTAACACAATATACAACTGTTGAAGAACTTATGGAAATGGTAAAATAAATATTTTATTGCACTTCATTATTTGTATTCCTTGTAATGTTTGTTTTAGATTGCTAAAGCTAATGATTTTCTACAAGTTGGAGAAACAATCAAGGATATCGTTTTAACTGAATCATCTAAAACATGGAAAAAGAAATCTTCCTCATCATCTAAAAACAATGATATATCACCACGAACATTAGCCAAACATGAACGTGTTCTTGAAGTTATTGATAGGGTTGGTCGTGAAACAGTGATTATGAGTAAAAGAAAAGCACAAACGCAGGTAAAACTATTGAAATCATATTTGATCTTTTCTTTTTCTATTTTCAAAAATAAATTTCTATTTTATTTTATTTTAGCAACAATTACTCCGATCAACATTAATCGATAAAAATATGCAAAATTGGGAAAACGGTGATCGAACATTTCTTGTTACTATTTATAATATTTCACCTATACAAAAACATACAACATTTCGAACGCCAATTAATTCAACTGCTATTCATGTTATAACACAAGTAAGTTTTTTTGTGCCAAAAATTCTTTCTTTTCATTTTGTTTATCTGTTTACAACTATTTTTTTTAATAGTTAATGACAAAAATTCGTATCACAGGTATGCCAAATGATTATGGACTTGTAGAAGAAACCGATTTAAATAAAACAAATGTTACTCGACGTATACCAATAAAACGTCGTTTGTTATCTGATGATGAAAAACTATATGGTATTCAAAGTTTATGGATATCGACAAATTCAAAATTTGTCCTAGTTAAAAAAGCTGAATATTTGGAATCAAATAATAATAAAGCATTTTCCGACAAATTTCTGTTCCGTTCAATAACAAGACAGAAATCTATCGATCGAGATTCACATGAAGGTAAACGATTAGATTGATTCTGGTCGGATTATAAACAGCATAGTATATACGTATTTTTTTCCCTTGCCATTCTACATAGATATTCATGTAGATCATCCACCGAAACAACGAACAACGAATACATTAAACTCAAATGCAACATTAAATGGTACTTTAATTAATAATCGAGCAACGCTTGCATCAGTACCATCTATTCCTAAAAATCGTCATAATAATAATAATAATAATAATAATAATAAGCGTTCATTAAAAACAATATTTTCGACAATTAAATCATGATGAAGAGTGCGATCTTGTCAAATATTTTTCCTGATTTTTTCTGTGTGCAGTTTTTCTCTGTTCTCTCACTTTATATTGTTTCTTTCTTTTTTTGTCTGTTTTGCCTTACGTTTTGTTTTCTTTCTCTTGTTGGTTGTTGCGACAACTAGTCTCTCTCTCTCCCTATCTCTCTCGTCAAGTGAACAGTGTTGTTATACTTATGCTTTCTTTTGTCTTTTAATTCGCGATCATAATTGATAGACAGAAAGAGAAAGAGAGAAAAAAATGGTGTTTCATAACAACAAATATCGTTCTCTTTTTTTTTTGTTATTACGACAATGAATGAAATCTTTATATTAATACGTTTGATTAGACATGAAGTAAATATAACGTAAAATAATGTGTACAGATCATATTCATATTTTATTAAAAAGGATCAATGACAATGATTACTATTAAATTTCATAGCTTAGTAATGAACACTTCATGGAAACAAAACATTCTCAACGATATTGATGCAAGTAATTGGCGTAAAACAAAACTAAAATAAGGGGCAATATTTTAAAACCTTGATCAAACAAATCTTGCTTCCAATACCTATCTTCTAGCATTTGAAATGAATATGATCTGGTAAAACAATGTATATGTAAACATCGAGCTATTAAATGTCAAGGGATATTAGTGATCTAAGAGAATGTTCTTGAAAAATTAGAATATTTATGCTGATTATATTATAGAAAATTTCAATGTGCATACATTTCAATGATCAGATTTTAGTTGGTCACTATGAAAGCGGATCGAAACATTTGATATCACTTATGTATACTGAAACTCAACTCGATAAACTCTCTCTTGAGTAGTGAAATTTGATAAACAAAAAAAATTAGAAAGTGCTATTACACTGTAATGACATTTCAATAGTAGCTAAGACATTAACTTGTTTGTCAACGTTACTTTGTCTAATCTTGATTTGATTTGACAAAACTAATGGATTTCTTTTCTCATGCATGAATGCTATAAATACGAAGTCGACCAATACGTTAACTCAAACTAAACTGTTCGACATAACATCAATTGTTACGTTAGGTTTTCATCTTACAATTGTTTCAGTGATGCCGATTGATAAGAACTAATCTCAATCGTATGTAAGAGTTACGTATATTTGAAATACGTTAAACCATCTATGCATTGTTGAAAGTGGTACATCAGCAACGCTCACGTAGATCATGCGTACCTAGTTGTTTGACTTTCTCATCATATTTAAAATAGTAAATTAAGAAGAAGAAAAATTTGAAAGTGATTCGAAATCAAAGCACCAGTAAATTTTTCAGTAAGTACTAAGAGCGAGAATGTTTCAAAATGGCGAGATTTATTATTTCAACCTGTTTGTTTTTTGTTTGCTTCTTTATACAAAATGAGAACAAACTAGTGCAGTGAGGAAGAATTGAGAGAAAGAAAAACGTGAAGAATATAATAAATTAAAGAAAGAAAAAAACACTTGAAAAAAACAAGCGTTAGAAACGAAGGTCCTTATTTACGCCCATTGTTGGGTACATGTGCTTGCTGTTGACGATTTGATCTTCCGCCAGTGTTAACTGGTACACCTCTTGTTTGATCAAGTTTGTCTGCTAAATCATCTACTCGAATATCTTTCAAATGAAGTAAATGTTCTAGACGACGAATTTTTGCTTGCAAAATCTACAACAGAAAATTTTTAATTTAATCCATAAAAAATACTTCATTAAAGAAAATAACCTGAATTTGTTCTTCTTTTGCGATGCATTCTTGTTCTTTTTCATCATATTCAATACGGCTAACCATGTCTGAGCTCAAATTATGCATTGATGTTGACTTTTTTGGAATACTACAAATAGATACACTTAAATCATAGATAATCATTTCATTCTAATTCTTACTTTGATACTGGCGCTTTGCCTTTCGATACCATACCTATTCATAAAAACAACCAAGATAGTTATTAATGAAAAAAAAACAGATTAAAAAATGTAAAAAACCATATTAATTCAAAAGGATAAATAGTTGGGGGAATAAATGAGCATGCAAAAGTAATAAATACAAGACAGAAAAAATCTAAATATATTTATACAGGGTATAGATATTGAGTATGCTCTAAATTATTGGCCCCTAGCATGCTGCGATAATCATGGTCGGTATCTAAGAACAATCAAGAAAACAAAAAGAAGAAGTATTAAAAATAAAAATAAAACAGAAAAATAACTAGAATATAACTATGTATAAATCACCTTGATTGTAATTTAATAAATAAGAAGGATTATCTAAAACAACATGATTTCTAACTCCTAATACGATGAATCTTCTTTTACTACTGAAAGATCTTCAGTATCATTTAGGTATCATATTTGTTTTTCTTACTGCTATATTTCGGTGAATTCTCTTCATATTGATGTTGTTGTTGTTGTTGTGGTGGTGGTGGTGAATTTTGTTGACGATGACGAGGTGTCATACCACTAGATTCACTTGTTTTGGCCTGTTGATGAAGAACTCTATAAAAGAAGGAAGAGAAAAAATAACGAATGTTAAAAAAAAGGTTTTATTCATATTATAGTACAACATTATTGAGGATCAAAATCCAAACAAGCTACTACTAACATTAAATTTTTAATTAGTAATATATGTAGTTAATCGACATTAAATTAATTCACATTCACATTCAAACCACAAACTATTATTCTATATTTAAAACAAACCGATATTGAGGATCGCTGGGATTTGTTTCCATTGCATAGAGACAACTGAAAGAGTAAATAGAAGATTTAATTTCCTCTAATTCAACTGTATTCGAAATTTAAAGAGAAAAGAGAAAAAAGAATCATTACACATACTCATCAACTTTAGTTCGCAAATTGTAAAGAAATACTTCAACAAGTCCAGTTCGACCGAGACATATCCCACGCATAACAGGTTCAGGAACATTGAGACCAAAGCGACAAAGGACTTTTCTATTTAAAAGACCCCAATTAATTAGTTTTTGTTGTGTACTATTTGCTGCTGCGTAATTATGTAGATCAACCTATTGAAATCAATCAATAAAAACAAAAACTGTAACTAAGCATTAAAACTACTTACCCAATTAGGAAAATAATATTTTATTAATTCAGCAACCATAACTAAAAAAAACAATGATTGAAAATTTAAAATAAAAAGCCGAAAACCATATATATATATATTTAATATATTCTATAATACACGTACCACCATCAGCAAAATCTTTTTCAATACGCTTCTTTGGTCGACTTAATGGGATTTGATCGAGCCATGCGTAAAGATCTTGTAATAATTGATCATCTAATTCAATATCCCAAGACATTTTGATCCCTGTTTAAATAAAAATCGAAGCAAATAACTCGTGTGGTAATCACAAAATATCTATAATAAAAAGAAAAAAGAAATACAAACTTAAATAAGAGAATCTTTCAAAACAATATACTATTCGTCTTAAGGAATTCTTTACAATAATTTCTGGTTTTTGTTTTGTTCTGAAAAATGGTATACCATCAATCGATAATTTAAGAAAAACAATTTTTTTTTAATGAAATTTATAAAACCAATCGAACAGAAATATACGTTGTTGTTTTCTTTTTCATCGCCATATTTCATTTGTGTTGCCATAGTAATAACCACACGACATAAATATATGTACTTAAACAGAACAAATTCTATTCGTTGATCAATTTATCCATTCCCGATTATTTATATTCGTAGTTCTATCATCATCGTCGTCATCGTCCCGATTTGAGAAAGAAAAAAAGATTCTTCTTCTTCGTTCAAGGTTTTTTAGTCATACTTGGTACCATGTAATAATCATTTTTTTCTTCTTCTAGATTCCATCGTCTCTTTCTGTACATATTGTGAGTCGTTTTAAATTTTCAATGCTCAAAAAATAAAAAACAAAATAAACAATAATAAAATAATGTCATCGTCAACAGCGACGATATCATCGAAAAATTCTACGATAACTAATAATGATCGTAAACGGCCAATATCGTCTTCTATGCGTCCGTCGCCATCACCGCCATCGGCCAAACGGCATGGTTTATCAGAATCATCGTCGAATTCCCGTCATGCAACAAATAAAAATTCACGCCGATCAGAAAGAAATGAGATTCTTTTGAAAAAATCCAATGAACAAAATGAAAGACAAAGTCGATCGAAACAACAGTTTCGACATAGAGATAACAAAAGTTCATCGTCAGAATCAAGTCATTCATCACTGAATTCAAATCATTCAATACGTGAAGAAAATACATCAAAAACAGTACAAACATATAATGATGCATTGAAATCAACAATGGAAATCAATGGTATGTTTTCTTTCATTTTCAAAATAATACTTTTATGAACGTGTTGTGAAAAATAATTTGTGCTAAAATTTATTCTAGGTTCCAATCAAATGGTATCAACTAATAAACATCATTTAAATTCAATGCATAGTAGTAATAAAAAATTGTATCGACCAACAGATACAATCTATACAAAAAAAACTAATAAATCAATTGCATTAATTGTTAAACCATCGACAACAATCGATGAAAGACAAGTTAATACTACTGGCGACAGTGAAGATGAATTTGAAAGAACAAAATCGATGCCAAATAATATTTCAGTAAGAGAATTTATTCTAATAGTCAAATTTATTAATTTTCATTAATGAATTTTTTCCTTCATACATGTTAATTTAGTTCTAGGAGTTTTTTTTTAAAATTTGAAAACGAGCCTTCCATAGAAATATTTTAATTGAAAGTATTTCCTGATAAAAAAAAAAACTAGCGGCCTATGTATTTCTCTACTTTAGTCAAAGTTATTATTTTATGAATACTATTTCTAAATATCATTCATAGTATAGTATTCAAGTTTTTGATACATCTAAAATTCATTCTAATTCTACGCACTACTGCCAGATGAAAAATAATGATTTATTTATCGTGATAGAATTCCTTTGAAAAAATATTCAATCTCTAAAATCTCATACTCTACCGATAGTTTTTGTTCTATTTAAACTTCATCAGATATATCAAGTATCACTTGATTGGATGACGAGTTTTAGACACTTCATGATCTCGTATAATTAGTCATCAATGAAAAGCAAATTCAAAGAATTATTATTCACAAACTAATTTTTTTATATAAACATCAAATATCATATTATCATTTATGAATAGAACATTTTCGACGGCGAAAAAAAGTTATTTGCTTAATTAACTTAAATATTTTTGAAAAGATTAATTTCTACTTGTCACTTTAGGCAACATCAACCCATGTCACTATTCCATCATCTGTAATGACAATAGTTACTGCAACTGATTTGTCAAAAAAATCCGCGCGTACAGAGAGTGTCATTATTCAACAACACGATGGAAATATACATCCGAATTCTTCAACAAAATTGGTTAAAGTAGTTGTTCCACAAGCAGCAATTTCGCCATCGATACCACCAATAAAAATGCTTTCAAGTGGTGATGGTCTTGCGTCAGCCTTACGCATTCCAACGAAAATTCAATTAACGAAACCTTTATTTGTGTCATCAACAAAAAATGATAAAACATCTTCTTTGTTTTCTTCAACATCAACACATTCAATTAATCATAGACAACAAACTTTATTACACTCATCATCAACTAGTTCGCTTGACATTCCAATAGATATGAGAGAAAAACAACAGCAAACTGTTGTTGATTATCATTCATCAACAACATTACCACCAACACCTCCACCTCCTGTTATTGATAATAATAATAATTCAAATGTTCGAACTGGATTGTCTCACCGATCAAAAAGTCAAATAGAAGGAAAACAGAAATCTAATGAAATTTCTACAATGATTATCAAAGGTTAATAGGGGAAAATAAGGTTTTTTTTTTTTATTACTCTTTCCGTCGTTCTATGGATACATAAAAAGGAAGTAGAGGAACGCTAATTTTATTCGATTTCGAAATCTTTCTTGATGTCTTCAACATAAAAAAAAAGATATGATAGGAAGAGAAAAAAACCACGAGTTTATCAGTTCTATAATTTCATTTCCTGCAACGAAAAACTTAAAGTTATGTTTGATATGAATATAATTTGAAGATGTAAAAATTACTCAAAAATGATTCATCGCCGACAATTATGTAATATTTGCTTGTAGCTTCAGTAGCAAATAGTTTTTTTCAAAACTTATGAATAATATAAAATTCCATTTATAGTTGCAAGTGAATAGTTTGCTAACAAACAACTAGCTTCTGATTTAGAATTGCGTTGAGGACGAAAAGTTTCAAATATATTTTTTTTCAAAACAATAGAATGATTAAGAGTGTATCGTTGATCGTTTTGCTAGCTAATTTTTAAACTTGCACTAACGTATTCTATGATTTAGTAAGTCAAAATTGGATAAACTTATGACGAAACAGATCTAGCTTGAAAACTGATTATAATTACCGAGTCGGTGAATGAATGACGAGTCTATGAGCTAGATATTACTTAAAAAGCAATGAATCATCAGGGATGCGATAGAATTCGTTTTATTCTGTTGGAAATGTTTAGAAACTCTGGATTTAAACCTATACACTTATCCCGAACTGAAAAAAATAAACTTTTGTACCAGAAAGGTCATTTGATTGGCTGTGAACCAACATGTAAAAGGCTGACTGTACCTTAATGTGTTGAGAATAAAAATTATATAGGACAAAAATATCATAGAGAATAAAGTCTTATTTATTATTCCAACAGTACAACTTCAATTTGTCATAATTAAATATTAAAGAAGAAAAACATCGATATAATTTCGATTTTATTCGATTTTAGGCAGTGAAGATATTGACTCTTCAACGATTAATCACAATCCAAATCATCAAATTACATCTAAACGTCATTCATTACAAATCGATTATGCATCTTCATTAGTCGATTGGTCTGTACCCCCAACAAGTGAACTATCTCCTTCATCTTTAACGTCATCGTCACCAGATTTAGCACAGTATCATTTACCTATTGATGATTCACTTATTGATTTGGATTTAGCAGCAAATCCAAAGCGATCAATAAAACGTCGTTACCGTTCGTTATCATCATCGTGTCCAATATTACCATCGTTTGAAATATCGCATGTTCAATCGACTGAACGAGTCTTGACACCAGTTAAATCAAGGTCTTTAACAGGTCTTTCGAATTCATCAATGATGAAATGCACTGTCATCAAGAATAAAAGATCTTTGACAGCATCGCCTACTATGAAATTATCATCATTACAACGTGTAAACAAAAGACGACGTGATGGTGAAAATTTAATTCTCAATCAACAAAACGGAAATATATATAGATCGAAAACAAAACAGCTTAAAATTGAAGATGATTCTCATGTTGTTATCAAAGATTTATTAAATGATATTATAGAGTAAGTAGTTGACTTCGCTTTTGGATACAAGTTTTAAATTGAAAAACAAAACACTTATTTATTGTTTTATAGTCGAATTGTTTCAACACAGCCTGATACACATAACACCATGAAAACTCTACTTCATACATCTATTCCACCTGTAAAACAGGCAATACCATTTGCTGTGCTTCCGAATAGGCAAAGAAAAATGAGTCATGTCGAAAAAACAAAAGCAGAAAGTAAGATATTAATTAATTCATTTTTTTTCTTGTTCTTCAATGCCAGGTTTTTTCAATACAATATTAGTTCTTCCTCGGACAAATCAAGTTGATAAAAAACGCAATGGTTCATCGCAATCATTAGATTCAACTGTACACAATGGTGAGGTTTTTTTGTTTCCTAGAAAGACTATTGAATAGCTAATAAATATTGTCTAGAATCTCGTTCGATGATAATGACGCAGAGAGAATTAGATGAATTAGCTTATTTACTTCATGCTAATGTGCATCGAGGACAATACGAACGAATCGGTAACCCAACACAAGTTGAAGAACGTAAGTAATTGAAATTTTTAGCTAAATCATCATATCGAGAGAGAAAAACAATAAAAATCCTTATAAAGAATAGCGTCGAATCGTTAGAAAATTTCTAAAAAATATTCAATTTTGGATGATATTATTGATTGAAGAAGCCATTTTACTTTCAAAATTTTTCGTCTCATTGAATTGTCGTTTACCGAGTTTACAAAAACTTGATGAAATCTTTGTAGTTTAATCTTGATTTAACCATTAAAATTAATAATCTTATATGAATTCATCAAGGATGACTTTTTTTTCTGAAAAAATTAACTACTAGATCAAACTATGGATTTTTCCATATTCAAACTTCTGCAATGTATGTAACTCTTTTATGCCAACTGTTACTATGATAAAAACCAAAGTTTTATAATGTGAATCTTATATAAAGTTTTCATGATATTATTTCTTGTACTATGAAAATAACATTTAGAATTAATCATAGAAAGATCAAATAATAACTTATTACTCTAATAGTATAATAAATAAATGAAATATCAACCTACTCTATTCATACTGATATTATTCGTATCTTTATACTCTATGAAGATATATGATCCTATATCAACTGTTCACATGTGTACTCATGGTATAAATATGAACTAGCAAAAATTCAAATGAGTGTGATTAAGTTTCGTTATAATTGATTTATCTCATTTGATTCTGGCGAGTATAACATAAAGTCAAATCAAACACATCAATTTTCTATCCCAAAACGATATTTTTTCGTTGGGTTTTTTAAACAAAATTTCTATTTTTTACGATGAAATTTTCATTCTCAAATACTAAATCTAAAATCACGTTGAGTACGATTTGAGATAAAATATTGACAACTGTTATGAAATATCGATATAGATATAGGCCTAGATATCTAATTCAACTTTCTACATTATTTAGATAATGAAAAGATTATCAGTAGTACGAATGCTTCCGGAAGAAACTGAATGATTCAATGACAGTCTACTTTGTGTTGCATTTTATCATTCGGATAGCAAAATAAACATGCTTTAGTTTATAGGATAGTTGTGTATTCAAAGATTTCCATCAGCGATATGATATGATTAAACATTGTTTGATACTGTAATAATCCATGGCCTCTAAAGTAAATGTCTTGTTGTCTTCATGGCCTCGTATCAAAAGGAAAACATGATTCATGATTATAAATATTTCCAATATTTTTCATCAAAAATTTTTCTACGACTTGTATCCAATAAACTAATTAGTCATATATTTTCACACAGAGTCATTACCCAACATTTTATTACTAATAACTATGTCTTTTGTCTAAGATTACCTGTACAGTGAATTTTTTATATTGAATATTAATTTTAAAGTAGTAACTGTCATTTCTGTCGTATTCACACTAATGACACATAGAAATTCAGAAAATAATATCTACCATTGACCATAGAACCCTCTAACCTTCGCGAACAACTGGGTATCTTCCTCTATTTCCGTTTTTCTATTCAAAATGTTCTGTAATTACACAATAGAAGGAAATCGTTTTTTCTCGAGTTTCGCTTTCGAAGTTTTCCTGTAAGTTGATGAATATTTTTTTAATTTTACGTCATATTAAATGATTACAGACTTATTGTATGCTTTCATTTTATAGTCTACTGACGATTTTTCATTTAAATTTATAAAATATATGTAATGTATATCAATTTCTTCTTTAAGGTATGCGAGAAATATGGTCAAAGATGAGTATTCATAAAAAGAAAACTTATTATAACCGCGTTATTCAAATCTATAAAAGACCACATCATGATGTTGTGATTGCATCACCTGCGTCAGCCATAGGTAAACATCGTGTTGTTTTTATTTTAATGATCGCACAGAATACCATTGTGATGCATCTTTAGAAACGAATTCTTTATCGTCGACTACTAGTTATACTGATAATAAAAACACATCATCAATATCAGTTGATGTGCCATTTGTTGAATTGAAACGACAAACATCAACACCTTTATCGTTTCATTCAGTAGCTTCATCAGTTGTAGATGAACAACCGATTATTTCACCAGTTGAATCTGATTCAAAATCAAATGTATTTACTGATATTGTTAACGAATTAATTACAGGTGCCAAAGGCTTAGATAAATTATCATGTTCACCAACTATTTTTGTGAATTCAATTCATAAATTTGTTCGATCAACATTGGATAAACAAATAGAAACAGTTAAAAGTCTTGAACAACAACTTGAAAAGTAAGAAGAAGAAGGAAAATTCTAAAATTTATAAAATACTTTCGCATTTTTTTTTATTTGCAGAAAACGTCCGACACAATTAAATCGCGCAACTATTTTTTGGACACAAAAAATTAATTATTTCGCTACTAAATATTCAATTAAATCGCCCAATGAATCAATGAATGAATTAGCATTAATTGTCAAATATTTCTATTTATTTATATTATGTAAGTAAACAACAAAAAGTTTATTTCTAATATTTTCGTCTTTTTAAAATTTTCTTAGCACTCAGTTCTCGAAAACAAGATGCTGAATATGAAGCAACATTGACAAATTTAGTTCAAGGAAATTTAACCTTCATTGATGAATCATTTTCTTCATCAGCATTAACAAGTATCATTGAAGATCGTATTTTACTTTCATCAGTAGCTAATGATTATCTTGCTTCTCAACCAATAATAATAAGTGATATCGAACATTCATTGCCATTAATACGTAATATTGAATTAGAAAATGATTACTTAAATAAGAACGATACACATTTACAAACAAGTCCATTTTCTGATTTGAATGATTTAGAAAATTATCTAAGTCGTTGTGAACGTAAGTTATATATTCATAAGAATATTTTGCTTGTCCTATTTAAACTGTTCTTCACATGTTCCTGTTGTTTTTTCCTTTGTTTTAGATATGACAATAACCATTCCATGTCAAACCATACAACAGTCTCATCATCCATCTATGTGTTATTCAACATATCCTCCTCATTCTCAATATTATTATTCACCAACACAATCATCAGATATCAATAACTATTACTATAATCCTACAGTTGCATATCCAAATACTCAACAAATGTATGCGTATGGTCAACCAACATCCTATTATCATCCATCAGTAACATATAACAATAATAATAATAATAATAATAATAATAATGAGCAACTTAAATATTACTATAATTCATCACTACAACAACAACAGCAACCATCGTATATGTATCCACCACAGTCGAACAGTACTAATGACATTCCATTACCAAACAATTCTTCACATCATCGAACATATCGACAAATGAGTTCAAACATACAGAGGTAAATTTAATTTTCCTATAGCACTAGTTAAAAATATATGATCAACTTCTTCTTTTTTACGGTACTAAACATTTATCTCAAATATAATCACTGATTCGAATAGGCGAAAAAGAATCTCTCGTAAATGTAATTCATAATCAAATTTCATAGATCATCTATGAAAGAAAATTTTCTGAAAATTCAATCACTCTTGTTTTCATGTCAAAGAAGGACGTAGCAACTTATTTTTAAGTAAATTATTTTTGGCGATCACTAAATCTTAAATAGGATTACGTTTTCAGTTTCATATAGTACTGTTAAAAACTAATCGTCAGAATTCTTTCTTGAACATGCAAACTATCCTCTCAGCGGCCATCTATAAACTTCAATATAAATTTGTTTCTGATAAGAAGACTTCGCTAGGTGTTAATATCATCGTTCATATTTGTTGATGTCGAAAAAAAAAGATATTGATCTTTTCTTTTTAATCATGACCATAATGAAAGATCTATTTAATAATTTTGTTTTATTTAAAGAACTTACAGTAATTCACAACAACCAACGCCATCTGGTGCTGCATCTTCAACACCGTCAACACCAGCTGTATTTGATGCAACAACTGTCGTTTCACCACAGGTAAAAATTTATTTCAAAAAATCTCTATAAGTATTCTATTCTATATCGAAATGATCTTAACTATATATATATATATAATTATACAGTTTTTTTTATTAGAAAAGTTTTATATTTCAAACATACCTTAATCGAACTTTTTTGTGCAAGCGCATGAAATTCTTGACTTTCTTGATCAAGAAAATCAAGAACTATGGACACATCTTGAGGAAAGACATGAGGCCTTTCGGTGAGCTCAAGTTCTTAAACTTCTTGCTCATGCACTTGAATTTTTATCTAAGCGTTTCTGTTATTAAAGAACTTTTTCAATTTTTTTCCAATTTTACGTTCAAAATAACTCAGCTTGTAATAAAAATGTATAGTTGCATTTTTTTTGTAACTCATGCATACTTTCAAACGCTTGTCTTGAGCAAGAAAGTCATGCACTATGGACACATCTTGAGCTCAAGTCTCGGCAAGCGCATGAATAAAAAAGTTCGACTAGGGCAGTTTATTTGTTGAGGTCATCTCGTTCTAATAATAAGAAAATAAGCATGCCAAGTGAGCCAGTAGACTTTATTCATTCTCTGCAATGAGTCATCAATAGGAGTGCATCAATTCCAATTCGAGTCAATTCAATTCCTAAAATTGATCGGAATTGGTTGGAATCGAAACTAGTGGATCGCTAGTCATTAACTCATAGTAATAAAAGACGAGAGAAATCCGATCAGGTGTAGATATGTCATTATATAACCTTTTATAGAGTCGTAGTCAACATTGAAAGAGTATCATACTCTTTGACTGATAACATGATAAGAAGTTTTTTCAAATTTAGAAAAAAGAAATCAATTCGTTGGGAGCATTGACAGGTTTTCTTTGTATTATATATCAATCATACTAATAGATACATGTATTTGTAATGATCTAGTTGTGAGTTGAAAATATATTCAATTATAATTCGTTGAAGGCCATTTCTATATATAGAATTTATTTAAATTAAAATTATGAATTTAATTAAATATCCATAAATGAATCTTATCTTTCTTACAGTCTTCTTCAGCAGCAATAGACAATTAAAACTCGTGTAAAAATATAAATTGCTATTAAAGCTGTTAGATTTTGAATTAAATTTTATTCCGACAATTAAAATTTTCTTTTTTTTGTTATAGTCAAACCAAATGAATACGACAAATATTAATAATAATTATCCACCATAATTAACAAGAAAAACATTCTTCGTACGATATAATTGTCGTTGTATTCTGCATCAGAATACGCCAGTTTCAATTTTTTTTTGTTTTTTTTCTTCTTCATTCGAGTTGCTTTTTTCTCTTTTTTTCACATATACACAGGTGCTTGCTTCATTCAATATCGTTGTCGTCATTATTATTTCTTTTCATTATTTTCCCTTGTGTTTCATATACTTGCACGCTGTACATTTCTGCTACTAGTACTTATTTATAGGTTGCTTCCCGTTTTGTTTATCTATTTATTTTAACTTTTAATTTGCGTATCTTCTATGCATGAGATAATATTCTGTTGTTATTATTGTTGATGTTGTTGTTTATTTTCGCATAAGGCACGTATATAACAAGTATTCATGTTTATTGATTTTTGTTTCATTAGACTAGTAAGAACAAGTTTTAGGCTCTAAACAACAGCAGTAAGATTCTTTCATGTATGCTGTATATATATACGTTCGTTTTGTTTTGTTTTTTCTCTACGAACAAGTATCGACAAAAAGAGAACATATCCGAAATTCTTTTTTCGTATGCGAGCAAGTTAAAACAGTTTTCTTTTTCTTTTGTTCTTTACATTCAATAATTGATCTGTAGAAAACACAAAAAAAATCATACTTCTATTACTGATACGTGTATCCATTATATAAATAGACTTCCAATTATTGCTTTGTTCCTCACCATTTTTTTTTGTTTGTTTTTATTTCTGTTTATTACCGGTGATAAATCCACCTTGCATCCTTGTTTTTTCTTTTGTTCGATTGATTTTTGTCCGTCCTTTCCTTGTATACGAAAAGAAGAGAAAACTAAGAAAAACAAAAGAACAGGTATATGTTTACTTGATTGATAACATTCCTTTTTTTTCATTTTAATGTCGATTGTTCGTAGATTTCGTTTGTAACTGAGAGAAGAAAAGCTATCACAACAACAACAATAATAATAACAAAAAAAATCAATAAAGCAATGTTTCGCTGTTTGTTTATCTTTCACTATTGGTTCTATGTTTTTTTTCTTTCATTTGTGCGCGTGTGTCTATCTATCTATGTATTTCATTCTTCATCTTTTCTCGTTTTTGTTTCCTGTATTTATATTTTGAAAGCAAAATAAGCATACGACAACAAAAAAAAATGTTTCCGAGGTTTATTGTTTATTGAAATGTTTATCGTTTGTTGAAATGCTCATTTTTTATTGAGATATTTAAAAACAACACTAAAGTCTTTTTTATTCAGTCCATTTGAGCAAATTTCACGATAGAGTTCAGTAGCTTTTTCTGTTAATGGAGTTGCCGCTTGAGCTTCTTTTGCTGCCTCTAGAAAAACAAATCATGGAATTGAATAACAAGGAAAATATTTAAAATAAAAAATACCAAGGGCAAGTAAAAGATCTTTAATCATCATTTCACTAGCAAATCCACCATTATAATCATTACTCGATGGTACATTTGGCACAACACCAGGGCATGGATTGTATGTTTGACTTGACCAACATTGACCAGTTGAAGAATTGATCAATTTAGCTAGAAGATCTGTATTGAGGCCAAGTCTTATCAAAAATTGAAAGAAAAAAAAATAAGATGAGATCGATCAAGATGATAGTGATAAAATAAAAATGCTGACTTAATGCCAAGGTTCATTGCTTCGGATGTGCCAATCATACTTAAACAACAGAAAAAAATAAAAACTACTTTTTGTTTACTTTTCTTACCTAATAGCTAATAGAAGATTATTACAAATTTTAGCTGATAAACCACTACCATTCGTTCCGGCATGAACAATATTTTTTCCCATTTTAGACAGAATAGGTTCTATAGCTTTAAAGTCACTTTCTTGGCCGCCAACCATAAATGTTAATGTACCCTTTTGAGCACCAGTCGTACCTATAATAATTAAAGATCAATCAATGAATTTTAGCGATGTAAATATATATGTATTTGTAAATTACTAACCACCCGAAACAGGCGCATCGAGAAAACTCAATTGTTTACTTCGAGCCATATCTGCCATTTCTTTCGATGTGCGTACATCTATTGTACTACAGTCAATAATATATGTGCCTTTTTTAGCAGCGCTAATCAATTTATAGAAAACAAAGTTTAAAATAGAAAAAAGTCTTTTCTATGTATCGTACGGGAAAAGGTTTGATTGACATACATCACGTACAATTTTACCATTAGGTAACATTAAAATAACGAATTCCGAACTTTGTACTGCCTGTTGTGGAACAGTTACAATTTTAGCTTGTTCTAAAGTAATGAACTAGATTTTATTTTTATATATGGTGAGAGAAAATTTTCATTACTTTGCTCTTTAAAATGATCAAGTGCTTGAGGATTAACATCAAATATTGTTACATGATGATTAGCCGCAATCAAGTTTGTTGCCATATGCTTACCCATATTACCAAGACCAAGAAAACCAATTGATGCCTAAAATAAAATGTGTGAAACATATAGTTGGTTCGTTTTCACATAGGAACTTTTCGTAACATACATATCGCGCAAAGGATAAGTGTACCATGATGATAATTAGACAAGCAAATCTTGAAAAACGAAGATGAAATCAATTAACAAAGAATTGTATATTTATGTCTCATAAAACCCTCTATTCCATTCATCAAAATAACATAGAAAGAAAAAAAATGAACAATTAAGTTGTGTGTTAATCAAATATATTTGTAAAAGTCACGAAAATCCATAGATTGTTGACGATTACGATATAATTCCCAAATAAAAGCTATCATTAAGCTAAATAAAAGACCATTTAGAATTCCATCGATTGCTTGTGATACTAAAATCAATCAAACGATTTTTTGTTTTAGACACGAACGCTTTTTATGAATTTTAAAATACATACGAAAACCTTCTTCTTCATCTTCATTATTGCTTTTTGTTGCACTATTTTGTTTACTTTCATTATTTTCATTTTCGCTTTCACTTTTTTCTTTTTGTTGGTTTTCTTTTTCTAATAATCGTTTTTGAGCATTTTCCAAACGTTTCAAACGTTTTTCTTCACGTTCCTGTTCTACTTGTTTTTCACGTTTTCTAGCTTTTGCTCTGTCATTTGCTTGTTTCTTTTTCAATTTAATCGCTTCTTCTTTTTCATACTCTGCTTTAAGTGCGCCAACGTATTGCAGAACCTTTCCAGCACATAGTCGACATTCTTTTTTATTTAAACATTTACCAGCTTGTGCTTGTAAATCATCATCAAGAGGATTATTTTTTAAATCTAAATACTAAAAACAAAAATAGAAATAATACAATTAACTATCATATATAAAATTAGTTATTTTACTTCTAATTTCGTTAATTCAGAAAAGGAAAGTGGTAAATTTGTAATCTGATTATCAAATAAATCCAATTGTTTCAAAGATTTTAATTGACCGAAATTTTCAGGTAACTTTGTAAGATGATTTTTTGATAAATCCAATGTATGAATACCTTCGAGTTTACTAAAATCATCCTGGAATTAATTGAAAAGAAAGTCAATAGTTATTTCATATGAGAAAAAGAAAAGAATACATCCGGGTAAAGATTCTATTTGATTGTTTGACAAGTCGATTGATTTAACCTTACGTAAAGCCAACTGAAAACATTCAATAAAAAAAACATAAATTAGGAGAAAAATCGAACAAAAAATAAAACGTACAATGTCATTGATATTAGGAACTGCTTTTAGATTGAGTATTGATAAATCAAGTTTATCATCTTCGGCCAGGTAATCTTTTAGTTTTAAATTTGATTTCGAAGACATTCCTAAATAGATTATCAGTGATAATTTAGAAATACCTGTTATAGATTGATGTGTAAATTAAGTGAACTGAAACATTTCTCAAGATCCGATATCATACACATACACGTACACGTACAAGTACAATACTACGATAAAAGACAAATTTCATTGGAATATATGCTAATCTATCAGTGCGTCGCACACGCTGATTTTATAAAAATCAAGCCAAATATTCTTTAAAAAAATTATTATATGAGAATGTATTTAATCTAAATTCATTTTTCTACTCAGCTTTTAAGAGAAAACTCACAACTTGATACAGCAGTAGCGTCATCTGCAGGATTTATTGTAAAAAAAATATACATCGGATATATATAGTGCATAGTTTTTTTTTAAAGCATCCTGTCAACAAGTGACAGATTGACACAATTTATATCTGTTGAAAAGAAAATGAAAGATTATTAGAATATAAGACGTCTAGTTCTTTTTTGTCTTACCTTTTTCTTTCTAATTCTTTTCTTCAAGTACAAGATTACTGATGATTACTTGTTTCTCTATTCCATACGTCTACAAACATTTATAATCAAATTATGATAATACTACATTATGGAATGCCTTGCATGAGTGATGTTACTTTTAGCATGAATATTTTCGTTTTCACTTCTTACTCATGGTCATGCGCTCATCAACAAGTATCACATCATGCACTAGAATGACGAAGACTATTTTTAATCGTCTTAATCTGTGAAAAAACTCATCGAGTTCTTTTAGTAGTTATACAATTAACGAGTGGATCTATCTTCTTGTGCTGATTCATTAGAATTGTTGCTCTAATTAAGAAGTCATATCAGTATTTGTAAATGCACAGTGAAAATAAAAGAGAAATATGCACTAGTCGACGATCTTGACTTCGATCTGTCCAGGTTCTTGTTTTTCTTGAATATCAGACAAGATTCTTTTGCCATTCCTTCTGTACAAGATTCTTGTCTGAAAAAACAGATCTTGACTTTCTGGCAAGATTCGTGTAGACACAATCTTGGCTGGCGAGGCAAGAAATGTCCCGCCAGGCAAGATTCTTGTGTTCTTGTATTCTTGCCTGATTCTTGTGTTCTTGCAATTCTTACATGATTCTTGTTTCTTGCTTTTCTGGCATGATTCTTGTTTCTTGCCATTTTGGCAAGATTCTTGTTTTCTTACAATTCTTGCTATTTTGAGAAAATCCTTGTAATACAGATAAATTTTATTTAGGCATCCATACGGTTGCCTCCTTTCGGTCCTATTATATTTTAATTTCGAATTAAAAAAAAATACAAAAAAAGTACATTATATGTGCAAGGAAACATACAAAAATTCATATCGCGTAAAACAAATCAAGAAGAAAAAAAATAAAAGAAAAACGATTGAACAAAAGAATTTATTCAAAAAATACATGTGTTATAGTTCGTCAGCTCATCATCTAGAAAAAAATATATAATGTTTAAATTTCTGTATATTTATAACTATATATACACAGACATCACGTGATATTTTTCTTTAAGATATGTTGAAAAGAAAAGAAAAAAGAAGCTTGTCTGAATTTCAAGAAATTTGAAATATCTTGCAATTCTTGCGTGATTCTTATTTATCTGATCAATCAGACAAGATTGTATTTTTCTTGAATAACAGGCAAGATCCTTTGAGAAAGGAAAGAAACAAGATTCTTGCCTGAATTTAAAAAAATCTTGAATATCTTGCCATTCTTGCCTGATTCTTATTTATCTGATCAATCAGACAAGATTGTGTTTTTCTTGAATAACAGACAAGAATCTTGTTTCTTTCCTGTCTCGAAGAATCTTGTCTGAATATTATGATTACAAAGAATCTTGTCTGATATTCAAGGAAAACAAGAATCTGGACAGATCGAAGTCAAGATCGTCGACTAGTGTGTTCACAATAGAATCAATACTGGACCATTTTTTTTTTATGAAAAACAAGTTTATGATCTTTGACTATTAGAAAAAGAAATAATTTTTAATTGTAGAGGAACGAAACTCGCACAAGAAATTGTTCTGTTAAATAGTGAAGATTTCTCGTTTTGACTAGCATTCATTTAATGAACAATATGTGTAGCATTGGATCGATACTCAAAGGAAGTGCTCTGAATGAATAATCTCAGCGAATTTTAATAATGCTGTCAACTGCAGCTGTGAGCCGACATTCGGAATCAGATGTAATTTCAAAAATAAATCATTACACCGATGCATATGATTTTATTGTAAGCTTTCTTATGTTCTGTTTGGATGCTAGAATTAATGTATTTAACAAGGATCATCCTAATTCAATCAATATTTTGCAATGGGGTGTCAGCACTATTAAAGTGACCGATGATTCCAGTGGATATATGCTGATAAATTTCAAAATGAAAAAGTACTTCTTATTGATTCTGATACTTTATGTGTAATTATGATATTATGTAGCTATCATATAGGCTAATTCCATAGATGTCATAATATCGTTACACTGGGTATCGTGATTTCGAAGTCATAATACCCATCGAATTCTTTTTTCGGGTATTACGTCTAGAGTATCCACTTCGATATAACTATATGTTTTAAGCTGAAAAGTTTCAGTTGTTTTGGGGTATTACGATGGGTGTTAATTTACAGTTAATTTAATTTATATTTAAATTCACGAAAATTAAAACAGAACTTTTTGATTATATTCTACCAAGTTAAATTTAAGATTTAATTGAAATTTAATTTTTTTTAGTTTTAAAATTAATGAATTGTTTCGATCGATACTCATCATGTCTATGAGGAAAGTTCCTGACTGTAACAGTAGTACGTAGCAAATGAGAGAAGAATCTAGTATTTTAGGTTAATATTTGTTCATAACAGTGGAAATTCCAGGGGGAAAGTGCTGGCTCCAAGCACTAAATTTTACTACAAAGTGCCGAGGGTGCTGAACAGGTCCTGAAGTGAAGGCGCTGAACATGTGCTAGAGATGCTGAAACATGCTAAAGATGTTAGTAGTTGTGGAAAAGGAACAGTAAAATAAAGGATAAGTATACAACAGGATGACATAATTCTGTGTTAAACTCATTCTTTTCCCTCAATCTTGGTGAATACACTAATTCCACAACCCAGGAGAATGAATCCTAGCCTAGGATCCGATGAGTTCCGATCGATTCCTACTGGAATCCGACGGAGCTCTTCGGAATGCGCAAGGAAACTATCGGATTATCGTCGGATTCCTGGTTCCGGAATCGATATCGGATCCTAATATCGGAAACTATTAAAATCCGACAGTAACCGTCAATCGGAACCGGAATGCTTCGGATTTCATTGGTTCCGACAATCGGATATCATTGGAAATACGACTGTCGGATCCGGCATTGATTCCTCAACCAGGAATCCAACGGGATTTCGTCGGATAGTAGGACCCCATAGAATCCGATGGGATTCGGTATCGGATTGATTCACCTGGGGTTTTGTTTTTCAATGTTCTATATTAATGATTTAGAAAATTTTCATTTTCATTTCTTATTTTTCTGTATGGGGAATGTAGAAGATTGAAATTCTTATTGGTAAATTTTCATTATTAATAGCATAAAGAATAAAGATTTCTGCGCATCAGCATTTGTGTCTATTATCTTATGAATTTTTTGTTTAATGGTAACTTCCAATGCAGGTGCCTGTGTATTGCGTTCAATAAATAAAGTGTCCTTAGTTAGGTAATATTTACTACCCTGAAGTAAATTGTGCCTGGTGAAACCGTTAAGGTTCACCAGTATTTTGTAATACTCTGAAAGCATTCGTACGCGTCTCCGAAAATTTTCAAAGGTTTCGTGTTAAAAAACGTTTTCTAAAATACGCCTGTGATTTTTCAAAAGCGTGAAAGGTTCAGTATGGAACCATTTTAGGTTTTATAGTCAACCGGCTTTGGTATCATACCGCACTGAATTTTGACAATCATCAAAGGTTTCGCACCAAAACCTTATTCAAGTGTCGCAACCCACACCTTACGCAAAAGGAACCGCTAATGAGCTTTAATTTTGACCGTACCCTCAAAAAGGGAGCTCCCATCTGTGCCGATATTGATGGCACGCTTCGATGATTCTCCTTCCTCTTCCTTCTATTCTTTTTCCATTATTATAATATATCTCTCTCCTGTCTCTCTTCTATCTCTCTCCTATATATACGTGTGTTATGTATGAAGTTGTTACACTCTGGATATGTGAATAAACGAACAAACATCATTGCCGTGAGTGGCTGTAAGCTACTCCACCTCTATCCAGTTTGTCAATACGATATAAACTAAACAGAGTCTTATTTATCGTTACACCATCCAAAACAAAACCTACTCGCAATGTCTCAAACAAGCCTACCCGGACTTTCAAGAGGGCTTTCAAGAACATTCAGGGTTTTCTAAAATCTCTCTTAGGTTTCTTAACCTCCTTAGTGTTGAAAAAGCAAATAAGAAACACCACGATTGGTTTCCAAGGTTCTGCTCCAAATTGCAAAAAAAATTCTCACAGCTTTAAAAATTTTTAATCCTTCAAAAAGTAGACTATAATTCGACTTTCTAATATCTTAGCAGAAATTCTACACCGACAAAATTGGACCGCTGATAAATAAGACTTTATTTTAACTCTTTTCCTGTATTCTGATGAAACTTCACAATAGGTTATCGAGATCTAGGAAAACAAATCCGTCGTCTTTTTTTCGATCCAAAGCTTCCCATAGTCAGAAATTAAATGCATAAAAAACACAAATTGATTCTCTTACATTAAAATTTGTTTCTTACATTGGCAAGTGCGTGAAAATTTCAGTAGCTATTCAGACAGATAATTAATAGAATAATGCTATCGATGTAACTATCTACGCAAAATAGGCCTCCCTTGCTCAGTCAATAATGAGATGAATCAAACAGACCATTATTACGTCTTTCATTTCACCTGAGGTCAAGTGTCATATGATCAAACATAAAAGGTAAGTTCGACTTTGAAAGCTACAACCTCGTGAAGTAATTTATTTTTATTTAGATCTCACAGCAGCGCACGTAGAAATAATGGTAGGTTCGATTTTGAAAACTAAAACCTCTGGAAATAATTTATTTCTGTTTAGATCAAGCATTCCATGTCGATCGTTCTGGCCGCTCGTTTCTGCAGGAGACAATCACGCATTGTTGCCCTGAGGTGTTACGATCGGGTTGTTCTCGATTGAGAAGGGGGAGAATGATAGCCCTGAAACCCCAGAATGGTTTTCTAGGAACCGGCGTTTACTAGACAGAGCTTTCTAACTGATTGATTCCATTGAGTAGACAGAGCAGTGTGGGAAACCCTGTGTTTAACCTTTTCGACAAAGGGTTCGTGGAGAACCTGGTTTGCACGGAACCTAAAATGATTTCGGATTCGCAGCAATTTTCGGACACCTTTTTACGTTTCGTACGGTTGTCGTTTTTCAGGGTAGAATTGTAGTTGCGCGGCTGCGTAAAAATATTCAATAATGAATATTTATGAAGAAATGGCTATAATCACCGTGTACCATTTTATATAATCATACGTAAGATCGTACTGTTAAATCATATACGAAATCGGATGTAAGATCTGACATCAGATGTCAGCGACGACGATTTTTCGTATGATCTTGTATGATCATATACGATTCTTGACTAAGATCGGATATGATCATACAAGAGCTCATATCTGATCATAGTGTCAGTTTGTTCGGCCTGGGATAATATCCAGGTCGAAATATCTGACACAAAATCTTATGAAACGCATGCAAGATCTTGGAATATGGGTGAAATCTTACAAGAATCATGCAAAAAATCTTAGTTCCTGAGATCTTAGATCAAGTCGCACAATCAGATTCTTGAAAGATCTTATTAATGTGTAAGATCTTTCAAAACTCTGATTATGCGACTTGATCTAAAATCTCAGGAACTAAGATTTTTTGTATGATTTTCGAATCATCGTTACAGGATCATATAAGATCAGATACAAGATCTTATCAGATCTCACAATATGATTGTTCGACCGGGTCTTCATACATCACAACTAGATGCTCGAAACAAACTGATTCAAAGCGCTAATGATCAATTGTTTTCTATATTAGCTTACTCTAGTAATCCACTCTTGTTGTACGAACTGAAAATTGTTTGTTCGATCCTATCGAGGACATAAGCTATTTCATTTGTAAGAGCATTGTATAAAGATTTACACTATGTAATTACTAGCAAAGGAAATTAAGAAGTAGTACAAGAGTCAATTTTTATGTTCTTTCTTTATTCATTCCTATGTGGAAGATATTCTATGTTGAGTTTAAAATCATTAGATAGATCAATAGTAAAAGGTTCTTTTTGTGCTGCATATAAACATGACAAACATTTCACTATATTTTTAAGCCTGCGGATAGGTAAGTCGACTGTATCCATTTGTGTTTACAATATTTATTCATGTTCGTTTCGTTGCAAATCAACCCTGTACTACTATTTACTGCTCCCTCTTCTTGTATTTGTGTAAAATACTGAAGACTTTTACCAGAAAGAAAAATTAATATACGCTTCGGATGTAAATAAAACCTAAAACTGTACTTCTCTATTGAGTTCAATGGCATATATGAACGAAAAATAGAGAACAGTACGGTTTTCAATATATATTTTTCTCTCAAACTACTGAACTAGTCCAAAACGACTGGAATTCTAGATGGTTTTGACTGACGAAACTGTCCTCCAAATAATTACACAATTATTGGTAGCAGTTCGTTTTTTTTTTATAGATTTAATACATTTTAAAAATACATATCAGCTCAATGTCTTGTGCAAATAGAAGAGATAAAATGAAATATAGATATGCAGTCGAAATCTACTACACATATACCTGTATGCTAAGTTATTAAGTTGTTCTCTTGTACAAATAAATTGTATCTAGTTTCAGAATGCTCCAATAATTTTATTATAGTAAAGATATGTATATTAAATGAAAACTTAATAGATATTCACACCCATACCCACACCCACACCCACACCCATACCGACACCAACACCTAATTATTAGAACGGTGAACAACATTAGTATTTAATGCTATTGATTGGTTTGAGACATTGTTTTCGTTCATTACAAAGTTTTCTCGTATTCTTGATCAAATCGTTCGCTTGTCTTGTTGCATTCGAAATAGCATTATGTTTTAATGTGTGAACGTTTCGAAAGGTTGTTTTAATATCAGCAGCATCAAAGAGTGCTTTTGCACTCTCATCAAGAACCAAGGTAAGAGCTGCAAGAGCGACCTAATTTAAAGAAATTAATATGAAATGATTGAATGCAAGATGCATAATTTGTTTTCATACTGTTGTATCAAATGTCGTGTGCATATCATTGATGCACGATGCGGTAGCCATGTCAATTACATTTGGTTCGATTTTACCCATGGCTAATTTTTGAGCAACATCAATAAAAATATTGCATACTTCTGGAATGACAGCTAGTGGATTCACACACTTTGGTTCTTTTTCACAATTCCATTTTCGACATAGACCAGACGATAAATTGATCAATGGATATGATTGATAGAAATAAATATGGTAATAGGAAGACTACAAAAGAAGGAGATGATCATGACTTAAATCAATGCTAAACATTATGAAATTATTAAAACATACCGGTTTTTCGATGTGCACTGTCATGCATTCTATATTGTGGAAATGAGTCCACGCTGCACCAGACGGTAACGTCACTGATGTGATCGGTGCAGGGCTAACACACACTGGTGGATTTGTTTCACTACCAATAATCAGACAAGGGGATACGCCTCCGAAAATTAAAAGGTACTAGAATAGCAAAAAATTCAATTTTTTTCTTCGTACAATCGTGACAAAGGAAAAGAAGTAATTCTTACATCAATAATCGAATAAGGAGCCGCTCCGATAAGAACATAAAGCGAAACGTAACTATTACTAATGAGCGTTTTCCAGCCCGGACTTTGACACCAGTATTGAGCTTGAGAGTCATGATACGACTTTGAAAACGGAATTAGATGAGAAGTACCAAAATACGAACATTTACCATAATAACATTCTTTTTTTGGACCTGTCTTGGATTGAGCTACTATGCATAATAGAACAAAAATAATGATAACGAAGACTTCTTTTCGTATCATAATGCTAGAGAAGAGTAACGACGACAAATTATTATCTTACAGCATCGAGTCGTGTGTTTAAATACTGTTTTACTACTGATTCTAGAACATATTTTTGTACAAATAAACAACGTCAATTGAAATGATTTACACATATAAGTTTTGTAAATTATAAATTACTTATCAATCATCAGCTTTTGAATAGACTGTAGTAGGCATCGAAAAGCCATTAGAATTAGTAACTCTAAGAACAAGGGTTATTTTGTTTGCGTAAAGATAGATATATATATATTGATCAAAGACTCAGCATTAGGGATGAACCGTTGTTTTTAATTGGAATTAATTAAGAGAGTTAATTAAATGGTTTTACTTAACACTTAATATCAATAAGGGTGTGATGAGTGTAGGTGTCGATGTGGACATGACTAGTATCGTTCTCTGCTAGTCGACACGCACACGTAGCGAATGGGAAACAGGGGATGATAACTCAATTTTGGAGCGAGTTGGAATTGCGTGTAATTCCCTACAGGCCCTGTTCGTCCAGATTCCTGAAATGCCAGGGATTTCATGAAATGAGTTCTGTGCGTGGGACTGGTTTCGCAATGTTCAATATCGCGCCAAAGGATCTATTCTAGCTAGATTGAAATTGATATTGATTGCCAGGAAATTTGTTGTCGTATCATTAAGAACGAAGTGCCAAGCAAAATCCATGTTACTTACTGTAGGTACAGGTTGAACTGGTGTCATTTGTAAATCTGTAACTTAATGGAATTGATGTGAGTCGTTTTGAGGTAACAGGGTGGAATGGTTAAGATCGAAATTATCTTAGAATATTTCACTTGTAAAAGTTGACAACATCATAGATAGAAGCAGCAATATCAAAATGCGCTTGGTTTGATTTTTTGCAATCATACAGAGATAAATTTCGTTGAAAAATTCATCAGAAAAATGAAAGTGAAAGCATTTTGGGATTGCATGAACAAATATGATTGTCGAACTTTATACTATCAACTGGGTTGTCTTAGATGACATGAAAGTGTCGCAAAGCTATAATGAAAGTAAAAGAACTGGGCGACAGTTCTTATTTTGTTTAGGAAACAAGTTAGATCATCTAGATCAACCAATCTGTTAGAAGTGTAGCTGTCGGAACATATGTCTTCATTATACAACAGAATATCAACGGTCTATAAGATTTAATCTATAAACTTGCCTTGTGCAAATCCACCGTGAAATGCTTGCAACAAGAATACCAGCAATGGTAACCATGCATAAAGCAAACAACCATATGATGCCATTCGCGAATCAGCAGCTTCGATTTGGGTGAATTGGAAATTGTTAGAAAGTGCTTTGAAAATAAAAAAAAATCCGAGGATTTATAGTACCCGATAAATCTGGCGCAGAGAGAGGGAGCACATATTGAATAAACAATCGAATGCGATCGCGTAACAGCTTGTGTCCGTTACGTGGCAGGATTATAGGCGATGCAGATGTCACACATATGTGTTTGATGAATAGTTCATGATTTGAAAAATCAACGTCGCATTTTAAATTAATCTCGAAATAGATTTAATAGCATCCCACGTTGTTGCCACGTATTTTTTTCTGAGTACTATAAAATTTCCAGGATTTTGATCATCATTTCTTCAAGGTCACCGCCTCCAGAAAAACTTTTTTTTTGTGAAACATCTTAAAAGGAAGATCATAATCATAATAAATGTCATAGAAAAATGTATAGTTTCATATCTTGAAGTTTTCGCTACAACATAAACATATTCACATTATTCTTCTATCAAGATCTGCAATAAGATCTTAGGCACAGATGTGTAAAAGTTTGGTAACACGTATCATAGAACTTCAGTTTATTTTTGTTTGTTTTTTATGAGTTTTATTATACTAGTATTTCATACAGGTATCATATGGGTAACTTCTCAAAAGAGATACTTTTTAATTAAGCATGCAGCTATTTAAAATCTTATAGCATGTAAAAATTGTATAGCTGTTTAAAACTATCAATAGTTATTAAACCTATTAGATGCTTATGTAAAATCATGTAAATCGATTTGAAATTATCTCCCAAAAAAATAACTGTTTGAATTAAACAAACAGTTTTTTTGCTTTTTTTTCAAAAGAACTACATATCTAATTCAATTAGTTTAAAACTATATCTAATCTTTATTATAGCTATTTAATTTTTTTTGTCATATTTATTAAAAATTAAATAGGCTATTAAAAATAGTACATATATTTCTAACATCATAGTATTGTTTAGTTACTTCTCATTATTCTTTCTAATTCTGGTCTCTAACTGTTCGTTTTTTTTCAATTCTGCTCAAACCATATATGAGAAGCAATTTAAGATTTTGTTTCAATCAATATTAAGGCATTCCTGTACGTATTTAAAATTACACATCTTTTCAGAACTATCTCTATCTATTAAAGAAAAACAGTGAAATGATAAACACTATATAAAATTTAGAATGATATATACAGTGCTGTGAAAAATTATAGAATCACTTGCTTAATTTCAGTTGTTAGTTAATTTTTGACCAACTTAGGTTGCTCAGTAAACCAAAGCCAGTGCCAGTGTTACACATTCGTGTATGTTTTACTCAATTAACACATTAATCTCCTGCATATTATTACTGGATTTGAGAAAACTAGAGCTTATAAAAGTGGACCAGTTTTTACTTGTGAAAATTTATAGAATCAGTGTTGAATTCCAATTGTCTTCGTGTCAAAAGGAATTCGATTACGATTGAAAGTGACATGCATCAATAGAGAAAGTCATTCAGAAAGCTTCAATCACGAAAAATCTGAAAAGAAACATACTCGAAATGAAAATGAGGTGGTATTAATCAAGCAAAAATGGCTGAAAAATACAACATCAGCTCAGTAATCCGACTAGACTTTTTGAATATAGATTATATCGTTCTTTTTATCGATGAATTCATAGAGAGAATACATTTTGCAACAAAATGAGATACTTTCGAACTCTCAACATATCTCCGTTGCAGCAATAGGCAGGGTGTCAAAAATAGAATATGAAATACCTTTTTCAAGTATCCATCAGTTTTGTGANGTATCTCATTTTGTTGCAAAATGTATTCTCTCTATGAATTCATCGATAAAAAGAACGATATAATCTATATTCAAAAAGTCTAGTCGGATTACTGAGCTGATGTTGTATTTTTCAGCCATTTTGGGTGTGGATGTAGAACAATAAACAGCAACGAAATATCTACATCCACATCCACACCCACACCACAAAGCTATGAGCACTCTCTACGTATTGAGATTTGAGTCAATATAGGCATTTTCATCAAAAGATTCAGAAACTGCATTTCAAACAATAGAATGAAACGCACAGGAGCTTTAAAAAAAACTAATCTCTGTAGAAGGTCATGACCAAGACCGATTCTGGTAGTAACATCAAACAATATGGAGTAATAACATCCATTTTTTTAGAAAGAAAGGGCTCGAGTTAAATTAACATCAAAATTAATGTTCTTTCCACAATTGTAACCGATGAATTAATTTCATCTGCTTCTTTTGTTCATATCGACAACAAAAAACTATCTTTGCAATTTTTGAATTTGATAAATCGAAGAGAATGGTAAGTGCAGCTAGCACCTACGGTTACCAATGCTTTGCATGTTGTCAGTTGAATTATATCGATTAAAAATAATTCAAATTCTCTCTGAAGCTTGTATACTTGTAGACAGTATAAACTGAGGAAGAAAATAATAAGAAGAAATTGAATATAATGATCAATATAAATTTTCGTAACTAAATTTCCATTGTTACGAAACCCCTCAGCTTATTTTTAAGTCTAGTGACGTCAAACATTGTTCAATATCTCAAAATGAATACATCATAACCCTAATCCGCCCACCTGGTGTCCGTGCGGACCCCAGCTCAAAATAAGAATTATGAAAGTGCGTCTTGTTCTTTTTACGAGTACGTCTCAAAGGGACAAAAATTCTATAGATTGGTGGTATATGATACTCTGCGTCAGTATAACATGAATTGAAAAGTTAAAGGCTCACAACTAAGTTTGAACCTCATCCAACTTAGAATAGTAAAATATACGCGTTTATAGAGGTGGGCGGATTAGGGATAATCGCTAAAGTTCAAGCCAAGATATTTGTGATGCTATCTTTTTGGATAGATTCTTACCTCGATCAAGATCTTAGTAAAGCAAATTCTACTGAATTCAGATAGTTCGAACACAAAATTCTATGCCATCGTACTATTTTCTACCTCATGCTAACAACATGTTTGCACTGTGTCATTTCAATGAATAGAATCTCATTGCTAATCAACACATACCGAAGTCACTGGATCCTGCCTCCGGATTCTGCCGGGATCCATCGGAACCGACACCGGATCACTCCAGAACACGGCATGATTTCCACTAAAATCTGCCAGGATCCGACCGGGATTTCTCCGGAATCTCTGCTCCCGGAATCCGGACCGGAATTCAAAGGAAAATGGTCTGGTCGTTTCCTGCCGGATAATACAACCGAACTTGTCGAAACTGATCGAACCCGACTATCGGATGATCCAGGGATCACAAGGGTTCTACCACATCTTTGACCGGATTCCATCAGATTCCGATGATAGGTATCTCGTAAAAAACCTCTCACACAAGCATTCTTCAATCAGAACATGAATCAATTGTAGTCTTCCAAAAACGAAACTCGCCCGACACAACAACGCCTCGTGAATAATCACAATCAATCCATAACATCACCACCAAACAGACCGCACAACAAGCATTTCCACCAATGCCAACCACCCTGAAACACATTGTAACCCGAACCTAACAATAACTGAGTCCACAATACACACCCTTACAATAATCCATAACCACCCTACTATACTTTTTATTCATTAAGCTAAATTCTAAACCCATTAACTGGGTCATCTGGTACCATTTCAATTCTTGAAAAAAATCGCTCGACAAATCATTTTGCACCCATCGAAATCATTAATAATTCATAGATAATGCATCTGAATATCATTCTGGGTCACCACCACTTACGTTTTCATCAATTAATGACATTCTAAACATCTTTAAAGAGTCGTCTTGTTGCATAAAACTTATGAAAAAATTGCTCCACACATCCTTCTACACTAATCAAAATGCTGCATAAGTCGTAGAGAATCGATCAGATAATTATTTTAGGTCGTTCCAACGTACCTTTTCTTCATGAAACAGGATTCTAAGCATCTTTTATTACGGATCCACCCACACTTTTCTTCGACAAAAATCACTCCACAGCTCAACGTCGATGTATCGAAAAGTTCACCAAGGCCTATATAATCCCGTGGATTGCGATTCTAGACGGTTTCAACATACCTTTTCGTCATGGAACAGGATTCTGAGTGAGATTCACAAGCGAGTTAGTGGCATATGAATTAATTAATAATTTGTGTAAGCAACACCCTAGCATCCCCAAGAGCGCTTGTTGGTGATTTGAAATAATGCCTTCGGTCTTGCCAAAGCGAGCAAACAGGTGTGGTCGGCGTTTTAAATGATTTCGAGTTGCAAGGACGAACAACATAGTATGCATATATAGCAAGTTTATCTCACCCTGTGTAATAATAAATGGCTCTGGGTTTCGCGTTAGACCAGGAAATGATGGATGAATCATGTTATAGTTGCAGGAGTTACGATAAACGACTTGAGTGAGAGTTATTCGGGTCGATAACTTCGTGCAGCATCAATAAATACAGAATCATGTTGCTCATGTGGATTGACTTCTCATAAATAACCTAGTGGATGAACCATAATTTTTAATTTATGCCCATGTGTTTCATTACGATGAAACTGTGACGCAGTTACGCCGTAACTGCGATCGCACTGTGACCCATAATTGCAGAAAATTGCGACGTAGTTACGCGTAACGACGATGAAAAAATCGCAGTTACGTGTCGTTACGGTGAAAAAATCACAGTTACGCATAATTTCGTCAGTTTTTTGCAATTATAGGTCATACTGGCATCGCAATTGGTACAAAAGATAACATAGATTATGTTTTTATTTTATTATTTTTATTGTTTAAAAAATCTTTTGCGTACAAAATGAAAAAATTTAACACTGTAAAATTAAAATTTTTATAAAAAATAAAAGAACAATTTTTACATTACAAGTTGTCACAATAAAAATAATTGAAAAATTAAAACTTAAAAAAATTTCAAAATCTACTAAATTAAAAGTTAAAAAACAATTGTTATTTTAAAACTTAAGGAAAATAAAAAATAAATATCTAGAAAAACAAAAAAAATTAACATCTAAAAACATTTTTAATAATTTAATATATAACAGAAAAAAAAATTAGTTAGAAAAATTTGAAATAATTTAATATAAAAGAAAAAAAATTAATTAAAATAAATTGAACTGAAAACATTTTAATCAAGAAATTTTTAAGAGAAATAAAAAATATGCATTCTACTGCTTTTAGTAGAATGACTTATGAACGAAAATGTGACGAACACTGCTATTAGTACTGTTTTTTTGTGACGAAGTTTTATTATTCGAATGTAGCCAATTACAAATAAGGAGGAATAAGTTATAATTGGTCATTTATAACTACAACGGATCGTAGGATGCGATCACTAGGACGCAGTTACGTTGATCTGTGCCCCAGTAAGCGTAGTTTCTTATAGAAATCTTCGCTGCGATCAATGCGCCATAGTTACGCGTAACTCCGACGCAGAATTGGCTCTGCGCGTAACTGCGACACAGTTGATAAAAAAGCGGCGACATGGGAACAATCACTTCTTCAAAAGCTAATTATGACACCCAATAGTTGGGTGACAGTTCGAATCCTTTGAATATTTACTAAATTCATACATACTAGGTTTCGGTAGTTTTCATAGTTGAAGACTGATTAACCAGGCAATCAAACAATCAGCCCTTTTCCTCTTGGGCACATCTCTCTACGAATATTTCCTACAGGTGATATAATTTTTATTTTTCAAAAAATTGACTGATAGATTAAATCCATAATGTTATGGCAGGATATATCTATTATATTTGAGCCAGTGTTAGCGTTTGAGGAAAGAGGATTATTATTTTCTGTGATAAGGTAAAATGAAGAAGATTGTAACAGAACTTAATATAATTTCAAAATATGCCACCACCCTTAAATTATTTATAGATATTTTATATTCGTTTTAAACTTATATAATCATTTTTTAGATCATTTCTTGTCTATGAAAAATATTAATTTCTTCACTTGAAAGAATAGAAAAGTGTATTTAGTTATTTTCATCTAGTATTGATCGAATAGAATTGTCAAACACTTTCAAAAAGAGAAACGAAATATGTGAATGGTCTCTAGATGAATTCAATTATTATATCGTATTAAGGCCCTGTCCGATTTACTATGAAAACATCGAAATAAAAAAAACGTCGATCATGTAAATTGGTGAAACTTCTGAGATGTCGTAATTGACCAATATGGATTTTCTTTTGCTATTATATTTCTCGTGTTTTCTTTCTTCTTATTTTCTTTTATAGTTTCGTTGATTAGCTAATAATTGTCCTTCTATAAGTCCCTGTATGTGTGAACATTCTAGAATATCGAATACACCCAGGATATAAAGAAAACAAATAAAGAAAGAAAAATCGAGGTATTTTCTCATGACCGTATATACATAGGGCACTACAAAAGTTTTTTCATACAGCTCTTCTAGAAATGATAATTTTAGGACATCTATTCTGTCATAAGGGCTAAACATATTTATGATTGGGCGCAAAATTTCAGTCTTCCACGTATTACCCATCGTTAGATTTTTAAATTTTTTTCACGTCACCGTCACATCATTTTCAACATCAGTTTTGAACTCTTACGTGAGCAATTTCGCATAATGATTCTGTATGATTGGAAAATTGGTTTAACATACAATGATTGTCATGCCCGTTTAGTGCAAGCATGGGGGAGCAAGCACCTTCTGACCACACAGTCTTTAATTGGTTTCGTGAATTTCAACGCAATAAATTTAGTGTTCAAGATGCTTCTCGCTCAGGTCGCCCTTCAACATCTGTTACTGAATAAACCATTGATGCTGTACGAAAAATAATTAAAGATGATCCTCATTCAACATATCAGCAAATAGAAGCCATATTGGGCATCAGTTCCACAGCAATCAATATAATTATTCATGATTATTTAAATCTAAGAAAAGTTTGTGCTCGGTGGGTGCCGCATACACTAACTAGTGACCAAAAACAACTCCGAGTTCAATTTTGCCGTCGTTCACTAAAAAGATTTGAAGAAGGTCGGTCCCGTCGTGTATTTGACATTACAACTGGTGATGAATCTTGGTTTTATCATTATGGTCCTGAACTAAAAAAACAAGCAAAAGTTTGCATGTCGACAACTGATCCACGCCCAACCAAAGTTCATCGAAACAAAAGTGCCGGAAAAAGAATGGTGACAATTTTTTTCATGAAATCTGGTTTAATTAAACCTATTCCATTAGAAACAGGTGCAACGGTGAACGCCAGTTGGTATGTCAACACATTCTTACCACAAGTCTTCTCAGCCGTCTCTGAACAAAGAGAAACGCGAGGCCTTCGAGGTCTCATTTTTCACGACGATAATACGAGGCCGCACCGGGCTTGGCTTACCAATGAATTTTTGTTGGAAAATCACGTTGAACAATATCCAAATCCACCATATTCTCCAGACTTAAGTCCTTGCGACTTCTGCTTGTTTCCGAAACTCAAGAAACAGTTACGTGGAATTCGGTTTAACGACGACAATGAAATGTTGGCTGCTTTGGAACAAGCCATTGACAGTCTCACGAAAGAAGATTTTAAAAGCTGTTTCGAAGACTGGTTTATTCGAATGCACAAATGCATTGATGCTGAAGGACAGTACTTTGAAAAAATAAATTAAAATCCTCCTCTGAATATTTATCCTAAAGGCCTATGAAAAACCTTTTGTAGTGCCCCACGTATATTTCGCTCGCTTTTGGACATTCTCGTATATGTTTCATCATTTATAAGTTCTTCGATTGTGGAATATCCAAAAGCACAAACTTCACGTCGTTTGTTTACTCCAACAAAGGTGGTTCTCAACTGGTTCACGATGCTTTCGTTTTCAGATTGAATAAGAAGACAACAACAAAAAATTATTGGAAATGCAAAGTGACAAATTGTACGGCGTATATTCATACGGATGTCAAGAATAATTTGCTACGCATATCCGGTGACCACAATCATTTGCTTGAACCGGAGAATTTGGTGTTGAAACAATTTCGAACAGCTTTAAAGGAACGAATAGTAAACGAAACAGTTCCAATACAGAAAATCTATGATGAAGAAATTACCAAAGCAAATTTTTCACCAGAAGTTCTTGCATCAGTTCCACTCGTTCACCACATGCGTATGGCTATAATCGTTCATTTGTCGAATATATATTTATAGGGTTGCTCAGTCTGGCCGGATATCCCGATTTGTTTTTCGATGCATAATCTCTATTCGTTGATCAAAATGCCTGCTTTTTTTACTAGTTATAGTACTGATAGAGAGCTAATAATCTACTAAACTTTTGATTATATAACTTGTTGGAAAATGAAAAAGACGATGACTTCCTGAAATCTTGAAATCTGATTTTCTTCCTTTGTTTTTTGTGTTTCTGGTTCGAGTTCAGGTCTACAATAACTACATCGGTCACAATGTCTATAATAATTTGTGTATAAACCAGATTTCCCAGAAGAAATACATATCCAAACCAGCATCGACTGGCACATTTTGCAATATTTCTGACGATCAGTTATAGTAATCTGACATTCAGGACAATTCCACACAATAGGCGATGAAGATGACATCATGGTATTACCACGTAAATATGTTCTGACAGTGAAGATGTTTGAGAGAAAAATAACCAATGTAAATAAAGAAGTCGAATCGAAAGTATATTAGCTGAGGCTCAATCAAATTTCAAATAATATATTATATTAACCTTCTGAACTACGTCGTGTATATGTTAAAGATGTCGATAAACGTCTGTAAACTTATTAATCATTGCTACTGACATATAAAAATCAAATATACGTAGTCTGTTAACTCTTTGTATCGCAAAATCAAACTGAGAACTTTGTATACACTGTAAAAAAAAAGAGTAGAATAATAAACCCTTGTCCTTTCTACAAATCATGCTAAACCCTTAAAGGGTTTATGAAACGAAGGGTATGTGAAAAAAAGATGATACAAGAACAAAAAGGGTTTATTAATCTGAGATTTAAG